CACACTACAGAATAAATCACCCCAGCCATGTACCCTCATATCTTGAAGCTGTATTTTTGTGTTTTCAACAAAATTTAAAGCACTTACAATGTCTTGAGTTTTGGTATGAAATACTTGACAAAGAAAATTGGTCAATCCCATAATTTTATCCATCAAAACCAATGAAAACACAAACTCAAAAGACATAATAGCAATATAGTTACTCTCAGTATCGCCACGAAATTGTTGATTAGGTCCATGATTACTGATTTCTTGAAGAAGTAATTTAGTCTCTTTAAATAAACACATCAAACTTGTAATAAAGGCATAATGAGAGCCCCCTAATGAGTGGCTCCAGCTCATTTCAAACTACGAGCTTGATTAAGTCTTCTAGCTGTCTCAAGTTCTCCAGAATCCAACAACCCATTGAGTTCAACTTTTCGAATTAAGTTTAACTCACTATGGCGCTTAGCAGAAGCACTAACAAAATTCACAATGTTAGTCAACATTAAAAAAAATCTCCATAAAACTTTCACATATTTAGCTGCACCATTTAATGCCAATTGCAAGTGATGAGCAAAGCAATGCACTATAATATGCATATGGACAATCTTGAAGAAACAATGCTTGTAAGCCATTCCATGAACCACACATATTACTAGCACCATCATACCTTTGACCACATGTTTTCCACTAGAATGTTGTTATTACCAAGCACTTTGCATATCTCTTTTTTAAGAGTCAAGTCATTAGTGTCTACAACACTCACAATATCGAAGAAGCACTCACGAATAAATCCATCACAATCAACAAATCTTAGAATAATAGCCATTTGTTCCTTATTGGATTCATCAAGTGATTCATCAACTAGAATACAAAATTTGTTCTTCCTAAGTTCCTTACAAATTGTCTTCCTCACCTTGTTAGCAAAAATATGTAAGATTTGCTTTTGTATGTCATGCGCAATGTATTGAGTATTTTGAGGAGCCTTATCAACGACAAATTTCTCAACTTCTATATTCATTCTTGCAAAAGACTTTATGATTTCAATGAAATTACTCCATTTAGATGGGTCAACGGATTCATCTTGGCCTCGAAAAGCCAATGCTTGATTTGCTAGATACCTAATGCCCTTTATTATGGTCGTAAGTCGCAATCGATTTTCCATCACTTGTTGCTTTAATTGCTTTTCTACCACTTTTTCAATATGAAGAGATTGAGTTTTTAAGCTAATCCACTTTTGTATAGCAAAATGATGTGGTGAATTTAACTGGCCTATATGATGTTGAAATGCACATTGGTTCCCACCAATTCTTTTCCATTTTTGATACCCATCAACAATAAAGGTTGGTGTGACTAATTCATGTCAAAAATGAAACAAGGAAAACAAAATACATTATTCTTAGCAACTAAATACTCAAGCCAAGTGAATTGGCCAAACCACTTTTTATTAAATCGACGAAAGTCCTGCCCTTCTAAGTGGCTTGAATAATTTTATAATACAGGTTGACATGATCCTAAAAGAATATATGCTCTTCGCACATTATCTTATTCATTCGCCGGATATTTGCATATTAAATGACGTAATCTTGGATCACGCTCAAGATAATTGATATTAAAATCATGATAATCATCGACTCTTTGAGATTCAATTCTTTCAACTTGAGGCTTGATAATGGGAGACTCGGGAAGATTTTGCTCGTCGCATATTGGAATAGATAAAGAAGAGGTAGAAGGCAATGTACTAGATGATGACCCATCAATCTTTTTCTTAAAAAAAGAGAACAGGTTTTTTGTTCCGATTGTGATCCGACATAATCAAAGATAACCTATGAATAACATGTAAAATAAATAATTTAAATCAAACATATCAACAAAAAATCAAAAAAATTCTCATAATAATAGCATCTCAACAAACAACAAATCAAACATTGAAATATCTCAACAAAATTCCTAAAATCAAAGCCCTAATTAATTTCAACAAAATCACAAAATTATAATTCAATCTCTAAGTAAATTCTAGAATATTGAATTTTAAATTAAAACTATAATTCAAGATATATAGAAAATGTGAGAATTAGAAAATACTTGTTGTTGTAGAAAGGAGAGGAGAAGATTTTGCCACATTGCCACTGCCCAGCCAATATAATAGGAACATGCAGCAAATAGAGAGGGAAAAAGGATGCTGTCGGCGGGTCTGTAGAAGAAAGAGAGAAAGGCTGGTGTGCCAAAAGAGGAAGGGACCACTTCCTCTTGGAAGTTGGATGGGCAACATGTGTATATTAGGTTAGCTTTTAAGTTTTTAAATTTGGGCTGGCCTTATAACATATATAGGTTTTTTTTTGAAAAAAAAACTTTGGATGGGCGGGCACCCACCCTGTTCTTTACATAGATCCGCCACTATGAGTATCTAAAACTTGATGGTTTTGTCAACGATTCCTAGTTCAGTGGTAAAGGGCCTTAACTTGTAACCAGTGGTCTTTGAACCCCCACGACACTTTGACAGTGTATATGAGAAAAAACTTCCTCCCACAATATCACTTATATAAAAAATTTATAAAAAGAAATTGACGGTTTTAATTATATGTTTTAAGATGAGTCGCAATAATGAGATTATTATTTTTCTTAAAATGAGGACATCCTTCATGCTACTCGTCCGAAGCCTCCACTAAGTCATGCCATCAAAATTGACTGAAATGTAGTAAACATTGTTTTACTGTGAATTATGATGGTTAAGCTACAATTCTGAATGTCCCAATCAAAACATTTTTGGCACCTTGCATGTAGTAACATCTTTTGACGCAGGGGATTTTAACCCCCATAGCCTGCACTGCACGGTTGCACCGCAAAGTTTCTTGCCTTTTTACTGTGCCATGCATGTTTTTACTGTGGAAACAATATTGATGATATCATCCATGTGAATGAAGAAGGTTCGTGAAAATGCCACTTTGATGGTCTTCGGGTTTTATACATCTGTACATGGTAAAGGTCAGTTTAACCGTGTGGTACACAGTTTTTACTTTATTGGAGCAGATCTTGAATTGGGAACGAGGATTATTGAATGAAAAAATAAATAAAAACTGAACATTTTTTTACCTATAATAAGAATAAGAAGAAAGCAATCAGACACAAGGCCATTTCACAGGGGGAAATGCTCTCTTGTTTAGGGCACAAGCCCAAGTGCTTGTAAATGAGATATTAAGTCTACACTAGAAAAACATATATTTTATCACTCATACGGTACCTACGTATAATTTGTCTGAATGACATGCTTGTCATATTGTGTAGTGTATCACCTCTTTAATAGATGGAATCCACCAATATAATGGTTCTCTCTCACTGCTATCGGAAATGTGGTACACAAGATGGTCTATAAATGTGGCATCTGTAACATTTCCCTTTTGAATAATATTTTTGCACTTCAAGAAATCAAGTTATGATCACGAGTAAATTGTTTAATAATACATTTATTTTCCATCATGAAAGAAGTTCCAAATTTGAATGTCTTCTTCCTTAGAAATAAAGAACTTGTGGCCCTAGCAGCTATGTAGAGAGTGGTCATGAATTCTGTAGCTAGCAGCATTGATTTCATGGCCTGCAAAATCATTTAGCTATATAGGGCCCCTCCAAGTGCTGCTAAATATATAGGCCTCTATTTCCTATTGGTTACTCAGAAACCTAAATAGTGAATTTAAATTACCAAAAGTATGTGATGTCTCCCAGTGAGGAAATGCCATGATGTACCTCGACCATCTCTGAAGATATTGTTTGCCTATTTTAACAAGTTGTGACAATAGCTTATGATGCATCATCATCCAGGAAGTGTGGCATCGATTAGTCTACGGTCCCAGTAGCACCTGATCAGATGAATTTAAGGGCAAAGAATCTGATTGATGGGTCCAAACTACATGATCACTCTCATCATCACTCACTCTGTGCATCTCATGGACGGTCAGGATTACTGTGTGATGATTATTGATTAGGATACAATTAATAATGATGTGATCTGGCCATTAACCAATGAACTAATTCAATAAGAATTGCCAAAAACATTAAAGAGGCATAGATGTGTGTGCGGAGAGTGATATTAAGGGTGGCAATTTCCGACCCAATGAATGGTTCCAAATCATGAAGGGAGAAGCTAAAGGTGCATTAAGTTAGGACAAACATCTCATCCTCTCTTACCTAGTCGCTTCAAAAAATTTATAGCAATATAATTAAGCTTACTCCATATAGATGTATCTCATAATTCTGTATTGATCATGATTTTTTTAAATAAATATTGGTGAATATTTTTTATTGAAAAATTTGACGAGTTAATGCAAAGAGAAATATCTTTAAATTTTTGAGGATAAAGGACACGTAATGAGTTAGAATTAGAATAAATTTAGAGAGTTCAAACCCCTTCATGTTATGTAACCAGAGATAGAAAATTGGAAAAACATCCTTCATTGTTTTTCAAATACGAAAAAGGCCTTGTTCATCATGCCCTTTGGAAAAGATAATAATATAAATATATGTATATATTTTGATCAATTTTCAAGTTCAAACCAAGTTATATTTATGTAGCTATTACTAGGGGAGGGGCTCTGGCCATCACTTCAATTGCCTCCTGTTTTGTATCTACTTATTAGCAAAAAGACTTTGGATGCTTTTAAGAGAGAAGAGACGTATGAGTGAGGTTAATGATGAAATGGGGATGCCAACCTATATGAGATAGAAAGTTAGAAAGTTCGATTTTTTCCTAATCAGCTAGCTAATTGACATTTATACGAGTTAGAAAAACTGATTATTGAACGTTGTCTCTCATTTTGACTAAAAATCATCACTCAATAATAAAATAATCTTTTTTCTAGTGTACTACGCTGTCCAAACTCTCAACACCATTATTAAGGCATAAGCACCTCCCCAACCAAAGTCCATTTTAAAAGGTGAGACCTTTGGTTCCTCAAAAGAGCTTTAGGGATATCCAAGAGATAAAAAGCCAGACGTCTCTCTCTGTGTGTTTGAGAGAGAGAGATATGGGTAGGGCTCCTTGTTGTGACAAGGCAAATGTGAAGAAGGGGCCATGGTCACCAGAAGAAGACTCAAAGCTGAAGGAGTACATAGAGAAGCAAGGGACTGGTGGGAATTGGATTGCTCTCCCACAGAAAGCTGGTAAGGTTACTTAATTCAAGCTCAAAATTATATAATAATGGAAACATGTGTTTCCATCTCTCTCTCTCTCTCTCTCTCTCTCTCTCTCTCTCTCTCTCTCTCTCTCTCTCTCTCCTGTTTATATGTATCTGCTTGTTTGTTTATGTATGGGTTGATTTGAGTGTGGATCAGGTCTGAAGAGATGTGGGAAAAGCTGCAGATTGAGGTGGCTTAACTACCTGAGGCCAAACATCAAACATGGAGAATTCTCTGATGAGGAAGACAGAATAATATGCAGCCTCTTTGCTAGCATTGGAAGCAGGTACTACTCTAGCTCTATGCAATTATATTTCCTTTTTCTTCTTTATTACCTAATTTCCATAGGTATAATAGAGTCTACCTCTTTTTCCTTATTTATCATCTCCTATCATGAAAATTGCTGATGAAATCTATCCAAAAATGAGTAACAAAGAACAGAAAAGAGGAAAGAGAAAAGACAATCATGAACTCATGTTTTTTTGTTTTCCTTATTTTATGTTGTGAAAAAAAAAAACCTTCATTTATCAAGAATCTGCTATATTTGGATAATTTCCCTGCATGCATGCCAAGTTTTGGATCTAACATCCACACCCACTTAGAGCTGTTAAGGGAAAGCCAGAACAGGTTTCTGCTTCTTCTGGAACTTAATCATAATTTATGTGTAATTAACAATTAATTATATGCAGGTGGTCAATTATAGCTGCTCAGCTGCCAGGCAGGACTGACAATGATATCAAGAACTATTGGAACACCAAGCTCAAGAAGAAGCTCATGGGGATGCATATGGCTCCTCCATCTCATCATCATCACCATCATCAGAGAAATTCATTAAAACCTCCCCCATTTCCTTCTTCCTCTCATCACAATTATCAAAACCAACCACTAATCCCATCTCAGCCTCTCTCATCACTGTTCAAAGACCTTAGCAGTACTTATAATAGATCTTTCTCATCAGGCTTTGAAATTCCACATCTTTCCATGACATCCAATAATTTTTCAAACTCTACCACCAACTCCTCTCTTTTCCCAACCCAAGAGTGCCTGGTGGGTTCCATGCAGTATAATAATTACCCTGTGAAGAAAAATAGTAATCAAAATAACCTCCTCATGTTTGGAAGTGAAGGAAGTTGCAGCACTTCATCTGATGGGAGCTGTAATCAGATCAGCTATGACAGAGAGAGCAACATCAAACAAGAAGAAATGGTTTTCCAGAGTTTTGATCAAGATCAGAATAATCAGCCCATGATGCTCAACTATGGTAATAACAATAGTGGTTGTAGTACTGGATCGGCAGGTCATGATCATCACCATGTGATCAACCAATGGTGTGAGAGGCCAGATGGGTTTGATCATCTTGGAGCAGAAAACACATTAGGGTACTGTGATCTTGAAGATGTTAAACAGTTGATTAGTGGTGGGAATAATCTTAATATTAGTGTTAATGGGTCTAAGTCTAACAGCCTCTTTTCCAATGTTGATGAAAACAAGACAGAAGAGAAGGTCATGTATTTCTACTGAGAACTGAAATGCTAGTAATTGAGTACTGACTGACTGCTGTTAAGTAAAATGATCAGAAAGATTTGATGGGGTATGGGGTGGTAGGGGAGATTCAAAAAAAAAAAAAAGAAAAAAAAGAAAGAAAGGAAGAAAGACTGACTCAGTTTCTTTCCTAGGGGTCTGGTCTATATGTGTTCTGAACTTTGAAAAAGTACTACTTCTGATGATATCTGAAATGAAACATTTCTTTTTTTGACAGTACATGGTAAAAGCCTCTTTTAATTTTGTGCATTTCTTTTTGGGAGGTGATTGATGATGATGATGATGATGGTGGTGATGATGTTATGTTGTTGTTGTACGGTCCTTCACTGCAACTTCATTTCTGAAATTGTTTTTTTAATTTTTTAAGTGTTATGAAAACTAGAGAGAACTTGTTCTCATCAAGATAAGAACAAGAATCTTTATGTAAAAATAAACCAAGCATGCAACGTTTGCTTTGTTAATATTTTAATAGTTTCCATTTTTATAATTGGTTAGCGGTACCCTAAAGCCAATAGGTCTAGTACGACTACTTTAAATGACAAAACCACCCTACTTGCCAATAGTTTTTCACATGCTTACCATCCTTGAAACTACTATAGTCAAATCATTTGTCTTCGAAAGTCAAGATGACTCATTTTACTCCATTGAGTAATATTTTGCGTCTCACTTACCCTCTTTAGTCTTTCGTCAAATCGACATTGGATACCTGTTCTTGACTTGGCCTTCTAATTTTATGCCATGTAGTAGTGGTTTACCAAAGTTTTTAAGAGACTTGACAGTGGAAGAAAATTAAGTCGCCAAACATCGGTCAAGATGAGATATATTATAAGTTCGAGAGTGTAATGTGAGATTCAAATGCAATAAGGCGTAATTTTGGTATTTGGAGTATGTGCATCACTGTTGCTTGGTAGTAAGGTTAATCAGTCGGAATCTTTTATATATAAATGAAGCAGGTCAGACTCAAGATGGGAACTTGCTTACCAGAAAATGAAAGACAAAAACATAATGCTGGAAATTTTGGAGTCTTGCAAAGGCTTCAACTTTAAAATATAGGTTTTCATTTTTAATACATGATCTCAGTACACTCTCGATAAACGACATGTCTCATATTAAATTTAGCAAGATAGTTAGAAACCCAAAGGCCATGGAAGTATTTATATATAAAAATTATTATGTGTTGATCAGTGCACAACCGATTGTCTGTATACAAAACGTTGAAAAGAAAAATGCAAATTTAATTAAATCGGTGAGGCGGGCAATGGCATGCCATGATGTAACAAGGGGGGTGCCTGCAGGAACAGTATAATTATTTGATTAGACTACTCATTTGGGGAGGCAATATTTGTTCATGAGGTTCATTGAAATAAAATTGTTTTTTTCTTTCTTTCCATTGAAATAATTAAATAATTAAATCTTTAATCCTCAAATCTTACTCTAAATTCGAAAATAATCAATCACGTTATTTTTCTTTTAGAAGTTCATATTATTATTGTTTTTTTTATATATATAAGCGATATTAAGAAAGGTGAGAATTGAACTTAGGACTTCAGTTGCATAAGTCGTAAATGCTTTAAACCTATTTAAGCTACAAACCTCTTGCATTATTGTTAGTTCTCTTTCATAATCCATTATTATGCTTATGTTCAAGGGCAACACATTTCAAGGACGTCCACACTTCCATCAACTCACTACAAACCATATAAGTTGAGGTCAATTTCTTGTAAGATAATGGAATTGAAATTAGAGGTGACAATTCATGTTGATGAGTCGCATTTGAATTATGTCGACAGATTGGACGCGAATATGCATATGAATATGATATGAATCTAAGCAAGTATACATTTGTGGCATGTTTATCCAATGGTAGCAAACGACGAAAACATAAGCCAGTAACCTTACTTAGCCAATGTAATGAAGTAGTTGCCTTGATAATGTGACACCAACAATAGTGAATTCAACCCCCTTAATTCTTAGAAACATCGTACATTGTAAAGAGTGTTTAACTCAAATGATTAAGAGTATTTATCAATACATTTCAAATTATGTATTCAAAATGCAGAAACTCTCATGGTTGAAAATCAAAATCTTTTTTATGATAATGAAAATGGTAGTGATTGTATGGTGGAGAAACAAAATCGTAACCAGCAGCACAGTTATGTAGACAATGTATTTTATTGAAGTGACAGGGAATCCCTATCGGGAAGCAGTCCAAAGCACTCCAAAATTACATGATATGCTGCACAATATCTCTGTCAGTGCATATGCCCAGATTTTTATTAGAGTGGGGGCAGTTGACGTGAGGCCAATTGGTCTCTGCATCCTTGAAATTTTGTTTCATTTTAATTATATATTCAACCATTTTGTCAATTTTTTTTTCCAGTAAAATATTAACAATCCAATAAAATCTCACCTCTTATAGAAACTACATTATTTGGAAATCTGCATCTACTTCAGTTTCAAATTAAATAATTGTGGTTCCACTTGCTAGTTACAGTGTGTTTGGATGAGGAAATTTAAAAATACAAATAATTTCATAAATAATGGAATTTAAAATAACGGAAATTAATGTTCTTAAATTTGTAAAGTTTCTTTTTTGGATGATGAATTTAAAAGATGGAATTTAACCTTCATTTGTAAAGTTATCTTTTTAAAAACTCAATCTCTCTTGAGATTTTAGAAATGACGATTTTTAGATATAATTTAAAGTTGAGATTTATGATTTCCAAATTCCATGTTTTATTTCAGCATAATTTCTAAGTTTCTATATTTTTTTTTTATCCAAACAAGGGAATTGTTTAATGTCAATTTAGAAATTCTGACTTTTGTCAAAATCCCAAGTTTATTTCCCTCATCCAAATACATCGTTAGGGTGTTTTTAATAATTTTTTTTTTAATAATAATTTTCCAACTTGATTTTATTTTAAAAATAATGAGGGAAAAGGTTTTCTAGGAATGTCTTTTCTAGTGAAGTGTAATGGTCAAAAGGTGTGGAACCTACTGACAGTCTGACACCCAAATATTTTAAGTTCAAACTTTTTTTTAAAATTAAAAACTTGTGTTTAATTATTTAGAGGATGATCTGTTGTCAACAAACTGAGGTTTTAACAGATAGGGCTTTGAAGTTTGTACACAATAGGTTGCAGCAAGTATAATATAATTAGAAAGAGCCCAACACAATACAGATATTTTCTTGTTTATTTATAATGTAATTGTCCAATGAGTGGAATTTGCTTGACCATTGTCCGTGACCTTGTTGATTTTATGTGGTCTTCGACTTTAGCTATTTGTGTCACATTTTTCGAAAGAAGCTGTAAAAGTTGATCTTTGAGTACAAACATACCTACTCTTAAGGATAAACCCTTAAATATCATCATAGCCGTTGGGATAAAGATTAATTCATACATATTCGGAAACAATTTGCTTTAATCACAAAGGATAAACCCTTAAATATCATCATAACAGTTGTGCCCCAACAGACTTTTCAGCCCAATTAATACTGTTTATTACTTTAGCATTGTCAATGTAGGTTTCTTTGAAAACAGGTGAAGAAAGTCTGTATTTGTTATCTGAAGGAGGGAAAAAGAGAGCATATTTTTAGCATTTTCAATGCAGGTTTTATTCTTCTAAAATAAAATAAATGGTTACAAGAGCCACGATCAACTTGTTATTTCTAAAGAGAAAGAAATAAGTTGCAACTTTGGTGACTGAGTTTGACAAGTCTGTTGGAGAGAGCTTTGCTTTTGAAACTCACCTATTTTAACATTCCAAAACTATTGAAGAGATTGTAAGAAAACGGTACCTTGACTTTTGATAGAGTTGCAATGATTCAGGGCACCGAGAGCGCTTCATGAAGTTTTCCTTTAATGTCACATTTAGTGTTTTGGATTGAATTGGATAACTCGCTAAAGTTCAACAATTGTAGGATAATTTCCTTTCTTGAAAGTTAAGGAACTATGTTTATATTCAATTTCACATTTCGCGAACGAAAATTTTCCCCTCCTCCATTAATTTAAAAAAAAATATAATGAATTATTTGACTTTTTTTTTTTTTTTTTTTTTTTTTTTTTTTTTTTTTAATAATTATATTTCTATATATAACATTTTAGAAACACACATATTTCACAATAAACTACCTCAAAATCAAGAGTGACAACTGAGTCGTTTGGGGATCAGCCTCTGATCATTCGGGACCATTGTTTATACAATATCCGCAATCCCTCTCTACTTGAATGCTTCACTTTTCGTTGTGATAAAAATCAGAAACCTAAACAAAAGAAATGCAACAAAGAAAACGGTGGCTACATCTAAATAACTACTGGGTCACTTTTCAACTAAAGCTACTGAAATTCCAGCTGCTAGTTTAACCAAAAGCAAGCAATTTTATAATTACTGGGAAATGTTATTATGATGAGAGTACATTTCATTTATACTGCGAGTTCATTCCCTATGTTTAGTTAGAATTTGTACCCAAAAAAACAAATGTATCGGTCAAAAAATTACAAATTTGATTGCTTTAGTAATGATTAGTATGGATGGCTTTGGAGATATAAGACTTGCAAAAGTGAGAAAGTTTGAACACCACATTGTGATCAGAAAGACCAATTTTGTACTGAACAGACAGAAGTAACTCGTACCAAGTACCAACTTACAGAATACAAAACTACACGAACACCAGAGGCAAGTGAAAAATAAAATACGTAAGAAAATCGCCAAACAGGTCCATTTACGAGACTCGTATCTGAACCATGGACAAATAGGAAAACCAGAAATGATGTCTGACTGTAAGTTGTCACCACGGTTCACCTGCACAATATCTAATCCATTCAAATTCTGATTACAACTATGGACGTCTCTAACCTTCAGCATCAACACAAGAAATGCAAGGGGCTAATACGAATGAAAAAAGACCAAAATCAGAATAAACAAAAAGCAGCACCCAGAGAGTAGTTACAAATGTAACTGATTGATGACTGGAAAACACAAGGTAGAGCAACTAATTAATAACTGATTAAGCTTGCGATACACATGATGTGGAAGGCAATCAAACCAAGTGTTAGATAACAGTATTGTCACAATCAATTGACAGCAAGCATAAGAAAACTGAGAACTAACCTGAAGAAAGGGTGCCATGACCTCACGAAGCACCACCTGTAATGCTTCCTATCATTTTAAGGTCAAAGATTTCAACCCAATAACCATCAGGATCCTTAATGAATGCTATCCCTTTCATCTTTCCTGCAATCAACATCACAAAATTAAGGAACCGAGAATCGGTAAATACTGAAACCAAACTAAAACTAACTTTTCACAATTATTTATTCTTTAAATAAAAGGAGGTAAAATTGCGAATTACAGGAAAACGAACTCCCACAGTGAGAATAAAAAATACTGGTCTTGGTCATCCATGATCCTCCCCAAGAAAGAAAACACACATGAATTTGCTCATTCCTTATCTTCACCACAGTTTGGGAGAGCAAGATTGAACTAAAAGATAATGCTGGTGCATAATGAGCACAACTAAATATACACATACATGTATACAACCATAGTGTTCCATATGAGCATATATGAGCACACACCTAAATAAACACATACATGCATACAACCAAAGTGTTCCATATGAGCATATATGAGCACACACCTAAATATACGCATACAAGCATAAAACCATATTGTTTACTAGTGTCCATGGAAACCTCAACAACAGCAAAAATCCAGCTTATTCTTTGGAAGCCAGAACAGAGAGCGAAAGATTATAATTATAGAGACCAAGGTGCTGTTACTAAGCTTGCTAAATGGGCACAAGGAGCTGGAATGAAAATCCATCAAACTACAAAAACCAAGAACAAGGCCATCAATTGCGCATGACAGTGACTTCAGTATCAGGAAAAAATATTAATTTGTTGAAGGATGTATTTGCAATGTCCAAGTTGGCATTAGAGACAGAGAATAATGTCAAAAACAGTTCAAAATGTCAATCATCAATAGTAATTTTTCACAATCTGAGTATAGGCCATCAGACCACATTCACACACCAGCAGACCTCATTAACAGCTTAGATATCCCGATTGGACAGGGTACTTTTGGTTAACTAATGAAGATAGCATATTGTTTAAAAGTAACGGTGCTGCTAATTCAGGGAAATTCACTGTCTATTGTTTAATTGAAACCATCTTCCATCACTTATAAATAGCCTATTTATACAACAGCATCAATCCTACAGACTGATATTGAGATTTATCACTCTACTTATACAAAAACGAATCAAATGTGTCCCAATCAATCCCCATTATATATGCCAACGTTCAATGACGAGACATCTCATAAATCACAATAGGTTCAACAATATGGATGTTCTTACCGTCATCTGGCTTTTTCACAAACTCCACCCCGAGACGTTCAAATCTCTCACATGCCTTGTAAGTATCATCAACTGTGACACCAATGTGTCCTGAGTAACAAAATTAGAGGTTAGGCCAGCCAGTGTGCCAGAATCTGAGAATCGCTAGGTATAAACTAAGACATGTACATGCTTAATCGTTACAGATGCATTAGCCATCAGGCAAAGCTACAGGGACAAATGTAAATGATTGGCAATATTCAAATTATTGACATTTGCAGAAACGCATGATTTCATTTCCACAACCCCCCCCCCAATTCACATGAATACCATCCCGTACGATTTGCATTGGTTGGTTATGCTGTCTTGTTATTTTAAAATGGTATTGAAAGTACAGATTCCTGTAAGTGAATCAACCATACCTAAAAGTTCGGTCAGTTAAGGAGTGGAAGCCCCCATATCTTTTGTATAATAATATCATACAAATCTTTTACCTAAATAGGCTATAGTGTACCAACACTAACATATAATGATACACACTAAATGCAATACAATGAATACACTCTTCCCTAAAATTTTGTTTATGCTTGAAAGAAATGTAGCCTTTTTTTTTCTTATCGAAGTAAGCATTTGGAGTGTTTCAAAATTTATCGTTCAGGACAAGTCAAAACAAATTACTCAATCAAAGCCAATCAATAATACTGACTTTCTTGGAACCATCCATACTTGCCACATAAGAAGACAAGACATCATATGTGGCATTTGGCATCAAATGGTCTAGTAAATCTAACTCCTAAGTAAAAGAAGAAACAAATGCATCAAAAAACACCGTATGTTTTGACATATTCATAGGACAACTTACATACCAAAGCCTCGAGGTTCCGAATTCCCATTGTGATATCCTTTGAATTCTGGATCACTTTCAGTACCCCAATTACTGTAAAAGGTAAGCGATTGTCAGATATCACATTGGACAGAACATGTACCAAAAAAAGAAAAAGAGAAGAGCATGTAGGCGAATTAAAAGAAACTCACTGTGTTAACTCAATTGTAGCCTTCTGGCCAAAGGTCCAAACTGTTCTATCAGCCGGGTTAGTTGGAGCTGATGTAGGATCCTATTCAGTAAAAGATAAATAGAATTAAATGTCTCTGTTAACAGGGAAATTTTTAGAAACATAATCCCAACCATGACTGTAAAATCAAACAATGAACTTGGTAAAAATTTTGTTATTGTAGAAAGGATATTACGAATTTTACCTCATAGCCCAAAAAGTACAAACTAAACTTCATTTCTGGAAAGTCCAGCCTCTTAAGCAAACTGAAAAATAGAAGAAATCACCATCAACTTCACTCAAACAGTCATTTTTGGACAAGATCTCTACTCACAGAATCTCTTAGCCATTGTAAAGTGCATGCATGCATGTGCACATGCACACTAATATGCAAAACAATCTAACTGCATGCTATATTTACTGCAGAAGCATATATCTCATGATAACACAAGACAATCCAACTGAATCATAAATTGGTCCAAAATTTGACTTAGTATGCATGCATAGTCCTAATATTGTGTGCCAATAAATTCAAAGAGACCGTGCCACAAGTCAACATCAAGAGTTACATGGTAATCTTTTAAAACATTAATGAAAGATGTTATAAGGCAAAACAGGCATGAAAAACATGTATGGTGTTACAAAGACTCAAAGGTACACACACTTCTTGGCCAAAATTGAAATAAGAACTAACACCCTAAATGTCAAGTGAGGCATCTACAAGACTATTATATGCTCAAACAGATTTACAAATTACTTCTATGCTCGTATAGGACCTCCTTCGTTGTACAGGGATCGTTTAGCACCTATGTGCTCCGAGCTGGTCATAAAATTGTATAACTTAAGAAAAGCACAATCTACTGACTCGTTAAAGTCCATCACTTAAAAAATATAACAAACACTAAACACGTGACTATTTTCTTCTGCCATTCGTAATTGAGCCTATGAACATCCAACATATTACTAACAATAAGTCTACTGGTAAATCCCAAGAAAGCACGTAGGGATTTAACATGCCCACCTGTTCTTCCTTTTATCCATTTTTTCCGAAGTTCTAGTAATAAAAGAGACAGCCAATGCACCCAAACTATAAACCACCAGATATTAATCAATGTCGCACTCATACAAAAAATGCAAAATCTTAAAGAACCAAAACCTTCCACTTTTTGAGGAAAGAAAAACTTGCTCGATTTAAATAAAGGAAATGTTCATATCAATTAATACAAAGCGAGCACCTATACTATTTTCCACCCAAACACCACACGAAAGTATAACAACAAAGAAAATTAGAGAAGAATTTTCGAAACCCATTAAAAGAAACTTACGACATGCCCAACACACGTGAATAAAAGTCAAGACTGGCTTTAGGGTCCTTAATCCGAAACATCTGCAACCAAATTACAGAAAGAAATTATCGCTAAAGTAAAATCAAAATGCAGAGCAAATGTCATAGCAGAAAATAAAATACATATTTGTGACAAAGGTGAATGCTTACAGTTTGTTGCATGAAGTAACTCTTAGTGGCTTCATCTGGGGTGGCGTGGAGGCCCGGATTGTTGGCGAGTGATTCTTTCGGCTCGGACGCCATTGAAAACAAGCGGAACCGGTATTTCGGAGCCTGTAAGAGACATACAAGTAAGTATAACATCAAATGACAAATTTGGGAGATTATCGAAGAGAAAAATCGCGAAGGTTATATAGTGTATGGTTGAATTGGACCTTTGGTTTAGTGAGAACAAATGGGGTTGTGTGTGGAAACGACGGAGAGAGTTTTAGAGAGAATCGGATTAGGGAAAAGCGAGATAGGGCGGTTGTGATTGAAGCAGAATAAGCCATGGAGGTTTTCTGTGAGGGAGAGAGAGAGTATTTACCTTGTGGGAGAAATGAAAGCAGAGGAGGGCAGGTGCCGTCTGTTTGCCTTCTGATTTGGAGGTTTTCTTCTACACTTCGTGCGGCTATACTACGGTCTTTCACGAAAAAAGAAAAAAAGGGTCTAGCCCCGCGGCTATACGTTTTAAATATAAAAAAATTCGTATGTTTTTATGCAAGGGCACTAGGCGGGCCCTTTTTAAAAAAAAATCGTATAGCCGCTCGGCTATACTCTTATTTATAAAAATAGTATAGCTGCGCGGCTTTATGGGGATATTTTTTAAAACATAAATAGTATAGCCGTGCGGCTATACTCTTTATATATATACTATGATTCCTTTTTTTAACCAAAACAAAAAAAATTCCTCAATTTTGTTTTATCGATAACAACAGTTTAGAGTATTATCCATTACTATTAGGTTATTACCCAAGTATCTATGGTCCCCTTTTGATTTTTTACTTTTCCAGAGTTATCACCCGTAAGGAATTTAGTTTTATGACTATATTTGGCTTGTGATCAATGACTGGAGATAGCCTAAAGCCATCTTCAACCATGGGCTATATCCCAAATATAGTCCTAAAATAATGCAAAACTCATCTTCAGCCATAGGCTAAACAAAATTTTGGCCAAATTTGGAGGGCCCTATTTGACCCTTTCGCCCTCCAGCCGGGCCACATGTAGCCCAACTTTGGCCTAGGCCAAATTTTTCTGTGGATCCCATGCATGTGCTTTTAATGTTTTCAATTCATGTTGTTCAAGAAAAAAAAAAAGTATAAAAAAGTATTGGTATGAACGTTGCAGGTCAGACCATTGAAAACCAATCCTTTTTTTTTATTTTAATTTTTTTTAATGTGGTCACCTTTTTAAATGTCAATTCATGTAATTAAGTAAAAATTATAAAAAAATTATTGGTCATGACGTTGGAGGTCAGACCATTGAAACCCATCCTTTTTTTAATTTTTAATTTTTAATTTTTTATAATTTACATGTGGTCACCTTTTTAAATGTTTTCAAGTGTTGTTTTAAAAAAATTATAATTAAATTAAACAATATATAGTTGCAGAATGTATGAGTATTGTATCATAGTTTTTCTCAAAATAATAAAACATGAAGGATCCTCAAATATAGTCCTGAATGGCTGGAGATGGAAAAATTTAGCCATGCACTATTATTAAAAAAAATTAATATTTTGAAGGGCTAAATTTTTAGCTATTGACTACATTTAGCCATATGACTGAATATGGCCTAACAAGATATGAATTGTCACTTTTTAATTTTAATAACATATTTATGATCCGAATTTGATAATTTTTTTTGTTTCTAGGCTTTTCCTTGCTGATGTTTTTTTTTTTGGTAGTAGGACTATAAGTAGCTTAGATATTTTTTCATTCATTGAACAGTGAAAGAGATGTTATGGGAAGGAGACGCTAACTACATAAAAACCACCAAATTATTTTGCACTTTTTTGGTGCCGTAGCAGTTAACGTTTATTATTATTTTTTCACAAAAAGGAGGTTGGTGATAATTTTTTATTTTTTATTTTTTATTTTTAAACTGAATTTTAAATTTTAAATTTTATATATATATATATATATATATATATACAGTCCCCTTTTATTGAGGGATCCCTCAAATAATTTTATTTGAGGGACGTCCTTTAGGGTACCCTACAATTTTTTTTTAATAATTCAAACCATCTATTTTTTAGGTCTTCATTCATAGATCATCCTTACAAAAAATTAGACAAATCTGAAACTGTTTCGACATCTAATTGTGTCCTACAAAATCAATGAACACGGTATTTCAAGAAAGTACTAAAATTTCAATAACTCAATTAAATGGTCAAATGATATCGGATTCAAGTTATTTTTTGTAGAGATGATCTTTGAATGAGTATCTACAAAATAGACAGTTTGGATTAGTGAAATACAATCCGAAGTGGGCCCTACAAGGGGTGTCCCTCAAATAAGCTCTCAATGGAAGCTCTCTGTGTGTATATATATATATATATATATATATCTATATTTTTAGTTCACGTGGCGGCAGTGTGTCTTCTAACTAAGGAAAAAATTGGATCGCCAATTAGGTCTAGCCTAATGGAAAATGGTCTGGACTTACAGACTAGTGGTTTCAAGATTCGAACCTTCATGGCACCTTAGTAGTGTGTGTGAGACCCCCCATTCCCTTATAGTTTAGATTATTACTTGTGTTAAAAAAAAAAAGTGATCTTGCATATGACACGTCGTTACTTAAGAGTCCTAATGACAGTACCATATTGTCACAAATTTGAAAACTACATGTATAAGTGTTCAAATTAAAAATATGTATACTACCAACGGGGATAGCCCAATAGAAAAGAGCCTTGAATTGTAGATCAAAGGTCTCAAGTTCGAACCCCCATGGCACATTGGTAATATGTGTGTAAGGAATCCATTCCCCTTATAATTTAGACTATCGCTTATACTAGTGAAGAAGTCAGAGTATTTAACTAACTCTTCAAAGTTATACCAAGTATCTATGTGTGTATGTGAACCCCCTCCTCCTTCCTAACTTTGACAAAAAAAATTTATTTTTTTCAAGGGAAGTTTACAAGAACCGTCTCCACAAAGGGAGCGCACGAAATTCAAACTTTCTTCATTGGCAGACGTTGATGTTTACCAAGAAAGACGTTGACTTTTGGTGCTCCATTCCATTAATTTAAGTGTTATCCGAACACGTTATGACGCATTTCTCAGACGGATCGTCTTCCAACAATTAATATTGTAGTGATCATGCCCTTAGAAAGTATTCAACATCAAGGGAGATAAACTAATCCACTTGTTTATTTGCAAAACCAAAGACTGAATGAACATGAAAGTCGAAATACTAGAATTTCCTCAAATGATTAGTGGACCCCACTCTACAGGATGGTGATTGCCCCGTTAGTTTTATCGTCGATCATACTATTGTCCTGTTTTCATACCCTAACCTTCCCATTAATTAGTCGAAAAAAAAAGGGGAAACAGTACCTCATCATGTCTGAGAAAGAAGAAAAACAAAAATTCTTGATCATGCATGACGTGCAAAACCAATTGCCGTTGTTTAGCCAAAAAGACTGAGTATCTGCAGAAATCTTAGCCGTTTAATCATATCAAAGACTGAGTCTTTAACTCGACACACATGCGCCATATCCTCTTTTGTCTTGTTACCAAGTATCCATTTCCATTAGGTTTCTTTCCAAGTTTCAATCCTTTTGTTTATCCAACCGAAGGAAACGATATTCACTCACCCATTAGGTAACAATCATTCACAGTGCCATAATTTCGACCATTTTCCTCATCAGATTCATCACCAAAATCTATACAATTTGATTTGTGTGCTCTGCTGCACCACAAACTCTCTGCTATCAATAATAAGAATAAGAGCCTCCCATCATCTTTAACTAAATCCACTATAAAAATCCTCATCCAAAACTGACATACCCACACACCCAATTGCCCATTTGAATTTCTCTTGGATAGTTTTCGATGGAGAAATCTGGGTATGGCCGTGATGGTATTTTCAGGTCTCTTAGGCCACCTCTGGTCTTACCCAGAGACCCAAACCTCTCCATGGTCTCTTTCCTCTTCAGAAACTCCTCTTCTTACTCAAACAAACCTGCCCTCATTGATGCCGAGTCTTCTGAAACCTTGTCCTTCTCTCAGTTCAAGTCCTTGGTCATCAAGGTCTCCCATGGCTTACTCCATTTGGGTATTAAGAAAAACGATGTTGTTCTCATTTTTGCTCCGAATTCAATCCAATTCCCCATTTGTTTCCTTGGTATTGTTGCAAGTGGTGCCATTGCAACCACTTCCAATCCTCTTTACACTGTCTCAGAGTTGTCCAAGCAAGTGAAAGATTCAAATCCCAAGCTTGTCATAACTGTTCCTGAATTGTTTGAAAAGGTCAAGGATTTCAATCTCCCAGCAGTGATTTTGGGGTCACAGGGTGCTTCCCACATTGTATCCAGGTCAAAGATTCTAACTTTCCATGATTTGGTTGAGTCAGCTGGGTCTGCCTCAGATTTCCCATTGGCCAATATTAAGCAGACCGACACAGCTGCGCTTTTGTACTCTTCTGGTACAACAGGCATGAGCAAAGGGGTAGTTTTGACACATAAGAATTTCATTGCCTCATCTCTTATGTGCACAATGGAACAAGAAATGACTGGAGAAATGCACCATGTGTTTCTTTGTGTTTTGCCAATGTTTCATGTGTTTGGGTTGGCAATTATCACATATTCACAGCTGCAAAAGGGCAACGCTGTTGTGTCCATGTCTAGATTTGATCTTCAGAAGATCTTGATGGCTGTTGAGAAGTATAAGGTGACCCATTTGTGGGTTGTGCCTCCTATAGTACTTGCCCTGGCAAAGAACAGTGCGGTTAAGAAGTTTAACCTTTCTTCATTGAGGCATATTGGTTCAGGGGCAGCACCTCTGGGGAAAGAGTTGATGGAGGAGTGTGCCAAAGTTATTCCTCAAGGTTTAATTGCTCAGGTACTTAATCATGCTGGTTCCAATTTTATAACTGTGCACAGTTGGAATGTTTCAGATTTATAATTATTTTTGTAGTGTTTGTCTCTGGAATGTGATTGACCCAAATGGATTTAGACTACAGTTTTATTAATCTTTCCAACCTCTGTGAAAGATTGAGAAAATTTAAGTCTTGAACAGAACATTTGAATTTGGCACAAAGTTAAACATAAGTGACAGAGTTTGGCAACTTATGCCACAATTAAATTGATGTGAACTGTGATAATTGAGTGGTGGTAGGGGTTTTGGCATTTCACTGCCTTCCTCATCAATTAGTCGTTGGTAATATAAAACTTCTGTTAGAGCATATTGATTGTTAGTGCATATGGTGTAATTGGCAATTTCCTACCGCAAACCTTTGTAACCGTAATTTCAACTTCGTCACTGATTTAGAAGTTTCCTTGTTTCTCAGGGCTATGGTATGACAGAAACCTGTGGAATTGCTTCAGTGGAGAATACGCTAGTAGGGCCTCGGCATACTGGTTCAACTGGCATGCTTGTTTCAGGAGTTGAATGTCAGATAGTCAGTGTAGACACCCTGAAGCCTCAGCCTCCTAATAAGTTGGGAGAGATATGGGTTAGGGGGCCTAATATGATGAGTGGTAAGTGTTTTTTTCATTTTCATGTATTTAACAATCATGATGGTCCTGCAAATTCAATTGCCAGAATAATTTTTATGAGAGGCTAACTCATATTCGAAATGGTAACAACTCAACAAAACTTGAGGTACCTACATCCTTAATGGGAAATTCTGCAATAGAAAATTTGGTCAAAATTTTTATAGCTTCCAATCAGGATTTGATGACAAGTCTAAGAATTTTAACTTTTAAGTGTCAAAGAAAACCTTTTACCCTTGGTACAGGTGTGATTAACAGTCGGTGCGCAGTAGAAAACTCAAATAGGTCAGTTTAGGTGATTCTATCAAATCTGATTCCAGATATTGGCCATGGAGGTAGTCTGTCAAACTAAGAACTTGTTAAAGTAGCCTCATAGTTCTCATTATTTATATAAGATGCAGAGCTCTTCTACTGATGCTTTCTCCATCTCAAGGAGGGCATTGCATTTTCCATATACTAGCTTAAATGAGCATTGGAGACTCTTCTCCACATGGATCTTGCTCTCGTCCCTCAAAATACTTGGATGTGGAGCATTTCTAAAGTGAAAATTTAAGTTGGGTCTGCCGGATGTAACTAAACACTATGCCATTACAACAATAACAGAAGCAGGGATTGAGAGCATTGTTTGGGCAGTCACCTCAAGATACATCGATATATGCATATGATGCAAAGTTCTAACTGAAGAACTATTTTTACAAAACTCATTTCAGGGTATTTCAACAACCCACAGGCCACCAACGAGACAATAGATAAAAATGGTTGGGTACATACGGGAGATCTTGGATACTTTGATGAAGATGGACAACTTTATGTAGTCGATCGAATCAAAGAGCTCATTAAGTATAAAGGTTTTCAGGTAATTTCTCTTGGTAAAGTTTGAACAATTAATGCTCAAAATTTATACTGGTATTCTTGGTTCTTATGTTCACTATAACCAAAATTTCGGCGATAAAAAAAGAAGCTGTTTTGTCCTTTTGTAAAGATACATCAATGTATCTATATAATAGCAATATCTCCTGTCATTTGGTTAATCTTAATAATTTGAAATAAGGCAATTTATCAGGCCAGAAATTAGAATAACTCTTCTCATGTTTGTTTTTATTAGTACACGTCCTATACATAAAAGAAACACACTTGCATTTTAGTGTTGGCTGATTACTTTTTAGATAGAACAGATTTCAGCATGCCTATACCTGGCCCTGATATCTGTAGGTCCAGAAGATATATGCAGGTTTTTCACTTAATATTTCCTGACTTTGTTTATATGCTTATACTTATTTCTGTTATATTTATTAGGAAAGAAACCTAATTTTGAGTGCCAAACAAATATTCTAGCTATTTCTATTGCATAATAAACATTGATCCCATGCTTAAGTGCCTTTAACTTTTGCTTGTCACTGCAACTAGAATATTTGGTCAATATGATGGATGTTAATGTTGTCAGATTTAGATTAACAGTTACTTATTATCTTTCTGGTTGTTGTTGGAATGCTTATGTATGCTCCATACTTCCACTATTCTATTGAATCATGTTTTGTTTGCTTTGTTTCTCCTTTGCTAGGTGGCACCAGCAGAACTTGAAGGGCTGCTAGTTTCTCACCCTGAAATATTAGATGCTGTTGTCATTCCGTAAGTTTGACACAAACAGAATTTGCACTGATGATGGCCTCATCTTAAGATTTAACTAAATGATCGGATTATTTCCATCCTACAGGTTTCCTGATGCCGAAGCTGGTGAGGTTCCAGTTGCATATTGTGTACGCACTCCAAACAGCTCACTGACTGAAGAAGATGTCAAGACTTTTATAGCTAATCAAGTAAGTAGAGAATTTACAAGGAAGGATTATTATCAGGGACCTGAACTGATTTCCTTGATGCAAAAATTGCTCATGTTTTTGCACTCATAATTCGTTTCGTGACAGGTTGCACCTTTCAAAAGACTACGAAGAGTAACATTCATAAACAGTGTCCCCAAGTCAGCATCTGGAAAAATCCTAAGAAGAGAGCTCATTGATAAAGTACGGTCCAAGATATGAGATTGATGGTTCCTCATTCTAATGTTTGCTTTGGTAAGGCAGACTAGCCAGCAGGGAACACAGCATGTTCCTTGCACACGCTTTAAAGTTGCAGGTATCTTAAGGTATTCAGTTTGGTTGCCATTCTATTTATGGAAGAAGAGCAGGATGTAGCTCGAAATACAAATAATGTAGGATTCTGTTCAACATCTGAGCAATAAGTCTTTGCATTAAAATTATAAGAGCATTTTCATTATGTTCAAATAGCAACTCTCAATTTACATAAAACAATAGATAGCAATAAGTCTTTAGGTGGTTTCTTATAGCAATGTCTTTATGTATTGTTGAATTCTTTATTGCTCAAACCGGCCAAAGCCAATTCGAGCAGTTTGACTAAATGTGTAATCTTGGATTGAATTTAATCAAACTGCAATTATTTCGTCTCTATTCGCTTTGGCCTATTATATTTTACACTTGACATTTTCTTATTGGTTATAACCATTGCAATTACGTTTCATTTAACAAATTGGTATCAACCACGTGATACAAAAAAACTAATCCATAAACCATTCGAATTTGACATCAACATTTCAACGGTAAGCAATATTTCAATTATTGTTCAATTTACAGTACGAGGTTCCCTTCGATATATGCAGGATAATATAAAATATCAAAAACGCAATACGGCGAAGGATTGGTCCTTAGTTTGAGTCATAGTGTTTTGGAGCAATTACTCCTTCAGGAAAGGTCCTTAGTTTGAGTCATAGCATATATGTAATGTGTGTAAGTTTAGTATATTATCGCTCCTCTCAATAGAAAAGGTCTTTAAAAAAAAGACATTCAACCACACAATACCAAAAATAAACCCATAAAACCATTGCAAAGGACCCATCAATATAGTGGTTTGGAGCAATTGCTCCCTCAAGCAGGTTCTGGGTTCGAGTCCTAACATCTATATAGTGTATGTGTGAGTTTAATAATATTATCACTCCACTCAATAGGAAAGCCCAACATTTCAACCATAATAACTTTTTTCCAATTATTGTTCAATTTAATGTAGAATGTTCTCTTTAATATGTATAAGATAATATAAAATATAAACTTAATTGCTCATAAAAGGGAAATGAACGAACCAAACTAGTCACTAAGGGATTAGTTTGGTTTGATTATGTTACTAGTTTGACGTTTAAATTAGAGGTAACAAATGGGCCGTGTTGTGTCGGCCTGACTCATTTAAATTTCTGTTACTAAGTTATTCAGGCCAGCCCATTTAATACTGTGCTAGCCCATTTATCAAAACCATTGATCCCAGCCCAACCCAAAGTCCAAGTCCACATTAAACTGGGGCGTGCTCGTGCCGTGTTTGGCATATTTAACTTGAATTTCTTTTTTGTAAGTAATCAATAAGTAATATTACAAGTAAAACTTGAATTTCTTATATATATACAGAGAGAGAGAGAGAGAGAGAGAGAGAGAGAGAGAGAGAGAGAGAGAGAGAGAGAGAGAGAGAGAGAGAGAGAGAGAGAGAGAAATTCTACTATGTGGACATCCGTACATTATTATCATGTTGATGCCATGTATTTTGTATTACCCCTCCTTACTTTCCTCCATGTTTTCAATAGCATTCGCACGATAAAAACGTGTGGACATCTGAATAAGAGAATAATTGATATACAGAAATTCTCCTATGCGGACATGTATAAGTTATTATCGTGCAGATATCATACATTTTGTACTACCCCCTCCCTGCTTTCCTCCTTGTCTACAATAACATCCACACGATAATAACGTGCAGACATCCAAATAAGATCAACCAGAGCAACAACTAAATAACAATAATTATGCGAGGAGGGTATAGTGGTAGACCCAGAATTTCACATTAGAGGGGGCCCCAAAATTTTAAAAAATAATTATAGGGTTCTTATTTTATTCAGTGGCTCAAGCTCTTATCGGTTAATTAGTTAATACTACATTAACTCCTCGTTTTGGCCCACTTCATACTATCATTTCATATTGATTAATAATATTTTCATTCATCACAATCATATAATTGTTTTGAATTTCAAATTTAAAAATGGTAAAAGATTAATCTCATCATCTTCACTATTCAGACTCATAAGAAATATAAAAAAATGTTCATAAATCCCAAAGTTAAACAAAAGAGGAAGGTAAAGATTTTTTAAACATTACAAAGAAAACACAAGCTACAAGTGAGAGAAACCAAAGCAAAAGCACAAAAGCCAACAAAAACTAAAAGCTACTGGGTGGGGGGGGGGGAATTAGATCAACCAGAGAAACAAATGACTCAAAACACCCAATTCGTGTATGCATATATATATATATACACATACATACACATCTAGTCCTTTGTTGAGAAAGGGCATGGGCCCACCCTGGTCCTTAGGTGGCTCCACCATTGGTGGGGTATAGCTCAGTTGGATGAGCTCTTTCATATCCATCTATGTGGGCAAAAACACTAAAGATAAATTATAGAATGATACGGTATCATCACGTCAACTTGTGATACTCTCATTCTTAATTTGCCATGTGTCTAAAGTTTTTACAAGATGGATTTTACCCTTTATTTTTATTAATTTAAAAATTGAAAAAAAAAAAAAAAAAAAAAAAAAAAAAAAAAAACAAACCACCAACAATCACTCCCCCTGAATGACAACTCAACACCCCAAATGCTTGCCATGGAAATCTATCAAAAGATTTTAGACTTCTTGACCTTCGAACTATATGTTCTTGGCCTTGCAAGGCCATAAAGGGTTCAACATATCCCTTAAAACCATAAATCCACCTCCTTCCAGATCCTCAGTATATTTCGTTGAACCCTAGATTGAGAGAGAGGCCTAGGTGTAATTATTAGGTCTGCTAGATTCTCAAGCATCCTTTCATGTTTAAGGTTGTATTGAGAAATTGAGGCGAATAAATATGAAATATGGGAATAAACAAAGATAGCGACATCCATAGCAGGCAAGTGGAGGGTTCTGGAGGGCATTGTGAGGGAAGTGGTGGTTGTTAAGGTTGGTAACTGTTAGGGCTGCTGCTTTCTTTTTTTTTTTTTTTTTTTTTTTTTTTAGTTTTTTTTTTTTTTTTTTTTTTTTTTTTTTTTTTTTTTAAGAAAATGTAAAAATAGATTTTTAAATCCAACGGTATAAATTATTTTATTTTATTTATATAATAATATAACACGTGACAAATTTTAGATGGAAGTATCACGAGGTGATGTGGTGATACCTATCTTAATTCTTGATAAACGTGCCCTAGTATTAAGCTCTTGCTGTAAAAACAACCATGCAAATAATTTAACTTTTGGAAGTAATTTTAATTTCTAGATTTTACTCAAATATGATTCTATTGCAATTGTGTTGCCAATTTAACGGTAAAAATTCTAATGAGAGAAGAACCTTGATACCATACAATTCTATAATTTCTTCATAAGAAAGAGAAATATATTTATTCTTGATAAACGTGCCCTAGTATTGAGCTCTTGTAGTTAAAACAACATGCAAATAATTTAACTTTTGGAAGTAATTTTAATTTCTAGATTTTAATAAAGGGTTAATCATTTTATTAGTCCCTGAACTTAGACCTGATTTGCATTTGAGTATCTCAATTTCCAAAATAGTTCTCATAGTCCTTTAATTTCACTTTCGTTATGACAAATGGTCCTTCCGTCAATTTTGTTAACTTTTTCTGTTAAATGCAGGGGCAAAATGGTATTTTTATATTAAAATAAAAAAATGAATAAAAATCAAATAAAAAACCAACCGAAAAAAAAAAGAAAAATTAAGTTTGGGGGGAGTAGAAATTGGGATAAAGGGAGAGAGAGAGAGTTTAATTTAATTTTTAATTATTATAATTATTTTATTCATATTTTAATCAATTTTGATACAAAAATACCATTTTGCCCCTATATTTAACAGAAAAGTTAACAAAATTAACAGCAGGACCATTTGTCCTAACGAAACTAAAGTTGACGGACCACGGGAAAGATTTTGGAAATTGAGGTAATCAAATGCAAATCGGTTCTAAGTTCAGAGACTAATAAAACGATTAACCCTTTTACTCAAATATGATTCTATTGCAATTATGTTGCTAATTTAACGGTAAAAATTCTAATGAGAGAAGAACCTATATAAAACAATCATAAGTATCATGTAACGGTAAAAAACAAAAAATCCCAATTGAAAACTCCAAAATTTAATATGAGTACCATCTCCCACAATCCATCAAATCTCATTTAAAAGAATTTCTCGTACACTTAAAATACCTTAACCTGAGTTAAAATTTTCAACCTAACTTAGCTAAAACAGCTTTATTAAAATGTTCCAAATTCAAAAATCCTAAACCACCAAACTTTTTACCTGTAATCAAGCTATAAGTGGATGATTTACATAATACCCAAAAGAATTTACGTGCCACAATATCGATTTCTATACTTGCTTTGGTGCCAAGTTGTTACACAAGTTTATCTCTTCACTTGTCATGTATTCTCTTCTCTTCACTTGTCATCAATTGGTCAAAGAAGTTGGTCACTTTAAGTTCGTACCGTAAAGGGAGTGGTTGGAACATTACATAGTTTTAGTGATTGGATTTTAGTAAAAACTCACCAAATGCCTCCTCTAACCACATTATGACGTTGCCTCAGTTTTGGGCTCGATCCAAAATCAATTGGTCAATCAATTTGGATACTTTAAGTTCGTACTATAAAGGGAGTGGTTGGAACATTGCATAGTTTTATTAATTGGATTTCAGTAAAAACTCACCAAATGACTCCTCCCATCATATATGATCTTGCCCATGTTTTGGGCTCGATCCAAAATCAATTGGTCAAAAAAGTTGTTCACTTGAAGTCTATACCAAAGTTCGTACAGTAAAGAGAGTAGTTGGAAGATTGTGTAATTTTATTAATTGAATTTTAGTAAATACTCACCTAAAGACTCCTCCCACCATATTATGATGTGGTCCAAGTTTTGGGCTCGATCCGAAATCAATTGATCAAAGAAGTTGGACACTTTAAGTTCATACCGTAGAAGGAGTGGTACGAACTTAAAGTATCACTCCCTCTGCTTAATTAGTTGAGATGATAAATCCTTGATCAATTAGTCATCTAGTTCATTTTGCATGCAACTCCTTCTCAAATACGAGGGCATGTCAACCACATTATCAACGACCCGAGTGGGGTAGCGGTGAGTGGATAGTAACTTATTGGGGTTGCCTAGACAATTTTTTATTATAAAAAAATCATCAAAATGAAGAAGAAATGCTTCGTTGCCTTCGATATAGTGGGCGAGTGGAAAGTCGGAGTGTCATCGGTAAAGTTTAACCTTGGTGTGCACGGTTGTTTTTAGAAACTCAACCCAATAGCAAGGACGTTGAAAGTGACATTCTTATGAGTTGCAAACCCACAAGATTTAAATAACTTTTTCAAAAAAAAATTCAAACCCACAAGATTTTAAGAACTTTTTGAAAAATTTCTTCCAAATGACACATTTTTAATCATTGGCAAGTGCTCAACCCCAATTTGCAACTATCCATTCACCATCACACCACACGGAGCGAGAATGGGTGAATGGTGTGCTTCCCGAGGTTGACATAGACAATCTTTTGCATGCGAAGAAATGTCTATGCCAATCCTAGGAAGCACACCATTCACCCATCGTGTGGGTGACGATGGGTTGGCTTCAGATGAACTTTAGCTTGGGGTTGTCCTCGGTTATGCTTTTATGTTAAGAGTATGACACATGATTTCTACATGAAAACCCAAATACACTTTTCGGGCATGCCAAAAAATCCACAACACAAACACATGATTTCCATGTTGGCTTCATTAACATGCGCCGGAAATCCCATAGCAAAAGAGAAAAAAATGGGGGAGAGAGGGGGGGAACTTAAAAAAGGTTTAAAGTGCAAACTTACCCAAGAAAATAGAAAATTACAACCCTTTTTTGGATTTTTGGTTCGGGTAGGAATTAATTCGAAATTGAAATAACCCCTTGTGGGCGGAGGGAGGGTGCGCAATGTAACCCCTAAACACCATGGGCATATCTTAACACAATGCATGTATGTGTCTGTTTCTTTGAACTCAGTTGGCCTTCGTAACAACAACAATACATATAGTTGTAGTTTTCTTTTTCATGCGTGCGTTCGTTTGTGTTGTGGGTTTGTTTTTATGTTTTGGGTGGTGAGATTTTAGTTATTGAGCCTCGAACAGATCATCAATTCAACGCCAATGCCATTGTCCATTGTCGAAATCGAACAAGAGCCTTTTCTCTTCGAATACCTCCAAATCCCTCCGTCCCTCCACACAACAAACACACTCTCCCATACTGATATATGGCAATTAAGGCAATTAACTATTTATAGAATCAAAGTACTTCTTGAATGTGTGATGTAAGTACTTCTTGAATGTGTGATGTGGTTGTAGCGAATTAAGGCAATTAACTACTTACTGAATTCTTTAGATGATTCTTATTATGCCCTAACAATCAATTGTAATTTTTTAATTTTTTTGTCTTCTGTTTCTTTTCCATGCAGATTTGCAAGACGCAAACATACCAAATTGTATATCTACTGATCTTAGAAATGTTGCCTACACCCATATACAAGCTTTTAAAGTTCCTTCAACTAATGGAAGATAGTGTTTAGTTGGACATGTTGCACCTGTTTTGGAGGCTTTAAAGATTTTACAACAACTCCTTCCCATTTTTTTCCCACCTGAAAGTAAGTTATGCTTGCAAAATGCCACAATTTAGGGATATTGTCATTCATCAAGTTTTTACTTATACCACATCGCTCCATTAATGCTCGTTTGATGGCTCTAAATGGACAAGACCGGAAGTAAATCCAGTCCCTTCTCATAAAACCCAAGAGATGACTTGTTGCTTGTCCAATTTAATAAGTGCAGTCCGGAGCACCAAGAGAATCACTTAATTGAGAGATGATTATTTGTTAGGATACTACGTCCCTGCCCTTTGTACACATCGTCTGTCGCTCCAACCAGTTGAATGGTCCGGTGAAGTGTTCGAATTGTAGTGACGTGGGTGGTTCGTTGCCCGCGACGCTGCAAGAAGTCCATTGAACCTTATCATTTGGAGGAAGAAGAAATTGTAACAAGGTTTTCATAGGTGAACCTGCAGAAGGATTATTGTCGAAACCTGCCTAACAGAACGACCCAAGAACTAGTTTCAAAGAAGGGGATGAGTGGTTTTACGAATCCTTGTCCCTTTATCTCGGGAGCATTGCGTTAGCGCAACCGACCCTTTCGTGGTGTACAAATGAGCACAGGCTCGAAATGTGCCAAGGAACTTGAATGAGAGAGCGCATCCCTGTTGCCCCAAAAACAGAGTGCGGGCGGTGTTGTCATCTTCAATTGCAGGATCCCGTGAAAATGACTCTCGACAACGGATATCTCGTATCTCGCATTGATGAAGCACATAGAGAAATGCGATACTTGGTGTGAATTGCAGGATCCCGTGAACCTTATTAAAACATTCTAACTCAATTATATACTTGTTGAGTCCCTTGCTAAGTATATCAAATTAGTAGATTAGAGGTATACTTAATTCACATTTGAGAAAAGAAATCTGTAAGAAACAACACAAATAAGAGACTAACCCTGCAAATAGGCCAGGAAAGAAAATAATATCAAATAAACCTTATATGAAAACATAGTCCTTGAGATAGGCGGAGAATCAAAGATCTGCTAAGGGGAGAACGAAGAAAACACCATGTAACAATAACAAAACTAGCCTTGCCATTTAACGTGATGTTACATCCCGGGATAGGCTCCACTGTAGCACGATATTGTTCGCTTTGCGCCCCTCTCTCTGCCCTCACGGTTTTGTTTATGGGAATGCACGAGCAACCCAGTGGGTCACCCATCTTGAAATTGCTCTAGACCCAACTCGCTTAACTTCGGAGTTTCTATGACTCTGAAGCCAGTGAGCTTCCAAAAAGCCTCATGCTAGATGAAGGTGGGCATGTACATGTAAGACACATCACCCCCTTTCCGTTGGTCGATGTGGGATGTTACAATCCACCCTCCTTAGGGACCCAACATCTTCGTCGGCACACTCACACCACACGACAGAGTGGCTCTAATACCAAATTGTCACATCCCGGGATCGGTTCCGCTGTAGCATGATATTGTCCGCTTTGCGCCCCATCTCTGCCCTCACGGTTTTGTTTATGGAAACTCACGAGTAACTTCTTAGTGGGTCACCCATCCTGAGATTGGTCTAGTCCCAACTAGCTTAATTTTGGAGTTCCCATGACTCCGAAGCCAGTGAGCTCCCAAAAGGCCTCGTGCTAAATGGAGGTGGACATGTACATATAAGGCACATCACCCCCTCTCCATTGGTCGATATGGGCTGTTACACCTAAACATTGGGATTAGGCACAAGAGCATTCGCCGGATGCCAAGCCCACTAATGCTCTAAGAATATATTAAGGAAGGCACCTAGGAGACTCAACTCAACCAGTCTTCATAGGTTTGTTAAGAGGGACACCAACATCACCCGAATTTTCAATCCTTGTCGCAGAGTAACCAACCAAACTTATAAAGATGGATAAAAGGATGAAGTTGCCAAAAACCTGGCCAACACTATGAAAAGGAGGACCAAAGCTATAAACCTTAGGTGAAGAGCCACCCATACCAAATCTCTGGACATCGGTCATCTTCTCATAAAGGTAAGGCTTGAGATCACAAATCAGATGAAGGAAGAGGGTGAGGAAAGCGACCTTCACCGTGACTGTCGACCCTTATGAAGCAGCTTGCACCATAGTCACTGTTGACTTGGAGACTATCGGCCTCTGTTGCACCGATACGAGGGATTTTGGGGGTATGCGCGTATTCGATACGACACCGACACGCCCCCGATACTTATATGATACGCCAGACTTTTCTGACATGTTGACTTTATGATACGGCTCTGATACTTCGTCGATACGATCGCAATACGTCCTGAGGTAAAAACGGAAATATTTGGAAAATTTAGGGCTGATTTTGAAGGTTATTGAATATTTGGGGTTAAAATGAAAACTTAAAACTTAGAATTTCAAAGACTCTGCCTATGTTGAAAGGCTAGGTCTTTTGGGTCTCATTCAGACAGCAACCAAAATAGAAGAAGAAGGAAGAAAGAAGAGAACTCACCAGCGCCGTCGCACCCAGCTTCGTCGTCGCCATCATTCATTTGGTTGGGGTTTCTTACGCAGCTCAAGGTTTTCTTTCTTTTTTCTTTTAATAAGCTGCTGTTTTGTTATATGGGTTGGGTATATAATTTAATAAGTAGTTGTGTGGTTAGTTTGTGAAGTTGGAATTGTTGTTAATTAGATAATAGGTATATGGTATATAATATGGGTATGTTCTTTAAAATATTTTGGAAATAGCTGCCTATGAATTGTTTTGTATATGTATTAATTGTTTTATTTATTTATTTATCAAACTTCACTTAAATCATAGGAAATAAATAGTGTGGGTAATAGTTCTAATGATCGGAATAATAGTAATTATAATGGGGAGAATGAGGAGAATGATAATACTCCTTTATGGAAATACGTCAAGAAGCTTGACAAAGATGGTACAGCTGGTGGCAATACTTCATTCCAATGCAACTATTGCTGAAAAACTTTCAAAAGATCATACTTTAGAGTGAAGAGTCACTTGTTAAAACTCAAAAGCAGTGGAGTTACTTGTTGCACTAAAGTTACAAATTCTCATTTGATGGAGATGGAGAAAGTGGTGGAAGAAGCGGAATTGAGGGTGAAAATGGCACAACTTAGAGATGTACCCTTACCCACCTCTAACACTTCAAGTCAAGGAGGTTCAAGTAGTGGTTTGGGTGTGAGTTCAAATTGGTATGGCATCACAAGTAGTGACCCAAAGAAAAGGAAGGCTAATCCTATTGAAAAAGCATTTAACAATAATCTTAGAGAACAATTAGATGGTGAGATTGCAAGAATGTTTTACACGGGCAACTTGTCATTTCAATTTTCAAGGAACCCCATTATGTGAATGCCTTTAAGATCACTCGTAGTAAAACACTTTAGGGTTATCACCTCCTTAGTTACAATATGTTGAGTACACTTCTCCAAAAAGATAAGAATAACATCGAGGAGTCTTTACAACCAATGAAGAGGGCATGGCAAAGTAAAAGGGTCAGTGTTTGTAGTGATGGGTGGTCGGATGCACAAAGAAGACCTCTCATTAATGTCAGGCCGTTTGTGAAAGTGGGCCTATGTTCTTGAAGGCAATAAATTGTGAAGGTGAGTGTAAGGATAAATTTTTCATGGCGAACTTACTTATTGAATAAATCCGGGAAATAGGTCCTCAAAATGAGGTCCAAGTGGTCACCGACAATGCTCCAGTTTGTAAGGCGGCCGGAGATATTGTTGAGGCAAAGTTTAAGCACATCTTTCGGACACCATGTGTGGTCCATACCCTCAATCTTGCTTTGAAGAACATTTGCTCACCCGTGCCAAGACATCCGGAAGTGTGTGAGCAATGTAGTTGGATTTCAACAATCTCAAGTAATGCATGGTTGATTAAGAATTTTATTATGAACCATAATATGAGGTTGTCAATGTATAATGATCATTGTAAGTTGAAGTTGCTCTCCGTTGCCGAGACACATTTTGCTTCTACAATTGTGATGCTTAAAAGATTTAAGCAAGTGAAATAATGCTTAGAGCAAATGGTTATGAGTGAGAAATTGGACATTTATAAAGAGGATGATGTGGTAAAAGCAAGAACGGTTAAAGAAAAAAATATTGGATGAGTGCTTTTGGGAGGACATTGATTACATACTTAACTTTACTTCTCCAATATATGAGATACTTAGGTTGAGTGACATGGATATGCCTTGTCTTCACTTGATTTATAAGTGGTGGGATAATATGATAGAAAAAGTGAAGACAATTATATATCGGAAGGAGCGCAAGCAACTCAATCAGGATTCAATGTTCTTCAATGTGGTGCATGAAATTTTGGTGGACCGATGGACCAAGAGTAGCACACCACTCCATTGCTTGGCACACTCTCTAAATCCTAAGTAAGTCTTTACTTTAGTAAATTTCTCCTTGTGTTCATCATTATAATTTTATAATTCTTATCATATATAGTCTCCTAATCATTGTCCTCCACATAAAGACATTGAGACTACAAGGGAGTGGAAGAAATGTATTGATAGATTATTTTCTAATGAGGTGGAGCGAAGAACGGTTAATGAGGAGTATGCCACTTTTTCGCCATGTGTTGAAGATTTTTCGGGTATGGACTCTATGAAAGATAAAGGTTTCATGGCTCTGGTAAAATGGTAGGTTATCCATGGAGCTTCCACACCAAAACTTCAAATCATAGCATTGAAGCTACTTGGACATCCTTCGTCCTGCTCATGTTGTGCATAGCAATCTTCGTCTGATTTCAAGGAAAAGGCCCGAATATAAAGAAGGGGAAACTCATATGTGGGATGTTGGAGGAGATGCATTTGATTCCATGGATTTGGAAAATGCCGGAGTGCTTGAGATTGCAAACGTCTTTCTTGATGAACCGGACTTAGAAGCTATCATATTTACCCATGATGAAAGAAGTTAGAGCTTTGAGAAGTGATTTCTAATGTTTTACTTTGTGCTTTGTTTATGGATAGATCTGGCATTAAGGAAAGAAGCCCCGGGGGAACATAAATCAGTCTTACGTATTTTGTTTAATTTGTGCTTTGTTTATGGAGATTTGAATGAAGTAATGTGTTTTGTTAATGTTTTGAACTTATTATGAATGAAATATTAATTTTCTATTTTCTATTTTCTATTTATATTATCTTTTTAATATAAATTATTTTAATTGCCGTATCAGTGTTGTACCCGTATTCTACTTTTTAAAGATTTGCCGTATCGGCGTATCATATCATATCGCCGTGCTCGTATCCTTATTGATGCAACATAGCTGTCGGCACAATAGCAGTAGCAAACCAGCTGAAACCACTGTACCAAGGCAACCACATGAACGCCGACGTACTGAGGAGAAAGTGAACAACGAAACCAATGCCCACGACCTGAGAGAGACAACAATGAGGCCAGCACCCCGAAGTCGAAGAGGTGAGCGACGGCAGTGACTCGACGTGGAAGAAAAGTGACTCGATGCTGTCAATTCGAGAAGGGCGATGACGGCTAAACGTGGATGAAAATGATTTGTCCAATATAAAGTACCACAAGAGGAGGAAATGGATAACAAGAGACATCATTCCTTAATAATAAGTAGCCAAAACAGGAACCCATTAACCCACATAAGCCAATCTTGAAGCATCAATGACAACGAGTATGAGACGACAGTTTGATGTCAGAGCAAAGAGCCTGTCAGTGCATACAACCCATTCACCACTCACACGCCGTTGCTTTGGCAAAATTCAGCACCACCAAACGAACCGCACATCTCAACAAGCACAATGGCTACACATAGAATGTGGCTACACCAAGTGGAGCCAAGCCCGCACTGCTATGCATGACAAGAATACCATGAAACCTAGGCAACTAGGCAACCGATATGTTGTGGGTTTGTAACTCATAAGAGTGTCACTTTTAACAACACTGGTATTGGATTGAGTTTCTAAAAACAACCGTGCACACCAAGGTTAAACTTTACTGATGACACTCCGACTCACTACTCGCCCACTACTCCGAAGGCAACTGATACTTTGTGGCATCATTGCTACTTTTAAGAGTATCATCCTTGACTTTCTTGTGCATTGGGCTCGCATTGTGCACACACAAGTAATGCCTAGACAATCTTAATCATAGCTCAATCACCTCCGAAGAGAATTGGCTAGCTTCTTCCAAAGTCAACACACTGCCCACATTTTTGTGTGGCCGACAATTGTCTAGCTTCTTCATCAACTCTGCCGAAAGCCACTCTCGACATACTTGTGCACTGAGAATGTTTGGTGGCTGTATTCCCAACACAAAAGCATAACCGAGGATAACCCCAAGCTAAAGGTCATCTGAAGCCAACCCATCGTCACCCATAGACATTCCCTCGCATGCAAATGATTGTCTATACCAATCTTAGGAAGCATACCATTCACCCATTCTCGCCCCGTGTGGTGTGGCGGTGAGTGGATAGTTATAGATTAGGATTGAGCACTTGCCAAGGATCAAAATTTGCTATTTGGAAGAAAGAAAATGAAAGGTTTAAATGCAAGGGAAAGAAACTTGCAATAATGAACTAGATGATGAACTAGGAAACATGCAATAATGAACTAGATGATCAAAATCTAACCATCAAAAGAAATCGAAAAGGAAAGAAAATGAAAGGTTCATATGCTTATCAATAAGTATGTGATCATATATAATATGACCAAGATAATGTAAAAACAAAACAAGTAAACCATTGTACACATGTTGAAAATGAAACTACTCACTTTAAAGAAGTCTTCCCATATTTTTCACATGTGACATTATACTCCGAGGAATCTTTTTAGTAAATTCATATTTTAAATTATCAAGCAAAGCCTTAAAATTTCCTCAAGTAGTTAGTTTCTCATAATTTAAAAGTAATGCCCATAATAAAGGCATAACCAATTTGGAAAGTTCCATCGGTTTTAACATTTCCTCTATGATCTCTAATAACAAATCATGCAGGCGAAGGACCCATTAGTGTAGTAGTTTGGAGTAATTGCTCCACCATGCAAGGTCCTAGTTTCGAGTCCTAGCATCCGTGTTGTATATGTGAGTTTAGTGTATTATCGCCCTCTCAATGAAAGGGGAAAAAATAAAAAAAAAAAAAAAAAAAAAAAAAAAAATAAATCATTATTATGCTTTGCTTTAACATAACCATCAAAATTTAAATTGTAACAACCATAATTAGGTGGCGCCTAAGTAATCTGATTTCCATCTTTCAAAAAAAAAATCTTCTTCTTTTTGAAACAATGATGGGCATTCCTAAAATTAGAAATAAGGCTTTTAATTTGGAATATCATACTTTCCAGTTTTTCCAACAAATAGTAAAAGTAATTTATAAATAAAAATTAGTTAAATGAGACCTTTTCTTATATAGACGATATTGGAGGATGGGGAATCAAACCTTGGATCTCGAGTGCAAGGATAAATGCTATCACTTGAACTACAAGTCCTTCGTAAAAATAAAAAAGGGGAGGGGGGGGAGGGGAAGGGGTTTTTATAGTATATAAGAACAAATAGGAGGGCATGAAGACAAAAAGCGCCTCCAAATAAGAACAAGATGGTCCAGTTATTATAACCATGTCATTCTCCGATAGTGACATTGACCATAGGTGCTTTTTTTTATTTTTTTATTTAAATGATTGGTCTCTAATGGATTATTTTTTACTCACTTTTGTGCACTTGACATAAAAAGAAAAATTGCAAGGAAAAACATTATAATTAAAAAAAAAGGAAGCAACAAAAGATGGACAGTCTGCCCAATAGTGACATCCATGGATGTTATATTTAAAGTGGACCGGCATATCAATTTGTTTCCTCCCTCACATCGGAAAGGGATATTTTTAATTGCTTGAAATTCAAGGTTAGAAAGGGACTTTAAATTCATTTTCTCTCTCTCTCTCTCTCTCTCTATATATATATATATATAATTATAAATAAATAAATAAATAAAACCTCTTTGTAATTAATCAATATGTAATATTACAATTAAATTTGGCCAAAACATACGATTTCCCAAATACTTATAAGGAACAGTCCCTAAAAAGAAGAGAAATTCTTATATATATATATATATATATATATATATATATGAAACATGAGGGATAAACCCCATAACAACAACTAAACAACAATAATCATGTTAGGTTCAGTTAGTTGAGCTCTTCCATCTCTACCTATTGGGCATGAAGACAAAAAGCGTCTCCAAATAAGAACAAGTCATTCCAGTTATTATAACCATGTCATTCTCCAATAATGGCATTGACCATGGGTGCATTTTTTTTGTTAAATTGATTGGTCTCCAATGGAGTTTTTTAATTCATTTTTGTGCACTTGACAAAAGAATTGCAAGGAAAAACATTATAATTATAATAAATAAATAAATAAAAAAGGAAGCAACAAAAGATGGACAGTCTGTCCATATGTTTAAAGTGGACCGGCATATCATTTGTTTACTCTGCTCACATTGGAAAGGGATATTTTCAATTGCTTGAAATTCAAGGTTAGAAAGGGACTTTAAATTCATTTTCTCTAAATTTAAAAAAAGAAAAAAGACCACTTTGTAATTAATCAATATGTAATATTACAATTAAAATTTGGCCAAAACATACAATTTCCCAAATACTTCCAAAATACTTGTAAGGAACAATCCTTAAAAAGAAGAAAATTCTTTTATATATATATATATATATATATAGATAAACCCCATAATAACAACTAAACAATAATAATCATGTCAGGAGTGTAGTTAAGTTGGTTGAGCTCTTCTATCTCCGCCTATGTGGGCAGAAACCCTAAATCCAATCACCCAATGAATATTTAATATGAGTACCATCTCCCACACAGTCCATCAAATCTTCTTTAAAAGAATTTCTCATACACTTAAAATACCTTAACCCACCAATTATCTTTTTGAGTTAAAATTTTCAACCTAACTTAGCTAAAACAGCTTTATTAAAATGTTCCAAATCCCAAAAATCCCAAACCACCAAACTTTTTACCTGTAATCAATCTATAAGGAGATGATTTACATAAACCCCAAAAGAATTTACGTGCCACAATATCGATTTCTTTACTTGCTTTGGTGCCAAGTTGTTACACAAGTTTATCTCTCTTCACTTGTCATGTATTCTATTCCCTCCTTGGTGTCTGTCTACCGCTTGATACCCTGAGAATCTCACAAATCATATATATCATTATTGAAAGGATTAAAAAAAAACATGTTCCTTTATACCATATTAACACCAAACATATGGATTTGCCTTACAAACTCGTAATAGAAAAGAGAGAAATCGACAATAATCTCCATCTCTCTCTCTCTCTCTCTCTCTCTCTCAAGAATCTGTCAATATTCAGTCTCTAACACAGATCTTGAGAACTACCTTATATTCAGTCTACTGGAACCCTAATCTTCTGAAACCAGTTCCTCAGTTAACTTTGGAAACTGGCCTCAATCAATTCTCTCCCACAAATACAATGGTTTTTATTTTTGTCCTCACAAGATTAAAGACATGTATCATGTATATCCAAAAATTTTAGAAGAGAAGACAATCATGTTGATCCAACAGAAAACACACATCACTGTCAACAAATACATGAATGAGAGATAATTTATTATGAACCACAGACAAATTAAATTATATGATGTATATCTAATCTAAGCTTTCTGTATATACATCATTTCATTCTCCAAAGTTTAATATTTTTGATACTCCATGTCTTTGCTTTCCTTGTCCTCCTTTCCCTTGCATGGCTCTACAAACCCTACGAAAGTTTCAACGATACATTTCTCTCATAACCTTAATTAATTTCCTTAGTTTTCTTCTAATTAAGAAAAATATACAAGCATATATGCAGGAATTTCACTCCACTGGAACATCAGTTCTATCTTCTCTAACATCACTCATATTCTCCTTCAATATTGAAAATCATCATCATCATGCATACTTTCAAGGACACACACACACACACACATATATATATATATATATATATATATATGCGGTTGTGCTGATAGTCTTGCTTCCATTATTCACTCTCTTTGTGCACTCCATCCAAACTGACCTTTACGGATGGACTGATTTAAAAGAAATGATTTAAATTTCGACAATAAGGCGAAAATAGTTACAAAAGAAACTACAAAAACACTACACAGAAATTTGCAATGGATTTGAAACAATTACAAACAAAATATTTGAAGTGGATTCAAAATAACTATATGCAATTGATTATTTGAAATTCCTGTGTTTACAATACATATAACACGAACCATAAAGCTTCACAATTCTGATTATAAAACAAAACAAAAAACAAAAAGAAGAAGAAGAAGCCAAAGATCTTCACAAATAGTAAAATCTGGTGCTCATTACAACTCAAACATTTATTTCTTCACTTCTTAATTTCATGTTCTGTGATTCTTTAACAAACTTATTGATTCACTGTTCCCTTTCTTGCATATGCTTGATATTCAAACTCCAAGAAATGAATTGGTGTTGATAACATGTCAGTAAATTAAGACTACTCTTTATCCAGATCTGTTGTCCTGAAATTATTTCAAGCACGCGATCATAGATAGAAGGCTTAGCAAACTTAAAGGTTTCCTGCTGCTACAAAATTAGCTCATGCAATAATGAACTAGATGATCAAAATTATGGCCACATGATCGTGATATATATACACTCACATATTTGGGGAACTTTGGAACAGCTAGCTATAGGATTTATAATTGTCTAAAATTTGACCGACCTCTACATATATCTATAGCAGATCTCCAGATTAGGCTACAAAAATCTTTGTGCATCTACTGTGCATATCCATACTAATCTGAGAGGGAGATAAGAGAGTTTGTTACCTTAAAAGCCCCGAAATTGTTACCTTATGAGTAGGTAGGCCTCTTTTATGTGCATTCTTCGGTTAATAATTCAAAAGGTTCTGGACAATCAAAACCCTTTTGGATCTAACAGAAATTGGCAATATATCATAAAGAATTAAAGCATACACGCGCGCGCATACACACGCACATATATATAGTCATAATCTAATCATATATATGTAATCAAGACAAAGTGGATTCGTATGTTGAATATTGAACCAAGATGGCATTCACCTGCATTGGCACCTGCACCTCTTGCCTGTTCCTTCTCTTCCTTTCTACCTTCCATACATAAGTTTCCATTTTCTTAATTCTCTTTCCTTTTTTCTTGCCTTAGCCATGCTTTGAAGCTTTGAAGCAATTCGAAGCTTTGAAGCTCTGCTGTTTAAAATTTTGAGGAGATGAAGGAAGAAACAAGTGCAGGTGCAAATGCAGATAAAAGCAACATATTGGCATCTTTGCTAGTTCTGCTCCCATTTTCAAAGTTTCAAAGGCTGCAGTTTATTTTCTCTCTTGGTATAATAAAACTTCCACAAGTGCTAGGAGGATTTATAAGCAGATATTGGTTGATATTTCTGGAGAGAGAATGTGCGCGTGCGTCCGAATTTTTTTTCATTTATCAAATCTGATTAATTATTAAAGCAGAAATCGACACATCGGATTACTTTACTTCAATTCACCTGGTGGTAATTGATAAAATAAAAGGATTGCATTATTCTGACTTGATACATCACTAGTATGTGTTTATTTATTATTTTATATATATATATATTTTTAAATACAAGCGATAGTCTAAATTACAAAGAGATGAGAGTTTCTCACACGCACTACCAAAATACCATAAAGATTCGACTCGATTAGACCCTATTGGCTTCTTTCATGGATTTTAAGTGTTAGCGTACACACATTTTATCTAGATAAAATGATGCGCTATGTTATAAAATTATAGATCTGTACACACGTTGATAAAAATCTGTGTGAATTGATGGTTGAAATTGACTTGCAAAACATATCAAAGCGTCCTGAGAAGGAATATACCCGTATATGGCGAAGAATGCGTAGTTTGTATTGTTGTAAATGAAACATGTGCCTAACACATGGACCTCATAAAATAGAAAGTTCTTTCTTCTTTTTAATTTTCGAATAATACAAACAAAAAAAATAAGGTATTCAAATTGAAGTATTGAAATTCGTAACTACATGGTTAAAAGGTATCTCAAATTCGAACATGAATGAAAAGAAAAAAAAAAAAAAAAAAAAAAAGTGTGAAATTGGTACAAAAGCATCGAGGGATGGTGATAGATAAGAACATAAAGGCAACCATTTTTATGTGGTATGATGAACGGATAAGGATTTGACGAGCTCCATTATTATGGTATCATCCAAAAAACAGAGAGAGACATGTAACAGTATCCTCCTATTATTACTATATCTGCCCTAGTACTAAATGGCGCCAATCAGTCAGGGCCACGTGATGCAAAGCCCCTAAGCACGTGGGATTTGATGTCTCAAGTAATCAGAGGCTGCCACGTGTCTTACTGTACTGGAAAAACCCCTGGACATGAACAGGTGGACTGGAGAGTCGCGTGGGCTCTTCCTCTTTTTGCCTGGGCAAGGAGGTGGGGATGGGGGCAGGTTCTATGTTGGATTTAAAGACGAGGAGAGGATGCTTTCTTTTATTTATCACGGGGTGGACTAAAAGAAGCTTTTGCTGCCTGGCTGGCCATGCTATGTGGACCCAAACTCACTTCCTCGTGGTTTTTGCAATCACAGAGAGAGAGAGAGAGAATCTGTTGAGCATCATCATCGTGGACGTCTTCGGACCACAACGCCCCACAAACTGATTTCTTCTGGCTCATCAAATGAAATGATCATACAATTCGAATTTGGGCTTGTGCAGTAAACTCTGACAAATGTAATATTGGGCTTGCATTTATGGGCTTGAGTCTAACCTTACTCGACCCAAATGAACATGATTTGACTAACTTGAGTGGGCATGGCATAAATCCTCTTCGGGTCCCCAACCCTAACAAGGGTTGATTTCGGGGCAAAACGGGGATCGGATACGGGGATCCCCGAAGTATAAAAATCCCCGTCAAGTATGGGTAGGGCATGATATTGACATTTCCGTCTCCAAACTCGGCCCGATAATTATATATTTATTTTCAAATTAATAATTATATAATATAATACCCTTGTGTTACAGTGAAATAATTATTATATTTAATACTTCATTCCAAGTAAATAAAGAAGACCGGCATTTTGGTTCATACATCTTCCGCGAATGCATCTTGGAATCAATATTGTAAGTTTTTGTGAAATTAGTTTAAATAGATCTTAACTATTTCTTGTCCTCCAAAGTCCTAACGCTGTTCTTCAATTTCTAATTTAACCACCCAAAAATTGTCTTCATCACTGACAATAAATTTCATGAGATTCAGAACTATATTTATGTGCAATAGATCATATGATGCTGTGATTGGATCTAATTTGCAGTTTGTTCTATACATGTTGATTATCAATTCTTATCTCATAGCATATTATGGACATAGGTTTGCACCCTCTTCTAGAAGTGTAAGCAAGCTTCATGGATGATTGTCTTGGAAACATAAAGATCATTTTAAAAATTGTTTACACCATAATCAACTGAGTATATCTAGCCTCAAAACAACTAGAATCAAGGCAAACATGCCTTCTTCCCTGCCAAAGGAAGACACTCTTCTAAGGTGCCAGACACCTGCCGAAGCTCCCGACTGCCGAAGGGCTTAATTGCCAAACCTAATCTCCAAGACATGTGTCCACCACAGCAACTTGCACAAAATTCTACATCGAAACTTTGTGCAAACCTCCCACTTTCACTTCCCTATAAATAGGGAACAGTACCCAAGTAAAAAAGGGAACATCTCTATTACTTTTACTGTTACTCTGCTAATTTCACCATCCTTAGCTGACTTAAGCATTGGAGAGCCTTTGGCCGGCACCACACCGGTGTCTGAAGCTTAACGATTGCTTCTACTACTTTGTCTTCTACAGGCTCTTCCCTTACTGAAGGTCCTCACATTCTCCACTGCTGTCCTTTTCTCTAAGTTGACCTCCCAAAAAGAGCATCAATAGTTTGGCGCCGTATGTGGGAATCGACTACTGAATCTCATCTTTCTCTACCAGCCCAACTAGCTCCTTCTCCCATCAGGCCCCGTCGCCTCTTCTACACTTCACACTCTGCTATGCCGACCAAGGATAGCCATGATACTCAGCACCATACCCCCCAAGGGTACCTCCCGAAGAAAACCTTCAGCATATGCCAATCTCCAGGCAGAGGTAGAGCTCATCCGCACCAGCGTCGCCAAGATGTCCGACAAATACGAACATCTCCATACCAAAAATGTCGAGCTAGAGCTTGACTACCGCACGCTGAAACGTAACTGGAAGAGGACTCAAGCCCAGGGCTCCCAACGTGACTTCACCCAAGATGCTGAGCATACCCAGCCAAACCAGCCGGTGCACTCCCGCCATAGTGCCTCAGTCTAGTCTAGGCTCAGCAAGGGTAAAGGCCATTTCCATCCAGAGACTATCAAGTCGTGGCTTCTTCACATCTCCCTGCCGAATGACTAGCCCCATGAACCGATGAAGGTCTACAGAGATTGCAGAGACCATTTCTTGGACCGTCAGCAAGACCATATTCTTATCCCCGTTAATCTCCAAGATTCATGAGTGACACACCTAGGCCCTCCACTGAAGCCTACCCACTTACCCGCTGGAGAAGGCGCAGGGGACTCGGACGACTGGAAAATTATCACACCGAGGCGTTAGAAGATTGGGAATCTTACTCAACCCCTGCCAATCCACACCTCAAGCCTTCAGCACCCGAGACCCTCCGTCATGCCGACCCAGTCATGAGGCTTCTCTTCGAGAAAGTTCGGCGTTTGGAGAGTGAGTAGCACTGCAGCCACCAGCCCCTCTGGGCGAAGCCACGACTTGGGCCCTTTACCGAACGTATCCTCAATTACCACCAAGAGAAGGACATTAAGCCACTCCGTATCGCCTTCTACACTAGCACGGAGGATCCTCTCACCCATATCCATTTCTTCCGATCTGCCCTCGGATGCCATGGCCTTAGTGACGAAGGCATGTGCCTCCTCTTCCTTTCCACCCTCAGCTCTGCGGCCTTGAATTGGTTCTACAGGCTGAACCCCCGCACCATCAACATATTCGACAGTCTGAAGCAGACCTTCCTGGACCATTTCATGATCCAGACTGATCACCTGTACTCCGCAGACGACTTGTACGTGCTTCGGCAGGGCGAGAATGAACCCTTTAGGGAGTATGCAGTCCGCTTCAGCCACGAATACTCTCGTTACCCCAAAACAGACGATCGTGCTGCCTTTGATGCTTTCAAGAGTGGCATCTGCGAGTCCAACTTCCGGTACCTAGTCCACAGCAACCCTTGGAACACATATGCTGAGCTAATGAAGCATGCAACAATTCACGCCAAGGTTGAGTACTTCAATTCCAAGCGTGACTCAGCCACCTCTGCATGCAGCACCTTTGATGATCCTCCACCTGCTTCAGTACCCACTCCAGCCCTACCTCAACATTCTGCCCAGACACCAAGTACTCAGGGTGCCCAGCACCCCAAAAGGAAGGATAGCTACCAGCCCAGCGGAAGTAACCCTCCCAAGACAAGTGATCGTGCCCCACTCCCCTTCACACCCAAGTCTAGGTTTGAGGTCTTCACCACCCTGAACACTACCTATGAGAATGTCTTAGTACACGAGGCACCCATAATACCTAAGCCTCCCCCCAGGAGACTGACCAACAAACCTATGCCAAACACAGGTGTCTTTTGCCATTTTCATCAGTTCAGTGGCCATGATACCGAATATTGTGTTGCCTTGCGCAACATCATTGAATAACTTATTCGTGAAGGAAAGCTGGATAAATATGTGCACAACCTCCCACCCCTACCTAACCCTTACCAAAAGGCAGATCAACATGATCTCCACCATCAGTGATGGTCCTACCATGGCTGGAACCTCCAACAACTCCATCAAATACTATGTCTGCTCTTCCTATATGCATCAAGTCTTCAGCACTAAGCACGGACGCCTGCTTAAGACTTAAAATCAGGCTAGGCCCCCATCACCTTCTGTGAGGAAGAAGAACGTAGTGTTATTCTCTCACATGACGACCCACTCATTATTCGAGAAGGCAGGGATTTGGGCCAGGATGAGGGATCCCGACTAGTACAGGGACGGGGATTCCCCGAAACCGCTTAAACAGGGTGGGGTCAGGGGGACTGGGTCGGCAGTGGCGGAACTATGAATTTTTCAATGGGTGGGCTAGCTAAACATTTTTTAGCTTAAAATCTAATGATTTTTATTTAAACTTATGGTTTCTACAATTTTTCTATAAATAGAAAGTTTACATTAAATCATACAAATAAAAAACATAAATACATTTACCATAAGACGAATACATACTAAATGCAACCAAAAAATACATATTATCAAGGTGTGCCTATTCAAGTTATGTCATGTCGCTTATTGAGAGAATACAACCGTCAAAAGATAGCAGTGAATTAAATAGACTTCAAAAAAATATTTTTCTTAATTGTGTTGTATTTAGTTGTTTTTTTTTTTTTTTTTTTTTTTTTTTTTTTTTTTTTTTAATATAGAAATTCTATGATTGCATTCATAATTCAGCCAAAAAAGCCACTAGCCACAAAGGGCCAATACAAACTAGCCACAAAAGAGCCATTACAATAACGGAGCGGTCTAATATCAAAATTAAAACAATCTGGTGTGTCTCCACTAATGATCGGCAAGGATCGAAGAAACTCTGGCATAGACATCCCAACTAAGATTGCAAACTTAGAATAATAAAAAAGAGATAAAGCTTGAAAAAATCAAGCCATAACAATACAATTAAAACTCTCACAAAGGAGAGATGAAAAGCTCTCACAAAGGAGAGATGAAAAACTCTCACAAAAGGAGAGGTGAAAACTACACAGAGAATCCAAAGAGTCTCTGCAACTTATTCCAAACATAAAGAAATTGCAAAAAAGATGGTGGTGGAGATCCGACGCCGAAATGAAGGTGAAGATCCGACGCTAAGCCGTAGCCGCCTATAATGGTTGGATGAAAATTAGAACAAAACTAAGACAAATAGGGAAAATCCTGTCTCTGAAAAAGGAGGAAGAGGTGAAAGGAGGAAGATAAGAGGGGAGAGGGGGGAAGAACAATGGCTTCCTCCCCCCTCAAAGTGGAAAAGGCTCTAAGAGTGTTTTTTGGGAGAAAGGGGGCTAGGGTTTATGGTGCTCTATATAGTTTTATTTTTCTTCAAAATCCTTTCCTTAAACAACCATCAGAAATCAATTCGGTTTCGCTGATTTCATAGAGAAACAGCAACGAAACAGGGGAAAGACGAAAAAAGTGATAGAGAGAGAGAGTGAGAGAGAAGATATGGCTAGTGGGTGGGACAGTGACAGGGAATAATAGGGTACATTATTTATGTAGGTATAGTAAAATGATAGCAACTTCTAAAATAATAAACACCGCCACTCTTAGATTAGTGTGGACTCCACCACTTCTAAAATAATATTCAGAAAAATAGCGTTATTAGAGTTTTAGATTTCAAAGAAAAAGCTAGCCCACTCCACATACATTAAAAGTGGATGTTGGCATTTGAACCTTAACATCTTCTTAAATGATTATACAGTAAAAATTATACAAATGCATTTTCCAAGAAAGCAGCTTCTTAAAACCTTAACAACACTCATAATTATCAAAATTTGCCATTAGAGCGTTAGTCGAGTCCACTTCATTCCAACTGTTCCTAATGAGAAAGAAAACAAAGACCCTGTATGACATGACAGCATTTTCCACTGATCTTCCATTTTCAACAACTCAGCTACAAGAAAAGGAACCAAACCAACCAAAACGCACAGCACAATGGCCTGGGTGCGGAGTCAACCCATCCATCTCTCACTTTTTTTTTTCTTTTTTTTTTCTCTGTGTACATTTGTGTGCAAGTGCCTAATGGCTTTCATGTTTTAATGCAGATTTGGAACAAAGGAGCTGGGGATGAGAAGAAAGAGGTGCTACCCACCATATCGTTGTCTCTGCTACCCAGATTGAAAAAATTAAGCAAGATTTTGGAGGTTCTTATTCTCTCATAAACATAATCATGTTTTAGCTTTCCTTCAGCTTATAAGAGTGGTGATTTCCCCACTCCAATTTTATCCACTTACACTCCATTTTATAACTATAAAAAAATGTAAGTAGATAAAATTTGAGTGGGAAAATCATTACCTGCTTATAATTGTTTGAAACTTAGACATCACTTTGTTGGGGCCCACCTTGAGATGTGGTCCAATAATTTAGAGAGAGTTTATGGTTATTATTTGTAATTGGTAGAAAGCATTACCACCACACTAATTGTCGTTAAATGATTAAGTGATGTTTGAGATTGTTTCGGTAGGAGCTCGAAATACTTTCTAAACAACTAAAAGAGAGTTTCTCATAATGTTTGATAGAAGAACTTAAAACTAGTTTTGGCGAACAAAAGCGCTTTATGCTCTATAGGAAGTACTAAAAATTTTGAGGTTCATCAAATAGAAAGTGCTTTTAGACAAATATACTTATGACCAAAAGTGCTTCCTACATAAACTATCTCAAACATTCCCTTAATTCATTTAACGAAATCAATATAGTGGTAATGCCCCCAATATCTTCATTTGTAGAATTTTCTGTCTCTACAAAAACATTAGATCACCTCAAGGTGAGCACCGTGAGCTCCACTAATGCGATTCCTAATATGAAGGCGTTGAAAACAGTGGCACCTTGTCAAAGTGCCCATGGGTCAACCGCATGAAGAAGTTGATGCCCATAAAACAGCCTGAAAGAGAGGCAGGGGTCAATGGTAACAACAACAACAGCAGCATGGCAAATCAGATTCAGATGAAAGCTAGTAATGTGGTGCAAAATGTTCGACAAAGATTCCTGCCTCTAAAACCTTGGCATGATTTCAACAGGGATCTCCTGAAAGCTCATCCACAACGTAAATAAATTTATGATTGTTTTATTTTTTTTATTTTTATAAATTTAAATTATGGGTCTTGTATTGTATTTCTATGATTTTATTTTTATTTTTACAGAGACATACGATGGGAAAAAAGATGAGCTTCCATGGCACACATTGGATGGACAAGGTAATGGGAAGAATAATGGAGGAAAATAAAAGATGGTTTGCCGTCGTCACACGAAAATAAAATAAATTAAGAAAGAGAAATGTAATTTAAATGTTTTTCATTTGATGTTGGGGTTCTATGTCATTATATGTAATCTGTGAATTTTGTGACAAATCCTAAATTTGTCTCTATGGAAGGAAAAAAATACTTAATTTTCGTACCAATGTATCATGATGAAAGAGGTTTTATTTATTTTTTTTTTTTTGGGTGACCAATCACAAATAAAGGACACATAATTCATAAAACACCATTTTGGAATTAGAATGCCAATTTTCTCTTTTAGTCCATCTAATTTGCTTACATTGTTTACTCTAGTCCATGTACATACAAATATGAAGATTTTGACTTTAATTTAATTCCAACGGAATGGTCACTAATCTATTTAAGTGGGCAGCTATGTTACACAAATACTTTACTAAGTTGAAATATCGAAGTGTCGACACTTTTTTTTTTTTTTTTTTTTTTTTTTTTGTTACTGAATAATTCCATTAGGCACCCGCCATAAAAAAGGGAACCAAAACAGACAGAGCAGTAAAAAGGAAAATAGAGAGGGAGCCTGCATACAGGCTCTAGCAAAAACCAACTAAAAAGGTGCTAGCTAAAAAGCTCAAGATAGAGCCACAAAAACAAAGATTAGATCATAGCCATAGCAAGAAAGAATACAGGAATTCTTTAGACGCATTGCAGAGGCAACAGGCGTCATCATGGTAAGGATCTAAAAACCAGATGAAACAAGATTACGGAGGGCAGGGAAGACCATTCCGGGAAAGAACATGAACAAGAGAGGATGGGGGTCGATCGACCCAAACTTCCGTACCCATCCCTCGAATTGCAATCGCCGCTGCTGCATCAGCCACAACGTTGGCTTCTCTTGGGATCTAGTTCCATCGAACACTCGTAAACTTCGACTTCAGCTCCTGTATACGTCCCAATGAAGGATAGAGTTCCCAGGCCCCTTGGTAATTTTCCCCAAACAGCAATTGATGAGGGTTTAGAGTCAGATTCAACCCAAATGTGAGAATAGCCTTGGTCAGCTGCAAAGGAAAGGCCCTCAATAACAGCCCGAGCTTCGCATCCACAACAGACATAGACGTCGTCCAGCACACTTTACCACTTTTGAACTCCCCATGGTGATTCCTAATAATATTCCAATGCCAGTGTGCCCAGAGTTACTGAACCAAGCAGCATCAACATTTAGTTTCAAATAAGGGGTGAGAGGGGCTTGCCATAATGTGCTCCTCACCACCTCAGATTCCTTATCCACATCTCTGTTGACGGCCCCTAAAGTTGGAGCGGAGTTTAGAAAATCTGTCCAGGACTCCTTTGCACCCTGGATCACCAAGCCAGGATTTGGAAGCTGTTGCTCGAAAATGGCTTTGTAGAGAGCCTTCCAGATACTCCACATCAAGAAGGACATTATAGTAACAACACGATTAACCTCATCCTTTGATGAGCCAGCGAGCGATGTCAAAGATAACATCCAGCAATCAAGGCTTGTCACATGTTGCCTATCCCCTATAAATCCTAACAGGCTCCCAAACCAGACCCCCATCACCCATGGGCACGTAAGAAGGGCATGCTCAATCATTTCAGGATTCTCCTCACAGATCGGACATATGGAGGAGCAAGGAATGTGACGGCTAGCTAAGTTGGCCTTTGTTGCCAAACAATTTCTCAAGGCTCGCCACATAAAATGCCTAATCTTTGGTAGAGTTTTAGCATTCCAAATCAGTTTCCATATCTTCTTGTCCACTACTCAGGAACCAGATGGCCTACTAGCACTCCTCCTATTTTCCAAGTTACGTAAGAAGTGATAGCCGGATTTGATAGAATACTGCCTGTGTCTATTGAGAGGCCAGATAACTCGGTCCAACCCAACACTGTTGCCAATCGGGGTAGAGCAAATTGCTTCAATTGTTGGTGAGGTGCCTGATCGAATCTAGATTCCAAGACCTTGTATTAGGATCAATAATGGTAGCAATCCGTACTTGTTTACACATTTCATGATTTAGAGGGCACAGAGGCCAAGACCTCAAGGTAGTGTGAAGCCAGCGGTCATGCCACATGCTAATATTCTGACCATTTACCACTTGCCACTGAGCACCCCTGCTTATAACCTTAATCCCTTCCAGAATGCTTGACCAGCCCCATGAGGCCGGGCACCTTTTTTTGCATTGAGCACACTTTGGACACAACCAAGACACTTACCAACAGAGTTCAACCTATGGTCAAGAAACAATATGGACTATTTTGAAACTTTTACTTAAAACTAGGACCAAAACATAATTATTGAAAATCTTTTAGACAACATGACCAATTTGAGAATTAAAAAAGAACTGGGGTTAAGATTATAATTTCAAAACTCTTTTATACATATAACTATTATGGTTAATCATTTTATTAGTCCCTGAACTTAGACCCGATTTGCATTTGAATACCTCAATTTCTAAAATGGTTCATGTGGTCCTTTAACTTTACTTTCGTTAGGACAAATGGTCATGCTGTCAATTTTGTTAACTTTTTCTGTTAAATGCAAGAGCAAAATGATATTTTTATATTAAAACAAAAAAATGAATAAAAAAATCATATCTTTAAAATAACAATAAAAGAAAATCAAATAAAAAACCAACCAAAAAAAAAAGAAAAATTAAGTTTTGGGGAGTAGAAATCGGGATAGAGGGGAAGAGAGAGAGTTTAATTTTAATTTTTTATTCATATTTTCTTTTTCTTTTTCTGTTTACGTGAACAAATTGAAGTGGATGCAACCAAATTATGTCGACTGTTAAAATTGGTCATTCTAGAAAATAATTACAGATTATTTATAACTTTGAAAAAAATAAAAAATCATGCACAATTTTTAGAATAAACAATGACTCTTATCAGCAAAGGACCCACTAGTGTAGTGGTTTGAAACAATTGCTCCCCCAGGCAAGGTCTGTTGTGTGAAAATGCTCCAAGACCTTGTCATTGATGGACTATGCGACGACACACACATACAACCCCTTTGAGAACAAAACACATGCACACCGAAAAGAGAAATCAAACACACAAGAACACAAAGATTTATAGTGATTCAGCCTCATGCCTACGTCCTCTTGGTGATCCACCTGAGAAATTCACTAGTATGTAAGAACAACTTTGGTGCTTGCACCAATACTCTCCACTCCCTTCCTCCTTGTCTTTGCAATGAGATATATATATATATATATAGAGAGAGAGAGAGAGAGAGAGAGAGAGAGAGAGAGAGAGAGAGAGAGAGAGAGAGAATATTTGTTGAGTTGCTTGAGCATCACCACACTAGATTTCTTCAGACCACAAGGCCCCACACACTAATTTCGTCTAGCTCATCAAATGAAATGATCATACAATAATTCAAATTTGGGCTTGTGCAATAAACTCTAATAAATGTAAGATTGGGCTTGTATTTATATGCTTGGGTCTAATTTGACTCGACCCAAATAAACATGATTAAACTAACTTGAACTCAATCGGAACGAATTTAATTCTAACCCTGGATAAAGCAAACACATAATAACACAAAGATTTATAGAGGTTCGGCCTCGTGCCTACGTCCTCTCGGTGATCCACCCGAGAAATTCACTAGTATGTAAGAACAACTTTGATGCTTACACCAATACTCTCCACTCCCTTCCTCCTAGTATTTGCAATGAGAGAGAGAGAGAGAGAATATCTGTTGAGTTGCTTGAGCATCACCACTAGATGTCTTCGGACCACAAGGCCCCACAAACTGATTTCTTCTAGCTCATCAAATGAAATGATCATACAATAATTTGAATTTGGGCTTGTGCAATAAACTCTAATAAATGTAAGATTGCGCTTGCATTTATAGGCTTGGGTCTAACCTGACTCGACCCAAATAAACATGATTCGACTAACTTGAACTCAATCGAAACAAATTTAATTCTAACCTTGGATAAAATTATTTAGACTTCAAATTAGGGTTGGGCAACCCAACTGGACTATATCAATTGGTTGGCACTGGCCACCAAATTCACATCGTTTGTGTGCCTTTTCCAATGACTGACATAGAGAAATCAGTTCGGTTTCGTTAATTTCACAGAGAAACTGCAACGAATAGAGAGAGAGAGAGAGAGAGAGGAGAGAGAGAGAGAGAGAGAGAGAGAGAGAGAGAGAGGATATGGTTGGTGATAATATCTACATCATTAATATAGATATAGTAAAATTATAGATAAATAATGGGCATTGTTACTTCCTAGCACTCCAATATAGTCATCGCACTCCTTACTCTTTATTTTTCATTAGGAAGAAATGACAATAGTAACTTCTAAAATAATAAACACCACCGCTCTTAGGCTAGTGTGGTCTAGCGCAATGCAATATTCAGAAAAATAGAATTTATGAGGGTTTTAGATTTCAAAGAATAAGCCGAACCCAACTCACATGGCTCACACACACATCACATGTATGTGAAAATGCCTAAACCACCATAAATGATATATAGGGATATCAACATCATACACAACCGCCATCGCCATCATAAACCGCTTGAGGAACTCGACAACTGCCCCAGAAACTCACTCACCCTCTCTCTGCCTTTGAATACCACCCACTGGCCTCACCACATTTCCTTCTCTCTCCGCTCACAATTTACACAAGAACAAACAAAGAAAAAACCAAACAAGGTGAGAGCCAATTCCTCCACCTCTACTTCTCTATCTTTTAGTTTAACCTTATGCTTCTCTCTATTCTTGCATTTGCTTAATGGGTTTTGTATGTGGTTTATGGGTTTTTTGTTTGCTTTTGGATTTAGTGCAGAAAAAGAACAACAACAATGGCAACAAGAATTGGACGGAGTTGAACAATGCTAAATCTTTCCCCAAGCCAAACTCCAAATCACCTCTCTTTTCTAGGCCCATTTACTTTCATTTTCATGGAATTGAGCCATTTGTGAATTTTAAGCCCAAAAAATTGAAATTTTAGTTGGATTTTGTAATTTAAAAAAAGTATGTCCAAAATCGGAAAAATTGAAAACCAAACCAATTTATAGGCAAACTGGACTAGATAATTTTTTCGTCAAAACTAAACTAGATAAATAGTATCGATTTTGATTTGAGATAAGAACTGGACCGAACCAAACCATACCCATCCCTAAACTTTTGAGTGTGAAAGAGTGTTTAGATGAGTTGATATGCATCATGAATATTTTTGAAATTTTTGTGGGGAAGAAGAGAGTATTATTTTTCTTTGAACTTTTCATGACTTTTTCCTCCTATGCATATGGGAAGAAAACACAGCAATAATAAACTCCAAGTCCATGAAATACCACCCACCCTGGCAGATGGTTAGCCAACTTTAGAATTCTAAAAACTCAAGGGGCATGAGGTTCCACCAGATGTCAAGATGAAATCTCGGAGGTCCAAGCCCAAGCCACAGATTCACGCCCAAGATTTTCGGAGGTCAATGTGCACGTGACGAAGGCCTCACAAGGAAAGAAATCAAGGAGGTTGATGACGATTCAGAATTTTCCAAAACGAGAGAAAATCAAGCGACCATAATATCTCTGCCAACGTGATCCACGGATTCATGGGGCTTCAAAAGGAAAGAATTTTGAAAGAGTGGACATTTGGCCATTTAATGGCTAGCCCATGGGCTGACAAATGCCCTATATAAACCTCACCAAATGAAGACAAAACACACAACATCAGACAGACAAACCTATTTTTTGTCTCGCACTTTTCTTTTCCTAGACTTAAGATTTTACTTTTCATGCACCTAGTGTAGCGAGTTCTTCCTTTTCTTAGTGTAAGTTTAAATTCTCGTTCAATTTATATTTTCTTGTAATTTAAATTCAAGTTTATTTCAATTGCTTTAGTTTTCATTGTTATCACATTTCAGTTAAGTTTAATTTCAAGTTCATTTTACTTTATTGTTCTTATCGCTTTCATTTCGTTCCTGCTTTATTTATAGCTTTGATTCATTTTATCGCACTTTAATTCTTGTCTTTACATTATTTATCTTTTGCACTTTATTTTACGCATTTGTCTTTAAATTATATTTTAAGTTTAAGCACCTTTATTTTACGCACTTATTCTTCGTTTCATTACGTTTCACCTTCAATCTTCATCTCCACCCACTCCACATCATTTGGTCGCTCACATAAAGCCTTGACCAAGAGGTAGTGAAAGAACCTAGGCTGTGAAGAGCTTCCTTGCTTGGCCGAACAATCGTTTGATTAAAGTAAGATCTCGGACACAACACATCCATCTACTCACATTCCATTTAAGCCCAAATTCGAGGCTTGGTGATGGCACGCCCTGCATCCAAAAGAAGAAGGACCAAAAGTTCCTTCCATCGATCACCTTGACTGAAAAGAGGGAAACATAATTTGGCACGCCTAGTGGGACACACTCTATGAGCGACCGAAAGGAATGGCAACATTCTTATCAGCTGATGAACAACAATGGCTATGATTCTTATGGCTCGAATAGCCAATCCATCGGCCAATACTATGGTCAATATAATTTTACCCATAAAGGTGGGCCTTACAACCAATATGGCTCAAGTAGTCAATTTGGTGGCCAATATGGTGGGCACAACTATATGGGAGGATTTGGTGACCAATATGGTGGGCAGAATTATATTGGCAGATATGATCCTCTGAACCAATCCACATAGTGTCTTCATCAAATATCACATCCCTGCTTACCACTATCTTCTTTGTAACTGGATTGTATAATTTGTATGCTTTTGAGACTTCACTTACACCAAGAAAAATACATTTTTCACTTTTGTCATCCAACTTCTTTCTTTTCTCATCAGGGATGTGTGCATATGCTATGCACCCAAACACCCTAAAGTGATCAACCGCAGGCTTCAATCCACTCCAAGCTTCTTGAGGAGTCATATTCTTAACAGAAAATGTGGGACTTCTGTTTAAGATATGAACTGACCATAGCACAGCTTCAGACCAAAACTTCTTGGGAATTATTCCTTTGACTAGCAGACTTCGAACCATGTTGAGAATGGTGCGATTTTTCCCTTCACTTACACCATTTTGTTGTGGTGTATAGGCAGTGGTCAACTGTTTCTTGATCCCTTTCTCTTTGCAAAATGCATCAAACTCCTTCAAACAATACTCTCCCTCACGGTCAATTCTTAGTGTTTTAATCTTCTTTTCTAATTCATTTTCAACTAGAGCTTTGAAGCTTTTGAATGCTTCAAATGCTTCTGATTTTTCCTACAAGAAATATACCCATGTCTTTTACTAAAATCATCAGTAAATGAGATGAAATATTTCTTGTTACCATTTGAGATGGGACTTATTGGTCCACATAGATCAGAGTGAACCATCTCCAAGATTGATTGAGCCCTTGCTGCCTTGCCACTTGAAAAAGAGTATCTTTTGTGGTTCCTAGTGATGCATTCTTCACACACCCTTGATGGAGGAGTTATCTCAGGTAAGCCAATGACCATCCCTTTCTGGTGAAGTGTTCTCAAGCCATTAAAATTCAAATGGCCATATCTGTAGTGCCATCTCCACGGGTCATCTTCTTTGGCAAACAAGCAAGCCTGCACAGTCTTGATTTTCAAAGGAAACAATCTGTTGGAAGACATTTTTACAACAACAGTGGAGCCTCTTTTTGGATCATAAACTTCACACTCTCCTTTCTAGATTGTAATCTTGTAGCCTTTATCTTGTAATTGACCAGCACTCAGCAAATTTGTCTTCAAATCAGGAATATAAAAAACATTTGAGATAGTTTCAATAAAGTCATTTTTAGTTTTGATTTGAATATCTCCCTTACCCATCACTTTCACTGTTGATTTGTCACCAAAACTGACTACCGTGTGAAATCTGATAAGTTCATAAATTTACACATTTATGTACTATTTATACTTAGTTGTTTGTAGGAGAATTTGATTTAAAAAAGACTTATTACTTTATTTTCTCAATTTTCAGCTTTCCAAAGCAAGTAATTTGTTTTCAATGGAAATATAACTTTTTGGTGGAGTTTTAGTACAAAACCAATTGGAGATAAAAGCTTAGACCTTGAAGATGATTGTGGAATTTTTCTAGAATTTTTGGAGCAGCCAATGAGAGCAGTCTTTGAAGTTAAGTCAGCATAAGGTGCAATCCCGTCAAAATGTGCTGCTGTAGAAGAATGACTATTTGAAGACTTTCCTGATTTTTCCTCAAGGTGTGTGATATATGGCTGGAAAGATAAGACAAAAATATACAATTTACATATTTTTTCCGAATTTTCTTGGAGGAGGAATAACCCCAAACGTGCCTGCAAAGTAACTGACTTGTTATCCCAGTCCAAGTAGGAAGATGAGTCAATTACTTACCCATTTTGGATTTATGTTTTAATTAGGTTTTTCTTTATTTTTGGGGCTGCCGTAAAAGCCCAACTAGGGTAGGAATAGACGTGGGGTGTTTTATTTAAGCATGAGAAACAACTCCTTTGGGGGGACGAAAAGACGAGGAGAAATTGTTGACGCTGGAAGAATACTGCAATTGGCTAAGTTTGATTGTTTTTTCCTTATGTTTTTGTTTATGTCGAATTCTATGATTATGTGTAACTAATTTTCTCTTGATAGGGCATGATGTAGCCCTAGTATGATAATCTAGTTTTCTTATTTTACTTATCTATTGATTGCCGTTTGATGTTGGATTCTTAATCACTGTGCTTAATAACTTGGTTGATTATCTTGATGCTTGATCACCATCTAGACTTTTAATTGAGTTAATCGGATGCAAATTAGAGTAAATACCAGACTTAATTTGAGTCTTGCTTCTTGTGATTAGGATTTGTAATTTGTCTAGGGTAAATACCATACTTCTAGGGTTTACATGCTTGTTCGAGGTTTTCACTGATCTTAATGAGTTTCTATGTGTTGATATTTGACCTAAATACCATAGGCGAATTGCATGTAGGAATATACGAGTTAGCCTAAATACCATAGGTAATTCATGAAAAAGGAAAACTAAGTGACGACATCAAATAGTTAGTAAATAGGTAGGTGAATAAGAGGCTAGATCGGAATACTAGTGGTGAATTCATTGTCCTAGTGCTTTTATCAATTTGAATTTCTCATCTTGTATTTCGTGACTTTCTACTTATTTTGTCTTTTAATTTCGTTGTTAATTAAATCATTCTTTCAAAAACCCCTTTTGTGTTTACGTGAGTATGCTACATGTTTAATTTCTTGTTCATATAATTAGAGTAGTTAAAGTATTTTGTGAAGTAAATTAGGTTAGACTAATTGGAAGTTGAACTCAATCCTCGTGGGAATGACCTCGTATTTTGGATTCATAGTGAAAAAACCAAGAACACTTGCGGACGAAAATACAAAAACTGCAGCGGATAAGAACAGAATTTGAAACAAAGACAGAGGACTGCTACAAACATTATGAAACCAAAGAACTCAATCACCCACGACTAAAACAAACATTGTCCTCAATGTTTAAAACAAAGAAAACTAACTCATGCAAAATCAATTAAAGAGAGAGAGGGTGTGAGAACTACCTGGCTTTCTGTAGGTGCATGGATGAGCAAAGCGTAGAATATGTCGAAGTGAGAGAGAATAGACAATGTGACGAACTTAAACACCCAACTTACTTCTTGGAATGTCAATGGACCCGTAATAGCTCCTAAAACTCTTGGAATGCTATGAAATTGAGCTGGATATGTAATCATAAAAATCTGGAAATCCGACTTTTAGCAACGAAAAATCTGATGAACAACGCTGCTAAAACTTCTTTCATGACGAAAAATCATGAACACCATCGCTAAAACCTCTTTGGTGACGAAAAAGCTTCAAATTATAGGCAAAACAGCAGCTGCCTTTTTTGTGTTTTAGGTCCTTTTTTTGAGCTTCAAATCATCCTAAAACATAATGTAGGCCACCGGAGACCCGCAAACTTGGTCCAAAAGATCATAATAACCACTCTAAATACGTTGGTCACTTCAGATTAACCTGAAAAACACCAAAAAAGACATTAGGCAAAAATTTTGATTTTGACCAAAATAAGAACCTACTAAGCTATGTTGCTATTTTCTGGCATTTAACTTCAACCAATGACTAAAAAAACTACTGTAACACATCTGAAACGTGCTGCAAACATCCTAGGGCTAGAAAAATGCGAAATTTTTTTTTGGAACACAAAATCCTGTGTTTGATGATTCAAAACTTAACAAAAATAACAATAACAAAAACGTGAAAAATGCAAGAGAAATCACACAGAAACTGAAGACAAAAAAACAGAAACAAACGAAAAACAAAGGTGAGAATGCTTGGGTTGCCTCCCAAGAAGTGCTTAGGTTAAGGTTGTGAGCTAGACTTTGATGCACGGAGACTAGATAGAATATGCTGTCTCACTCAAAAGGAGTGAGGTCTTCTCTATGACAAAGGGTGACTCGAAGTAAGGCTTCAAGCGATGGCCATTCACTTTGAAGGTCAATACATCTTTATTATTCTGAATTTCAACGGCACCATGTGGAAAGACTTGCAATATAAGGAAGGGTCCATATCATCATGACCTAAGCTTGCCAGGGAAGAGTTTTAGCCTTGAGTTAAATAGTAAAACCTTCTGACCAGGATGAAACTCTTTACGTAGTATGGACTCATCATGAAACAACTTCGTCTTCTCCTTGTAAATTTTGGAGTTTTCATATGCATCATTCCTTATTTCTTCCAATTCATGGAGCTGTAACTTCCTCTTTTCTCCAGCAGCTTGATAATCATAATTAAGTTTCTTGATTGCCCAAAAAGCCTTGTGTTCTAGTTCCACCAGAAGATGACAAGCCTTGCCATAGACTAAACGAAAAGAAGACATGCCAATTGGGGTCTTGAAAGCTGTCTGATACGCCCACAATACGTCATTCAACTTGAGGGACCAATCCTTCCTAGAAGCATTCACCGTCTTCTCTAGGATGCATTTGATTTCACGGTTAGACCCCTCCACTTGCCCACTTGTTTGTGGGTGATAAGGAGTGGCCACCCTATGTGTGATGTTGTATTTAGCTAAGAGTGCCTTCAAAGGCTTGTTGATGAAGTGAGGGCCCCAATCACTAATCAAAGCTCCAGGCGTGCCAAACCTTGGGAAGATAGTGCCTTGGAGAAACCATAGGACAACCTTGTGATCATTTGTTGGTGATGCCACTGCCTCTACCCATTTAGAAACATACTCTGCAACTATAAGAATATATTGATAACCACAGGAGGATGGAAATGGTCCCATAAAGTCGATGCCCCATATATCGACCAATTCTACTATGAGAATGCTTTGCAAGGGCGTCTCATTACGTTTGGAAAGATTACCAACACTTTGGCATTTGTCACACATAGCACACCAATCATGGGCATCCCGAAACAATGTAGGCTAGTAGAAACCACTTTGCAAAACCTTAGTTGCAGTCCTATTCGCACCAAAGTGACCTCCACATGCATAGTGATGACAAAATCGTAGAACACTCTCTTTTTCAGTGGCTGGAACACATCGTCTTATGACATGATCAGGACATTACTTGTAGAGATAAGGCTCATCCCAGAAATAGAATTTGATGTCATAGAGTAATTTCTTCTTTTGCTGGTAACTCAAATTAGTTGGGACAGCTCCTCCTACAAGATAATTTGCAATGTCTGCGTACCATAGCACCTCATGACAAATGGTAAAGAGCTGCTTGTCGGAAAAGCTCTCATTGAGGGGAAGCACGGCTTTCTTATCTTCACTAACTTGGGTGAGGCGTGAAAGATGGTAGGCTACAACATTCTCCGCACCTTTTTTGTCTCTTATTTCCAAGTTGAACTCTTGGAGCAACAAAACCCAACGAATTAACCTTGGCTAGCTTCTTTCTTTGACAAGAGATACTTGAAGGCAGCATGATTAGTGTACACAATAACCTTCGAACCGATGAGGTAAGACCTAAACTTCTCCAATGCAAAGATCATAGCCAAGAGCTCCTTCTCCGTTGTCGAGTAATTGAGCTAGGCATCGTTCAAAGTACGACTGCCATAATAAATTACATGCGGTAACTTGTCCTTCCTTTGCCCTAGAACAGCACCAACTGCACAATCATTGGCATCACACATTAGTTCAAAAGGTAAACTCCAATATGGAGCAATGATAATAGGTGCAGTGGTTAGAAGTTGTTTTAAAGTGTTAAAAGCAAGCAAACAATTATCATCAAACTCAAATGAGGCATCCTTAGCATAGGGGTTGCATAGGGGTTGGCTATCTTGGAGAAATCCTTGATGAAGCGTTGATAAAAACCAGCGTGTCCTAGGAAAGATCATATTCCCTTCACTGAAGTTGGTGGTGGCAACTTAGAAATCAAGTCAATCTTTGCTTTGTCCACTTCTATGCCCTTGTTGGAAATCAAATGACCTAACACAATTCCATGGTTAACCATAAAATGACATTTTCCCAATTCAAAATAAGATTAGTTGCCCTGCATCTTTCCAAAACCAAGGTTAGATTAGATAAACAATTATCAAAAGAAGAACCGAATACGGAAAAATCATCCATAAAAACCTCTATAATTCGCTATACCATATCAGAAAAGATACTTAGCATACACTACTAGAAACTGGATGAAGCATTACACAATCCAAATGGCATTCTCCTATACGCAAACGTTCCAAATAAGCAAGTAAATGTAGTCTTCTCTTGATCTTCCGGTGCAATGGGGATTTGATTGTAACCTGAATAACCATCCAAAAAACAGTAATGTGAGTGACCAGCTAAGCTTTCTAACATTTGATCGATAAATGGAAGGGGAAAATGATCTTTGCGAGTAGAAGAGTTCAACTTCTTGTAATAAATACAAACTCTCCACCCAGTTGTCATGTGAGTTGGAACTACTTCATTATTCTCATTTTGTACAACTATAATTCCAGATATTTTTGGGACGACATGCACTGGACTAACCCACGCACTATCCGACATGGGATAGATAACGCCAGCATCTAATAGCTTTAAAACTTCAGTTCATACAACCTCCTTCATATTGGGGTTCAATCGCCTTTGCGCCTCAACAATCGGCTTCGAGTTCTCCTCCAAAAGTATCTTGTGCATACAAATCGATGGGCTTATGCCTTTGATATTAGCGATGGTCCATCCAAGCACTGATTTAAACTCTCTTAATACACGCAGTAGCTTCTTCTCTTCAATGGAAGTGAGAGTGGCGACAATGATGATTGGTAATGTATCATTCTCTCCCAAATATGCATACTTGAGATGTTCAGGCAATAGTTTGAGTTCAAGCTTAGGTGCCTTCTTAATAGATGGTACAATTCGAGCTATTAGAGAGCCAAGGCTTTCCACCTCATGCCTCTACCTTTGAGGGTAAGTTGGAGCATAATTTAGTGTCGCCACTATGTCCAATGCTTCCTCTTCCGTTGCTGGTTGTAACTCAAGATTTGCTAAGAAAATTTGTAACAAATCATCGGTGGAATTTGCCAGAAAGTTTGCATGTGCAAGGGTCTCGACAATGTCAATGGAGTTGCACTCTTCCAAGTCCCCTGATTTTTTAATAGCTTCAAACACCTTAAACTCAACGAATTCGCCTTGAACTCTCAATCAATGTACCAGTTGTAGCAAGGAAGGGATGGCCTAGCAAGAGTGGGATGTCACGGTCTTCCTCCATGTTAAGAACTAGGAAATCAGCCGGCAACACAAATTGCTTCACTTTGATCAACATGTCTTCAATGATTCCTTTAGAATATGTGACTGATCTGTCCGCAAGTTGAAGAGAAACAGAAGTACTCTTGAGCTTTCCAATACCTAATCTTTGAAAAATAGGCAAAGGCATAAGGTTAATGCTTAGCCTAAATCTAAAAATGCTTTATCAAATTGAACATCACTAATAATGCAAGGAATTGTAAAACTCCCTGGGTCCTTCAGTTTTGGAGGTAATTTCTTGAGCAACATCGCACTGCACTCTTCAGTTAATAACACTTTTTCATGCGGTGAGAATATTCTCTTGTTTGTACATGCATCCTTCAATAATTTTGCATAAGAAGGAAGTTGTTGAATTGCTTAAAGCAAGAGAATGTTGATTTGAACTTTCTTAAAAATCACCAGAATATCAAACATGTGTTGGTCCTTCCTTTGCTTGTGAACATGATGTGGGAATGGCAAAGATGGCGTGTAACTCTCTTCCTTTGGCTTCTTGGTTGTAGCTGTAATAGATGATGTAGGTAGGACTATTTTTGGCTTGTTAGAAGTAATATCCACATCCTCACCACTCTTCTTGACATGATCTTCAGCGTGGCCAGCATTTGGTGCACCATTCTCTTGTGGACCATAAGATTTTCCACTCCGCAGCGTTCTAATAGCCTTGGCATGCTTAGAATTTCGAGGATTAATTTCAGGTTGGCTTGGGAATGTGCCCTACACCCTATCATGCACAATAGTTGCAAGTTGGCCTACTTGAGTTTCTAATTTATTGATGGATGCTTGCATAGTATTCTGATTTTGTTGAGAAGTCTGTTCAAACGGAGCAATTAAGTCTTCCAACGCTGGTTTCTTAGGCTCACTTGAAGGCTGCCCTTGGTGATGAATAGGACGAGTAGAGCTAGCTTGTTATTGTTGGTTGCTCCATGAAAATTTGGGTGGTTACGCCACCCCGAATTATAGGTGTTCGAATATGGATCATTCTGAGGTCACTGAAACAAATTAACTTGGAGAACTTGTTCAAAACCTTGCATAGTAGATGGAAAAAGTTCCATTGGATGAGTTGGGTCAGAACAAATGGCGCAAACTTGCTGTGGGGAAGGTGGAATAGCAGCACGCATAAGAGTTTCAAGTTTTTTCTCAAGGAAATTTGAGCAGCGACTGCAATATTGGTGTCGACTTCATGAACTCCTGCCTTCACTGCCCCATTGTTGATTATTATTCGCAAGCAAATCAAGTTGATCAAACGCTTCTTGAGGTGTCTTCTCCATCAATGCACCTCCGCATGCAGAGTCAACTATTCGTTTGTTTGTAGTTGTAAGTCCTTCATAAAAGATGTGCATCTGCATCCAATCAATAATGCCATGATGAAGGCATTTTTGCAGCAACTCTCTAAATCTCTCTCAAGCTTCATATAATGGCTCATGCTCGCCTTGACTAAAATGCATGATATCTCTTCTAAGCTGATTCGTTTTCTGCACAGGGAAGAATTTCTGGAGAAATTTTTGAGCTAATCCCTCCCATGAATTAATAGATTTAGCTGGCAATGAGTGAAGCTAAGCTTTGGCTCTATCCTTTAATGAAAATGGGAATAGTTTCAACCTAACCACTTCATCAGAGACATTTAGGATCTTGATTGTGCCACAAATGTCGAAAAAATCCCTAATATGCATGTTAGGATCTTCGTTCGACTTCCCATAGGAAGATGGTAACAAGTGAATCATTCCAGACTTAAGTTCAAATGAATTTGCTTCAACTTCTGGTACTACAATACATGATGGAGTGTTGGAAAGAGTTGGGATGGAGTACTCCTTCATAGCTTGAGTGGGTTGTGCTCGTTCCATTGCTTCCTCTTGCACTAATTGTTTTTCTCCAACGTTCTTGTCACTCTTCTCGTTTATATTTTCAACCAAACCTCCATCTTCTTGATGTTCCAATGAGTGAGTGAGTTTGCCTTTTTGTTTCCTAACTGTTCTCTCAATCTCAGGATCAAACGGTATGAGGTCTTGACCTTGAGAGTGTGTTCCAGTCATACACTAAGTCAAACCTAATAAACAAGACAAACAAGAAACACAAATCAATTCCAATAATCTGAAATTTTTCAATAAAATAAAATAAAATAAAAACTGAAAAACTAAATAAGATTGAACTAAATCGTAGTTGACAAAGCCAATCCCCGACAACGGCGTCAAAAACATGTTGTGATTTTAGACAACCTGAAAAATGGAGATTATAAATATTAGTCTAAACACAAATTATACTCGCAAGTGCACAAGGTCAATCGTAATATAGTATGGCAACCATATAAAGAACGTGAAGTTTGGCCAAGTATTTTGTGAGATAAATGTAATTCTTTTTGCTTGGGTCAGAACTACAGTTTTGTTTATTGATTTTCGATTCTTTTCAACTTTTGGTTTTTATTTAATCAGTTTTTATTTATTTATTTGATTTATTTATATATTTATTTGTTTTTTTTTCTTTTAAAAATAATAAATAAGTAAAAAAAAATTGAAAAATGTCATAAAACCCAAAAATATTTTATTTTACTTAGGGTCTTGTTTTTATTTGTTTGTGGTAGTCACTTCCCAATTCTATGATGAGATTGAATTTTATTTGCAATTAACTTTCAAGAAGTTTTGAGCGTGACACTAAGTCTTTACATTATCTTTGTGTTAATCCTATTTTTGTGATTAGAATTGGGAAATCCTTATGCACATAGCCATATTAATATGAGTTTCGATTGGGGATTTCACATGATTTAAATGGCTAAATAAGAGCTAGTGTAAACTTATATAACCCTCATTATGTGAATTTTTGAGCCTATGCCTTCCTTTCTTGAGTGTTAAACTTATATAACTTTCAAGATGTTTAAACTGTTTGCTAGAACTACTTTCATTATCTATTTTAGGCATATTTCATGAACCACATGGATTCTAGGAAGTGATATAGGCCTTGTTTCTTTCATTTGAGCCCTTCTAGACAACCCGTATCACTTTTATCCCTAGTTAACCCCTTTGTGCCTTTTGTGTAAGCCTTTTTCATTCTTTACCCAATTCTCCTCACCTTAATCTATCATATGTTTATCATATACCCTTCTAAGGAGTTTTGTAGAGTATTTTCGTTGTTAAGGGAGATTTGCACAAATTGTTCAATCACGTGGAAAGTAAGGGATACTATTTCAAAAAAAAAAAAATAATTTCAAAGCCTTTTCAACTCAAGTTATTAAGCCCTAGGAGTGTTTTACATTTAATTCCCTAAAGCTATCTAGCCTGGGAGTCACTAGCCTAACACTCGTTTATATTAGGAAAGATATGATTAGAAAGCTGGAGTTAGGAAAAAAAAAAAAGAAAGAAAAAAAAAAAAAAAAAAAAAAAAAAACAAGTATCAGTATGAAGTTTCGTGCTCAAAGTGCAAGATGTTATAGTTCTCATGGAAAGCTCTATGAATTCCTTAGAATTTGTTCATCCATATCTTTTACTTGCTTCACCCATCACCCTAAGCCCCATTACAACCTTAGTGAAAGTCCTACTTGATCCAAGGAGAAGTGTGGTTCCTCATGTGAAGAATAGGTGTGGAAGGACTATGGTCGGATAGTTTAAATGTTTTCAAGTATGTGATATCTTTCCATGAGATCTTTTATCTATGTCATGTGCCTTTATTTCAATTATGTGAGTACATCCTATTGCTTTGATTCCTCTCACATATTTATGAGTGACAATAACTAGTCAAATTTCAAGTGCTTTTATTGGACTGAATATCCTTGATGAGATTTGAAGTTGAAGCTTGTTCTTATTTGGTTATTTAACTTGTGTGAAGCTTAAGTCGTGGGTTGCATTAATGTTGGCTATTTCACGTACTACATCCAAGTTGTTCAATTAAAGTTTAGTTAACCCCTTAATAATGTTTTGAGTTATTGTTGCATATTTCTTGGAAGTTAGTTAATAGTTGCTGATTATCTCTGAGATCAATATTGGGAAGTTAGTCGATTGCTTGTGTGCGTTGTCTTTGTTCTTTTGTTTTTACTTTTCGTTTTGTTTTGCTCGAGAACTAGCAAAATCTAAGTTGTTTGTATTTGATAAGTCCATAAATTTACACATTTATGTACTCTTTATACTTAGTTTTTGTAAAAGAATTTGATTTAAAAAGGACTTATTAGGCCATCTCCAGCCATAGGGCTAAATGTAGTCCAAGACTAAAAAATTTAGCCCCCCAAAATATTAATTTTTTAAAGAATAGTGCATGGCTAAATTTTTCCATCTCCAGCCATGCATGGCTATATTTTAGGGTCCTTTATATTTTATTATTTTCAGAAAGGGGAGTGGGGAGTGCTTTAATGATTGGTTGTTGAAAAGCACATGTATGGGGCCCACTATAAATTTGGCCTAGGCCAAAGTTGTGCTACATTTGGCCCGGTTGGAGGGCTAAAGGGCCAAATGTGGCCCTCCAAATTTGGCCCATGGCTGGATATGAGTTTTGCATTAATTTAGGGCTATATTTGGGATATAACTCGTGGCTAGAGATGGCCTTACTTTATTTTCTCAATTTTCAGCTTTCCAGAGCAAGTAATTTTTTCAACGGAAATACGACTTTTTGGTGGAGTTTTAGTACAAGACCAATTGGAGATGAAAGCTTAGACCTTGAAGATGATTGTGGAATTTTTCTAGAATTTTCGGAGTAGCCAATGAGAGCAGTCTTTGAAGTTAAGTCAGCATAAGGTGCAATCCCGTCAAAACTGTGCTGCTATGGAAGAATGACTATTTGAAGACTTTCCTGATTTTTTTCTCAAGGCGTGTGTTGGAAAGATAAGACAAAAATCTACAATTTACGTATTTTTGCTGAATTTTCTTGGAGGAACAACCCCAAACGTGCATGCAAAGTAACTGACATGTTATCCCATTCCAAGTAGGAAGAGGAGTTAATTACTTTCCCATTTTGGATTTATGTTTTAATTAGGTTTTTCTTTATTTTTGGGCTGCCGTAAAAGCCCAACTAGGGTAGGAATAGACGTGGGCTGTTTTATTTAAGCATGAGAAACAACTCCCTTGGGGGGACGAAAAGATGAGGAGAAATTGTTGGCGTTGGAAGAGTACTGCAATTGGCTAAGTTTGATTATTTCTTCCTTATGTTTTTGTTTATATCGAATTCTATGATTATGTGTAACTAATTTTCTCTTGATAGGGCATGATGTAGCCTAGTATGCTAATCTAGTTTTCTTATTTTACCTATTTATTGATTGCTGTTTGATGTTGGATTCTTAATCACCGTGCTTAATAACTTGGTTGATTATCTTGATGCTTGATCACCATCTAGACTTTTAATTGAGTTAATTGGATGCAAATTAGAGTAAATACCATACTTAATTTGAGGCTTGCTTCTTGTGATTAGGATTTGTAATTCGTCTAGGGTAAATACCATACTCCTAAGGTTTACATGCTTATTCGAGGTTTTCACTAACTTTAATGAGTTTCTATGTGTTGATATTTGACCTAAATACCATAGGTGATTTTCATGTAGGAATATACAAGTTAGCCTAAATACTATAGGTAATTCATGAAAAAGGCAACATCAAATGGTTAGTAAATAGGTAGGTGAATAAGAGGCTAGATCGGATTACTAGTGGTGAATTCATTGTCCTAGTGCTTTTATCAATTTGAATTTCTCATCTCGTGTTTCGTGACTTTCTACTATTTTGTCTTTTAATTTTGTTGTTAATTAAATCATTCTTTCAAAAATCCCTTTTGTGTTTACGTGAGTATGCTACGTGTTTAATTTCTTGTTTATATAATTAGAGTAGTTAAAGTATTTTGTCAAGTAAATTAAGTTAGACTAATTGGAAGTTGAACTCAATCCTCGTGGGAATGACCTCGTATTTGCCATACTATATTACGATTGACCTTGTGCACTTGCGAGTATAATTTGTGTTTAGACTAATCTTTATAATCTCCATTTTTCAAGTTGTCTAAAATCACAACAAAAGCTTTCATCCAAATTAATAAAGGAAGACTTACATCCACTCATGTGATTGCTACAATCTGTGTCCACATACCATGTCTCCTAATCAGTCTCTGTTGGTGCATGAAAGCCCATCAAAAGTGTCTCTTCCTCCTTATTTTTCTCCATGACTTTTCTCCTTTTTCTTTTGGTAACTTTGTGTAGCACTCATTCTTGTAGTGCCCAAAATTTTCACATCTATAGCACTCCACTTTTGACTTGTCAAAGTGGTATGCTCCTTTTTCTTCAGAGTCATCATCTCTTTTGAAAACATGAAATGACTTGCTGTCGAGGATTAAAATATCAGCCATGTAGATAATATCGGGCTTTTAATTTACAGATATTTCGAGGGATATATTGTTATCGTTTTAGGTATCTGGAAAAAATCAACAAAAAAGACAAATATAGGCATTGAAACACATAATTTTGGTGTAAAACTTTCATAGATGTTATGTACATTATCAATGAATGTATTGAACAAATAAAACTCAAAATTTACTAATAATAAGATATACATTGATGAAATATAAGTGGTATGTAATGCGCATTAATGAAAAGTTTGAAAATAAAATTTTGATTAGAATGAATAAACCATGCATAAATCCATAGTTTGTTTAAACATTAGATTACAATTTAGATAAGTGTCCACCTACATAAATGAAGAGCTCCTATGAGGTTCAAACAATGAGGAACAACCATCCAGATTCATACAATAGTCATACCAAGTCATGTAACCCGAGCAGTTTGTAAGCCATGTTAGAACATGGTGCACATAAGTCTCTCTCGAGCTCCCTACTATTCTCCCATATATGGGATAGTTAGGATTAACCCAACTAGCAGGTACATAATTTGTTTCATCATCTTGAGCTCCATAACTAGTTCTACTATAATCAGACATGACATAACCATAGCCATAATAAGATTCATTTGAGTTAGTAGTAGGTCTAGTTCCTATGCTCATAGATCCAAAATTGATCGCCATGTCCTCTTCAGATGGATTGGAGGTATGTGGGCAATGGACTGTGCATAGATTCTTCATATTAATAAATTATAGGGTTCTGGGCAAGGATTAGCAATTTTTGGGTTTCATTTGCTTTAATTGCCTTCAAAACTTCTGAATTTTTTTTGGGTTCTATTATGGGTATCGGAAAATATCGGGGATATAGACAAAATATCGGGAATATCGCACTTATCGGGGGATATATCGTCAATACATGGGAAGATATGGCCTTACTCCCCAGTATCGGTGTCGATAGTTGAAAATACCGATATATCGGTGTATCGGCCAATATTTCAATCCTTGCTTGCTGTCATCTCTATGTCCAAACCGTCCCCCACCTCGATGACCTCGACCACCTCTTCCTCTACCACGTCCACCTCTTCCTCCTCGAGAACTTGAGGGCTCATAAAAAGTGGAAGCTTTCAGAGCTGTTTGTTCTTCACTGGCAGTGGTGCGATTAAGTCTTTGTTCATGCACTAACAAAAAGCTTTGTAGTTCATCAACTCATAACTCAGCAACATTCTTTGCCTCTTCAATTGAACAGACAATGTAGTCAAATTTTGGAGTCAATGATCTCATAATTTTCTCCACAACTTTGACTTCTTCCATGGTGCCACCATTGGATCTCATCTTGCTTGCTATTCCCAGAGTTCTAGCGAAGAAATTAGTGATGGACTCTCCTGATTTCATTTGTAGAGTTCAAAGTCCCTTGTTAGAGTTTGAAGCACTGCACGATTCACCCTCTCTGACCCTTCATATTTCTTCTTCAAAGAATCCCATATTTGTTTGGAGGTCTCCTTCTCGAGTTAGTCTCCAAGATAGATCGATCAAGTGCCTGAAAGAGGTAGTTTTTCACCTTCAAGTCCTTCAGCTTCTGTTCAGCAAACCTCTTTTGTTGTTGTTTAGTCAACACAACTCCCTATGTTGGGGCGTCAATTCCTGATTCCACAATATTCCAATACTCCTTTTATCTGAGAAAATTTTCCATCAGCATGCTCCAATGGTCGTACTGACCATCAAATCTTGGAATCGCTGGTTGAACAAAACTCTCAGTGGCTTTGTCGGTTGCCATTGTTTCTTGTTGCTGCAAGACACAATCTCTCACCTTTTTCAAGTTTGTTCAGGCCCAGAATGGGCTCTAATACCAAATGTTGAGAAACTGGAATTAACTTAAACGTAAAAGGATTCTTTGAACAAACGTATTTCACAGTACAAGGATACTGCAGTTTTCCTCTCTTATATATATCTGAAAAACAAAGCTTACAAAATAACAATCTCCACAATAACCATTAACACAATAAGTGCAGATTTTGTAGAGTTCAACTACCTTAAGCAACGGAAGCAAATTTGAACGTGGTGAACAGACTAAACCACAACTTCTACATTCTAGGACTCCAGCTTGACTTTGTCTCTACGTGGCCATGTTAGCATTATTTAATTAAAAACTAATTAAACCTAACTAAATAACTTTTAACAATAAATTTATAACACTACCTGACATGACATGTGACGACAATCTTAAAAATTTCTCATCAAGTTGGTTCAAATGTGGACGTATTAAGTGGACTTCAAAATTGGCCCCTCTGGCAATTTATCATTATTTTCATAAAGGCTTTTTATTACAAATGGTCCCTAACATTTGCAAAATTATCACCTTTCGTCCCTAACTTTTTTTGTGACACTACTAGTCCTTAAGGTTACCCTCAACACATCAAAGTGGTCCCTGCCGTTAGCTTCCGTCAAATTTTCTGTTAAATTGCTGACATGGCACGTGTGGAGCCCACACATCCAATGGTATAAAGCCACGTGGCTTTAAATAAAATAAAAATATATTTTAAATATTTTAAAACTTAAATCCATAAAAACAAAAACAAAAATACCTGCACCCTCTGCATTCTCACTCTGCTAGTGCCCTTCCCCCCTTGCAAAAATGCATCTCTTTTTATACAGAATGCTACCAACAGAAATAATCTGATTCCATGGAAACTCACCAAACAAGAAAGGAAAGATATATATCAAATGCATCCTAAACGGAGCCTTAATAGCCAAAACCACAATGAGCCAACTTCACAAAACTCCAAGCACAAATCAAAGAATCAAGGCCAACAAACAAAAACGCACAAAAAATCATAAAAATTGTGAATTTGAAAGAGAACGAGGAATTACCTTAGAGTAAGGCACGATGTGATCATAATCATGACAGAGGCAACCTGGGCAACCGACGAGCTTCCAGAACACGGTGTTTCCAAGAGCGTCTCGATGCCACCGGTCTGGGTCTCGACCTCTGATCTTCTCAACCTTTCCCAGCATTGCTGCTTCACATTGTACGGAAAGATTTGTGGGTTGGTGTTAGAAGAAGTCACGAGCTCTTGAAGCTCTTCCAAGTCCCGATTGAGAAGAGAGGAAGAGGAGGGAGAGAGACAAAAGGTGGGTCTGCAAGGGAGAAGAGCGCTGACAAAGTGAGAATGCAGAGGATGCAGGTATTTTTGTTTTTGTTTTTATGGATTTATGTTTTAAAATATTTAAAATATATTTTTATTTTATTTAAAGCCACGTGGCTTTATACCATTGGATATGTGGGCTCTACACATGTGCCATGTTAACAATTTAACAGAAAATTTGACGGAAGCTAACGGCAGGGACCATTTTGATATGTAAAGGATAACCTTAAGGACCATTAGTGTCACAAAAAAAACGTTAGGGACAAAATGTGATAATTTTGCGAACTTCATGGACCATTTGTGATAAAAAGCCTTTCAGAAAACCAAAAGGTACATACGCGCTGTTTAGCATAAACAATTACCCTAATTACATACCTAAAACTCAAGTTCATGACAAAAAACAAAAAGGAGATTCGCTATTATACCCAATATAGGGACTCATATTATAAAAATACCCTAATATGAAATGGAGAATCGGTCTTTGTTTCTTTAAAATGGCCACCATATCTCTCCTGATCTTGCACCCATCTCACATTTGGACTCTGTTGTTGACAAGAAAGAAAGAAAAAAAAGCAACCAAAACTACTCAGGATGGCAAACGTTCGTCGGCAAACTTGATCCGGCTTAAAGTCTCAGTTTTCTCTTTGTGTACGCTTGTGTTGTGTGTGATTATGGGTTTTCTGCAATTTTTTTAATGCAGAACAAACGCGCTGCGGCTGGCGACAGAAGCAAAAATGGTAATAGAGGATCACTCTCTCTCTCTCTCTCTCTCTCTCTCTATATATATATATATATATATATATGTTCTTTTTCTTTGTCAAATACTGTCACAACAGAAATTACTTATTTTTTTTATTTTTTATTTTGAATCTTCTGCAGAACGTAAGGCCGCAAGAAAAGACAGTCGGAAAGCAGCTCCGCGAAGTTAGTCAGCTGTTTTCTTCACTTAGTTGACTTTTCTTTTTTGGGTCGAATTCGAATACTTTGCTTTCTTCTATATGCTGCGTAGCTTAATTAAAGGAGCACAATAGTGTATGTTTTTTCTATAAACAATTTTGGAGGCGGAGAGATGATTTCATCTCAAAATAATTTCGGGTTTAGTTTTTCTTGAATGCAGCCAAGAACGTTCTCAAAGAACCTTAGTATGCCCTGATTCTAGGATGGGGTAGCCGTCCTTCTCCCTAAATTTTTTGTCATAAAAAAAAAATAGTGCTCTGAATTTCGGTGGTTAAGCACCTTTGTTATTTAATTACTGATGAGTGGGCAAACTTTGTTATTTAATTTCGGTGGTTAAGCATCTTTGTTATTTAATTATTGAATTTAGGTGTCTTGCCTCTGGTCTTAAGTTGCTGAAGGGTGCTGCTATCGTGGCAAAAGCTGGAGTGGATATCGCAAACAAAATAGGTAGTTCGTAAAAACTGTTTTGTGAAAATTGCTTCAATTAAAAAACAAGTCTATGAGTAAAGTATTGAAAATAAACTGATATGACGATATGATACAGAAACCGTTCAAGAGTCCTATAACCCAACCCGAGCCCGTATCCAATATCATACACCCTCTCTCAAACCTGTGAATATCACACTCACACCCAAGAGATATACCCTCTATTAAATTCTCCCTTTTGTTTTCTGACCTAGAAAACCCTTTTCAGTTTTTTCTTGAGGATGACAGAAACGTACAAGGTTGGTGCCTTTTATAAGCATCATCGCATGCCCTGCATTAAGCAGAAAAACTATGCTTTTTCTTTCATCCATTTTCTCACTCTCCCGTACACCATTTTTCTTTTTCCTTTATTTTATTTTTATTATTTTCTATTTCTTACAAAGTTCTCTCGTTATTTTTCTCTCATCCACCAAAGGAGGGACAGCCATCGTTCTTTGCAACGTCAATATCAATTTTGACAAGAGGAGCATTTCGACCCAAAAAAAAAGAACTGACGAGAAGGCAAAGAGAAAGCCCGACGAAGACAAGGCAAAGAGAAAGTAAAGGCATAGGGCATAAAAATGGGATCGATCTTAAATATCATAAGAAGGGTGGCAGAACAAATGAACATGAGGATGGCAATTCATGCGTTGCAGGAGTGAGGCTTCTTTTGTTTATATTTTTACGTGCGTTTTGAGTTGTATAAGGTTCACAGTCTATATTTCTCACTACTGCAATTTGGGGTTTGCCCCTTTCTTGTTTCAGATATAATGTTTTACTAATAAGGATGTGATAAATGAAGTATTCTTTGTTTTGCTTTAGAAAAAGCTCAATCAAGAGGCCCATATTCAGTTTGCTCATCTTCTCTGTTTTGCATTTCACGCTTTGAGCACTGTTCTTATCTTATCCATTTCGTACGTCGATTTCACACAGCTCACACAAAAATAATGATTCAATAGCGTCCTTTCCCTTCCTTTCCTTTTGCTCGTTTCTTTTTCTCTCTCAGCTTCCTATGTGAATACTTAACCTCTTTTCAAGTCTCTCGCTCAACACTTGTTCTGTGCTCTCTTTTCAATTCCTTTTAGTGGCGATTTCTCTTTTCAATTTTTTGTAAGAGTTGAGGTTCTTTTAGTGTGCCATCGTTTTGTTGAAGGTTTTGGAGTTTCTTGTGGTTTTTGAAGGTGGATTAGAGCTTGCATTGATGTAGAATGGGCCTACGCCACTATTACAATCGAGATGATTGTTGCTAGAAATGTTGGGGAGCAAATGTTAGAAAAGGGATTAAGGATGGTTGATCAACTCGACCGGTCATCAGTTCTTTGTTCCACGTTTGCTGCTCTCTGACGAAATCCGACCAGTCACCGTGGAGTTTTTTTTACCAGTCCTGCATCATGGTAAACATATCACGAAAATAATATTGCTTAACAAGGTTGTGAATCAGACTCCACTCGGCAGGATAATATGCAAAAATCTAGGAAGCAACAAGGTAAAATTCCTATCACTTTTTGGTGTAGGATGAAGAGACTTCTTGTGAAACAATTCTTTCCTTTTGAATATGATCTATATATGTTAAGGTTTGGTTACAAGATTGATCAATCAAAAATCATGGTGAGCCAAGATGGAGGAGAAAGTCAAATAGGAAGAAATCGTAATGGAGGCTGAATTAATTGATTTTTATTTAAACTTATTGTTTCTACAATTTTTCTATAAATAAAATAAAAAGTGTACATTAAATCATATAAACTAAAAATATAAATACATTTAACATAAGACAAATGCATATTAAATGCAACCAAAAAATACATATTATCAAGGTGCAGTCCCGATCTCTTGGACTACAGGGGTCCAAGAGATTTGTGATCACTCTCCGTTGGATGTAAATTTAACGGTTCACTCACTCTTGCACTCTTTTTAAGAAACTTTTTTGAACCGTTAAATTAACATCCAACGATGAGTGACCACAATCTCTTGGACTTCTGTGGTCCAAGAGATGCCTATTCAAATTGTGTCATGCGCTTATTGATAGAATACAACCGCCAAAAGATAGTAGTGAATTGAATAGACTTGAGAAAAATAAGATTTTCTTAATGTTGTTGTTTATGGTGGTTATATAGGTGGTTATTTTTTTTTTTTTTTTTTTTTTTTTTTTTCTTTTTTCAAATCCTTTCCTTAAACAACCATTTGACTTCATATTTCCTTAATGTTTTGTAGTTGCTAGTTTGCCATATATATAGGTTTGTTTTTAGTTCAAAAATCAACCTGGGCTACAGCCCACCATAGCCTTATGGGTGATTCCGCCAGTGGGGGCCGGGGATGCGAAGTGGGGACGGGGATGGTATTGCCATACCCGGTCCATTGCTATCCCTGAGCTTGAGCTCAATCAGAACGAATTTAATTCTAATCCTGGATAAAATTAGACGTCAAATTAGGGTTTGGCAACCGAACCAACCATATCAATTTGTTGGCACTGGCCACCGAATTGACATCGTTTGTGTGCCTTTTCAGAAGACTGACATTTAGAAATTAGCTCAGTTTCGTCGATTTCATAAGAGAAACCACAACGAATCAGAGAGAAGACGAAAAAGGTGATAGAGAGAGAGAGAAAGAGAGAGAGTGAGAGAGAAGACATGGCTAGTGGAAGGGACAGTGACAGAGAATAATAGGTACATTATTTATGTAGGTATAGTAAAATGATAGCAACTTCTAAAATAATAAACACCGCCACTCTTAGATTAGTGTGGACTCCACCACGTCTAAAATAATATTCAGAAAAATAGACGTTATTAGAGTTTTAGATTTCAAAGAAAAAGCTAGCCCACTCCACATACATTAAAAGTGGATGTTGGCATTCGAACCATGTAAAAATTATACAAATCCGTTTTCCAAAGAAAGCAGCTTCTTAAAACCTTAACAACACTCATAATTATCAAAATTTGCCATTAGAGCGTTAGTCGAGTCCACTTCATTCCAACTGTTCCTAATGAGAAAGAAAACAAAGACCCTGTATGACATGACAGCATTTAAATTGAAAATGGGAATTAATCTTGAATACAATCCTTAAATACCCGCCATATATCTCTCCTCATTTTCCACTGATCTCCCATTTTCAACAACTCAACTACAAGAAAAAGAACCAAACCAACCAAAACGCACAGCACAATGGCCTGGGTACGGAGTCAACCCATCCATCTCTCACCTTTTCTTTTTTTTTCTCTGTGTACATTTGTGCAATTGCCTAATGGCTTTTATGTTTTAATGCAGATTTGGAACAAAGGAGCTGGGGATGAGAAGAAAGAGGTGCACCACCATATCGTTGTCTCTGCTACCCAGATTGAAAAAATTAAGCAAGGTTTTGGAGGTTCTTTATTCTCTCATAAACATAATCATGTTTTAGCTTTCCTTCAGCTTTTAATTGTTTGAAACTTAGACATCACTTTGTTGGGGCCCACCTCGAGATGTGGTCCAATAATTTAGAGATGCTTACTATTTGTAATTGGTAAAAAACATTATCGCCACACTAATTGTCGTTAAATGATTAAGTGATGTTTGAGATTGTTTCGGTAGGAACTCGAAATACTTTCTAAACAATTGAAAGAGTTTCCCATAATGTTTGATAGAAGAACTTAAAACTAGTTTTGGCGAATAAAAGCGCTTTATGCTCTATAGGAAGTACTAAAAATTTTGACGTTCATCAAATAGAAAGTGCTTTTAGACAAAATGCTTATAAGCAGAAGAAATGTTTCTAAAAAATATACTTATGACCAAAAGTGCTTCCTACGTAAACTATCCCAAACATACCCTTAATTCATTTAACGAAATCAATTTAGTGGTAATGGCCCCCAATATCTTCATTTGTAGAATTTTCTATCTCTACAAAAACATTAGATCAGATCAAGGTGAGCTCCACTAATGCGATTCCTAATATGAAGGCATTGAAAATACTGGCACCTTGTCAAAGTGCCCATGGGTCAACCGCATGAAGAAGTTGATGCCCATAAAATAGCCTGAAAGAGAGGCAGGGGTCAATGGTAACAACAACAACAACAACAGCGTGGCAAATCAGATTCAGATGAAAGCTAGTAATGTGGTGCAAAATGTTCGACAAAGATTCTTTCCTCTAAAACCTTGACATGATTTCAACAGGGATCTCCTGAAAGCTCATCCACAATGCAAATAAATTTAAATTAGGTGTCTTGTACTGTATTTTTACTGTTTTATTTTTATTTTTATTTTTACAGAGACATATGATAGGAAAAAAGATGAGCTTCCATGGCACACATTGGATGGACAAGGTAATGGGAAGAATAATGGAGGAAAATAAAAGATGGTTTGCCGTCGTCACACGAAAATAAAATAAATTAAGAAAGAGAAATGTAATTTAAATGTTTTTCATTTGATGTTGGGGTTTTATGTCATTATATATGTAATCTGTGAATTTTGTGACAAATCCTAAATTTGTCTCTATGGAAGGGAAAAAAAAAACTTAATTTTCGTACCAATGCATCATGCTGAAACTGTTTTTTTTGGTGACCAGTCACAAATAAAGGGCACATAATTCATAAAACACCATTTTTAGAATTAGAATGCCAATTTTCTCTTTTAGTCCATCTAATTTGCTCACATTGTTTACTCTAGTCCATGTACATACAATTATGAAGATTTCGACTTTAATTTAATTCCAACGGAATGGTTACTAACCTGATTAAGTGGGCAGCTATGTTACACAAACACTTCATTAAGTTCCAAGTGTCGAAGAATCGGGCACTCGTACATGACTCAAACACGCTTTTGGACACAACCAAGACACTCGCCAACAGAGTTCAACCTATGGTCAAGAAACAATATGGACTATTTTGAAACTTTCAATTAAAACTGAGTTCAAAACATAATTATTGAAACTCTTTTAGACAACAGGACCAATTTAAAAATTAAAAAAAAATTCTGGGGTTAAGATTGTAATTTCGAAACTCTTTTAACTATTACCTCATCATCCGCTCCTCTCTCCCAACTTCCTCCACCTCTTTTCGTCTCTTATTTTTTTCTTAGTTTTCATTATATTTGCTTGGAAGTTGGATCTAAAAGAACGTAACCAAAGAATTGGATATTAGAATTTGTGACAATTTCTTCTTCGCTTGTTTGATGATATCTAGTTCATCTTCTCAACTGGTTTTTTTCATTTAGAATTTCAATTGGGGTTTTCTTAGGGAAAATGAGTAATGAGGGCTTCTCCTCTTTTCATACTCAATCCTACGAAGATAATGCTCCTCTATAGAAGTATGGTAAAAAAGTTGAATCAAATAAGACAGGAGGAAACATTAGCTTCAAGTGTCATTATTGTCAATGCAACTTTTAAAGAGTCAAACTCCAGGGTGAAGCATCACTTTTTTGAAAATTAAAGGAGGTGGTTAGAGCTTGCAACAAAGTTAATGAATCATAATGAACATTATTTTGGCACAAACATGATATAATATGTATCATTTTTTCCTTCTTCTTTTTTTCTGTTTACGTGAACAAATTGATGCGGATGCGACCAAATTATGTCGACGGTTAAAATTGGCCTTCCTGGAAAATGGTTACAGATTATAATTCAAAACAAAAAAAAAAAAAAAAAAAAAAAAAAAAAAAAACAAGCATGCACAATGCACATTAGAATAAACAATGACTATTATCAGTAAAGGACCCACTGGTATAGTGGTTTGGAGCAATTGCTCCCTTAGGCAAGGTATGTTGTGCGAAAACACTTTAAGATCTTGTCATTGATGGACTATGCGACGACACACACATAAACCTCTTTGAGAATAAAACACACGCACATCGAAGAGAGAAAGCAAACGCACAAGAACACAAAAATTATAGAGATTTGGCCTTGTGCCTACATCCTCTTGGTGATCCACCCAAGAAATTCACTAGTATATAAGAACAACTTTGGTGCTTGCACCAATACTCTCTACTCCCTTCATCCTGGTCTTTGCAATGTGTGTGTGTGTGTCTCAGAGAGAGAGAGAGAGAGAGAGAGAGAGAATATCTATTGAGCTGCTTGAGCATCATCATCCTAGATGTCTTCGGACCACAGAGCCCCCACACACTGATTTCTTCTAGCTCATCAAATGAAATTATCATGCAATAATTCGAATTTGGGCTTGTACAATAAACTCTAACAAATGTAAGATTGGGCTTGCATTTATGGGCTTGGGTCTAACCTGACTCAACCCAAATAAACATGACTCAACTAACTTGAACTCAATTGAAACGAATTTAATTCTAACCTTGGATAAAATTATTTAGACTTCAAATTAGGGTTGGGCAACCCAACCGTACCATATCAATTGGTTGGCATCGGCCACCGAATTCACATTGTTGGTGTGCCTTTTCCGATGACTGACATTGAGAAATCAGCTCGGTTTCATGGATTTCATAGAGAAACCGCAATGAGAGAGAGAGAGAGAGAGAAATAATGGGCATTGTTACTTCCTAGCACTCCAAAATATTCATCACACTCCTTACTCTTTATTTTTAGGAAGAAATGACAAATAATAAACACCACTGCTCTTAGACTAGTGTGGTCTATAGCGCAATGCAATATTCAGAAAAATAGAATTTATGAGGGTTTTAGATTTCAAAGAATAAGCCGAACCCAAATCACATGGCTCACACGCACATCACATGTATGTGAAAATGCCTAAACCACCATACATGATATATATATGCATATCAACATCATACACAACCGCCAATCGCCATCATAAACCGCTTGAGGAACTCGACAACAGCACCGGAAACTCACTCACCCTCTCTATGCCTTTAAATACCACCCACTGGCCTCACCACATTTCCTACTCTCTCCACTCACAATTTACACAAGAACAAACAAAGAAAAAACCAAACAAAAAACTCACCAAGGCCAAAGTGAGCCAATTCCTCCACCTCTACTTCTCCATCTTTTAGTTTAGCCTAATGCTTCTCTCTATTCTTGGGTTTGCTAATGGGTTTTGTATGTGGTTCATGGGGTTTTTTTTGATTTTGGGTTTAGTGCAGAAGAAGAACAACAACAATGGCAACGAGAATCGGACGTAGTTGACCAATGCTAAATCTTTCCCCATAACTAATCTTTCCCCTAGCCCATAACTAATCTTTCATCAAGCTAACCTCCAAATCACCTCTCTTTTATAGGCCCAATTACCTTCCTTTTCAGGGAATAGAGCTATTTGTGCATTTTAAGCCCAAAAAATTGAATTTTTAGTTGGGTTTTGTAATTAAAAAAAGTTATGTTCAAAATCGGAAAAATTGAAAACTAAACCAATTTATAGGCACACTAGACCACACCGAACTGGATAATTTTTTCATCAAACTCAAAACTATACCAAATAAATAGTATCGATTTCGATTTGAGATAAAAACTGGACCGAACCAAACCATACCTACCCCTAGACTTTTGAGTGTGAAAAGAGTGTTTAGTTGAATTGATATGCATCATGAATATTTTAGAATTTTTTGTGGGGAAGAAGAGAGTATTATTTTTCTTTGAAATTTTCTTGAACTTTTTCCTCCTATGCATATAGGAAGAAAAAACAGCAATCATAAACTCTAAGTCCATGAAATACCACGTCATACACTTGTATTATAACAAGTAAACTTGTAACACTACCTGCCATGTGACGATAATATTAAAAATTTATCATCAAGTTGGTTCAAATGTGGACACATTAAGTTGACTAACTTATCAAAATTGACCCTTCTGACAATTTATCATTATTTTCATAAAACCAAAAGGTACATACGCGCTATTTAGCATAAACAATGACCCTAATTACCGCGCCCTCATCCATAAACAATGACCGTGCTGTTTAGTCTTGAGGAATTTGCAAATTTACAATAAACAAAGACTCTCTCTCTCTCTCTCTCTGTCTCTCTCTCTCTCTCTCTCTCGCCTTAACAAATTGATTGGAAATATTTAAAAAAATTGGGCTGTGATATAATGGGTGTAATTCAATTACAACCTAATTAGTCGAGACTGATAAATCGGTCTTTGTTTTTCTTTAAAAGCCCACCATATCTCTGCTGATCTTGCACCCATCTCTCATTTCGACTCCGTAGTTGACAAGAAAGAAAAAAAAAGCAACCAAAACTACTCAGGATGGCAAACGTTCGTCAGCAAACTTGATCCGGCTTAACGTCTCAGTTTTCTCTTTGTGCATGCATGCGCTTTTGTTGTGTGTGATTTAATGGGTTTTCTGCAATTTTTGTGTTAATGCAGAACAAACGCACTGCGACTGGCGACATAAACAAACGTATTCAAGTGGAACGGCGCAGGGGCTCGGTGGTGGAGAAAATCGAGGGCACCGCTAGCCAGATTGCCAGATGCGATAACCATTTAAATGCTATTCAAGTGGAACGGCGCAGAAATTACTATATACATATATATATATATATACATATGTTCTTTTTCTTTATATATATATACATATTTGACAACAAAAAAACCTAAGTAATTTCATATGTATATATATATGTATATATGTATATAGTAATTTCTGTTTCGATTCTTTTTCTTTGTCAAATACTCTCACAACAGAAATTACTTAGGTTTTTTTTTTGGGATCTTCTGCAGAACATAAGGCAGCAACAAAAGGCGCCACTAGTGGAACAAAAGGCGCCAGTGGGGGAACAAGAACGGCTTCGAGTTTCAAAGCAGCTCCGCAAAGTTAGTCAGCTCTTTTCTTTTTGGGTCGAATTCGAATACTTGGCTTTCTTCTATATGCCTGCGTCTGCGTGGCTTAATTGAAGGTGCACAATAGTGTTTTCTTTTTGGAGAGATGTTTCCATCTCAAAATAATTTCGGGTTTCGTAAAATTGCTCTATTTTTAGTTGCATCTAGTCCAAAAACCATATGGAGGAGCTCCTTTGTTAGTTTTTCTTTTGTAAACTTAAAAGAAACTTTAGTATTTCGGTGGTTAAGCATCTGTGTTATTTAATTACTGACGAGTTTGTTTGTTTGAATGGTCAGGAGTAAAGCATCCCCCCAAACAGGGTGAGGATGATGGCGTCGGCAAACTTCTCGCCGGTGGTCTTAATTTGCTGAAGGGGGCGGCAAAAGTTGGTGCGGATGCCACAAACAAAATAGGTAGTTCGTCAAAAACTGTTTCCATATGGCCTTCTCCTTCGTACCAGCTACACATAACCTGAATCAAATTTGTCGTCCAAACTCCCCCTTGATTCGTAACGGCCAATGCTTATGTGTAACTTCACCGAGTCGACAATCACTAGTCGGCTCTGAAAAAGGACCCCAATCTAACCCCTTCCTCATCATGATTTTTCTTCTCACCATCGTTTGAACCTTGGAAACATTTCACCCGAGTCTCTTCTATGCCCACAAATGACAACCGCCTCAGGTACCTATTTTCCTGTGCACGCAATTTCCAAACCACCATCGAGATCGAAGCTTTAGCACACCCTATCTGACGATATAAACCACCACATTCTTCTCCCTTTATTAGGACCATACAACCACGTGTGATGTTCATGACTCCTCTGCAAAAGTACATTTGCAGCCTTTTGAGTCTAACTGGCTCAAAGATAATAAATTCCTTCCCAACTTTGGGACATACGTCACCACCCAAAGTGGGTACTACTCCATCAAACATTTCGATCTTTACTATTCCTACACCCATGACGTCACACTTAGACTCATTGGGCAAGGAGAATGATTTACCACTTCCTTCTTGGAATGTATCAAAATATTCCTTCATGGAACAAATGTGATGAGTCGAACTTGAACTAATATCCATTCACTTTGATAAGAAATGTTACCTGCGGAGAATGTGAGAACATCTTCACCAATATCCATATAATTTCGTGTTGCTATCGTAGTTGAGTTATCCTCATTAGAGCACTTCTAGCAGCCAGCCTTGGTCAGGGCAGGAGGGGGCCCAAGCCCCATTTCGACGTTCCAACAGGCAGCTGGTGGGCTCCATAAGCTTGGGCAGGCTTAAAGGCAAGAACAGCCTTGGTTGTTGCTTGCTATCGTCAGCAACGAAAAAAACTTTAAAAATTTTGAAAAAATACTAAAAATTTCAGAATTTTTTAAAATAAATACTTATTCATATTCTTCACTTCTCACACCAAAACTCTATACAAAATTTCTCTCCTCACATCTCATGTGAATAGTGGTTGCCCTTGGGTTGCCATGACAATGGGTGGAAACACCATAAGCCTTTTGAAAGGGCTGTTACTATTCATGTTAATAGTAACATCCATTGCCCTTTGCCATAGCAAATGGGTGGAAGTGCTCTTACTATTCTTCTTAATCCAAGTTGGATAGTCCCATTTATGTGGCCCCATTCCTTACACTTGTAGCACTGCTTGTCCTTTCTACCATCTCTGGATTTAGACCTATTGGGGCAACTAAATTCCTTGACGGTTTGTCTTCCTTTTTATTCCGACCTTGAGCAGCAAAGACGGAACTCTGGCAATCTTCAACCTTTCTTCTCTTCTCATGTGACAACAGAGTTGCCTCGACCTCCTCCATTTTGAGAGTATCTTTACCATACAACGTTGTAGTAACAATATGCTCATACGAATCGGGAAGTGAGGTAAGAAGTAGGAATTCCACTTGATCATGGTAATTAATTGATGGAAGTAAAAATAAACTGAGATTAATTACAATACATAAAAACAAATGAGAACACACAGGTTAATTATACGTAGTTCAACAATATGCCTACATGTCCACAGAGTGTTTTCATTTTCACTATAACAAGAGAAAAATACAAGTACAAAAATAACACCGCTCAAGAGTTCTCTCGTTATTTTTCTCTCATCCACCATCATTTGTTGCATCTTTAGTTGCAAATTTGAACAGAGAAGGAGAAGGAGAAGGCAAAGAGAAAGTCAAGGGACACGGAAAAGGCATAGGCATTCATAAGAAAGGGTGGCAGAACAAATGGACATGAGGATGGCAATTCATGTGTTTGAGGAGCGAGGCTTCTTTTGTTTATATTTTTACGTGCGTTTTGAGTTGAATAAGGTTCACAGTCTATATTTCTCACTACTGCAATTTGGGGTTTGCCCCTTTCTTGTTTCAGTTATAATGTTCTTTGATTATCTAACTGATTGTCAAAATGTCAAAATAGTTCAGTTTTCTGGATTTCACTACATTCATTTTGTTTTACTTGGGTAAAATTGTGGATTCGTAAACATTAATAATGGACAGAGTTCTTTGTGTTAATGTTTTGAGGAGAGCTGGAAAAGAATGGGCCTACGCCACTATTACAATTGAGATGATTGTTGCCAGAAATGTTGGGGAGCAAATGTTAGAAAAGGGATTAAGGATGGTTGATCAACTCGACCAGTCATCAGTTCTTTTGAATATGATCTATATTTGTTAAGGTTTGGTTACAAGATTGATCAATCAAAAATTATGGTGAGCCAAGATGGAGGAGGAAGTCAAATAGGAAGAAATCGTAATGGAGGCTGAAATAATTGAAGCTCCAGTAACCCGCAAGATGGAGGAAGAGATTCAAGCAAAACAAGAGATTGAGCCTATGAAAACTCCTATTGTTGTTGAAGCAGATATTCCAAAAAATGAACAATAATTGGATTTATCTGAAATTCTAGGTATTGATACATATGAATTTGGAGAGGAAAATAATTCATACAAGGAGTTTGATTCACAACTAGCATATTCTAATCTTATTTGTGGAATTAATTATATGATTATTCCATCCAAGTATATGTTCAGACGCCACAAATTAAGAGCTTATCCACACATCAAGTTCTTTGTCTACTCAGGTTCATTTTAAGGAGAACTCGAGGTCGAATTCTTTATAAGTGAAGGAGTCTGATGTAGGACAAAATATGGGTAAATTCTTACTAAGGAAAATAAAGAAAATTAGTTGGTTTGAAATCGCAATCAAATATCAGTTATGAAGTTAAAAGACGGAAGTCTTATAGTTGGGATTTTCGAGTTGCTTGATTAAGTTTGGAGCGTAGATGATGCACGATTTATATTTAATTTTATATGAAATAGGATATTATTTTCCCGATATGCTTTTAACTATGATTTTTATTATGTTGTTGCTAGTTGAGTTTTATGAACATTCATGAACTTATGGTTTCTTGCGGTTTTAGGCTTTCTTAGTTTTCTATTTAAGTCAAATCATGACATTGTATTTAACAATTTATTCATATTATCAATAAATTTTGGAGACTTTTCTCTATTTTTGGTGGACTCCATATCGTTAATGGATTTTGACATTGTTACTGTAGAATGACCACTTGATATCCCTTAACCCGTACTTCCGTGATACATCAAGAATTAATCTTCCGTATGAGATGCCTAAGAATGAGCAACCTAGCCCGCAGGTTGATGATGAATGTTTTGAAATCTGAAGGATAGAAACTTGTTTTATGATGCATGTCAAGGATACAAATTTAATGATGAATGTTATGATTATGGATTGGAATTGTCTTTCTTTGGGCCTAATACGGGTTATTTCAGTTATGAAAAAAAAACAAAAAAAAACTAGTCCAATTTTGAAGCTAGCCCAAATTGAAACCAAACCAGACAAAGTCACGTTTGGTTTTGGTTTGGAATTTCGATAAACCAAGCTAACCAGTTCTGCTTTCAGTATGACTCAAAATTGAATCAACCCCAACCATGGCCAGCCCTAGTTACCAAAATCGATTCCATTTGGTCACAGGGTTCTCACATTGAGTCTGATGAAATATTTGGGCCAATTAGTGTGGGTCTCTACATCTTTCATTCCTCAAATCATATGAAAGACGGAAGAAAAACATGGTGCAATTCCGACGAAAGTCTAGGACGAACTAGAGTGAGAAACAAATTTCCCCTTTTACTTTACAAATCTTCTTTTTCCCATTTTAAAGAAATTAATTTAAATTGTGTATATTGGTTTATTTTATTTAAATTGGAAAATGTCTGTTTTGTAGCTCTGGAATGGAATAATTTAGCAGAACGGAAAAAGAAGGGAAAAAGCCAAAGCCAAGTCATGAAAAGCCGAGGTGGGTCGACGGAAATGACAACCCCAGAAAGAGCCAAGTGTCTATGGGCCTATTGGTTTATGAGCCCGCAACCCAACCTCACCTTCCACCAAAATTACAACTTTACAAGGAAGTTTCTTTCGTTTCCCTTGTCTACAACGCGTAATAATGATAATCCACACGGCTCACACGCACATCATATGTATGTGAGAATGCCTAAACCACCATACATGATATATATATGTGCACATCAACATCATACGCAACCGCCATCATTGCCATCATAAACCGCTTGAGGAACACCACAACTGACTCCGAAACTCACTCACACCCTACCTCTCTCTTACTCTCTCTGCCTTTAAATACCCACCCACTGGCCTCACCACATTTCCTTACTCTCTCCACTCACAATTTACACCAGAACAAACAAAGAAAAAACCAACCAAACACATCACCATGGCCAAGGTGAGTGAGCAAATTCCTCCACCTCTGTTTCTCTGTCTTTTAGTTTAGCCCTTTGTTTCTCTCTATTCTTGCGTTTGCTTAATGGGTTTTGTGTTTGTTTCTGTGTTTAATGCAGAAGAAGAACAACAAAAGTGGCGGTGAGAACAACAACAACAACGATGTGGCTGAGAAGAAGAACGGCGATGGAGGTGAGAAGAACAGCGGCGCTGGGGGTGAGAAGAAGAAGGAGGACGGCCCCATCCCCATTGTGTTGAAGGTTGACATGCACTGTGAGGGCTGTGCTACTAAGATTGTCAAATGCGTCAAAGATATACAAGGTAAAATCATTTTCAAACCCCCCTGTTTCTCAGATTTCCTTCAAATATTTTCTTCACAGATTCTGATCTCCCTTCATTTTCCTCATGAATTTCCTCCAAATTTTACAAAGCAATGTTCATATCCTACTTTCTGCATCTCGGTTTCTATTTTCCACGTGTTGTAGATTTAAACCCACTCTCTATTTTTCTTTCTGGGTTTGGGTTTTTCTCAAATTTTGTAATTTTTTTTTCTTTTGTTGCATGGAAAATGTAATATTCCAAACGGATTTGATTCAGAATATGCTCTGTTTCTACTTTATGGGTTGAATTGAATCTCATCCAAAACCAGATTCATTTCTTTTTTGTTTTTTGTTTTGTTTAATTTCTGGGTTGGGTTTTAAGCTGTGTGTTACGCAATGAAACGTAGGCGTGGAGTCGGTGAAATCTGAGTTCCAGGCGAACAAGCTGACGGTGGTCGGAAACGTGGACCCCACACAGCTCAAAGACAAGCTGGCCGCCAAGACCAAGAAGAAGGTCGACCTCGTCTCTCCCCAGCCCAAAAAGGACAACAAAGACGACGCCAAGAAAAACCAGCCTGAGAAGGGAAACGACGACAACAAAAAACCCAAAGAGGTGTGTGTCGTCTGCGCACTGGTCCCCCCCTCCCCCTTCCCTTAACGTGCGCCTGTCTTGTTCTACGCACCTGCCTCAGATTTTATTTATTTATTTATTTATTTGATTTTATTAATTAAACGGGTCATGGGTTTGTGTAGGTTCCGGTGACGACGGCGGTTCTCAAGCTGAACTTGCACTGCCAGGGATGCATCGGGAAGATTCAGAAGACTGTGAGCAAGACCAAAGGTGGGGTTATCAATTTCCCCATTAATCAGTTTCTAGTTAACGGCGTCGTTTTTGTCATGATGAATTTGTTTGCAAGTTTTTTGACATGGGTGACGTGGCAGGGTTCCATGATATGAGCATTGATAGGCAGAAGGATTTGGTGACGGTGAAGGGCTCAATGGACATGAAGGAATTGGCTGAGACTTTGAAGGAGAAGCTCAAGAGGCCTGTTGACATTGTGCCACCAAAGAAGGAGAAGGAGAAGGAGAAGGAGAAAGGCGAAAACAACGGCGGCGGCGGCGGCGGTGGAGATAAGAAGAAAAAGGAGGAAGAGGGGGGCAATGGTGGTGGAAAAATGGAGGGGCACAAAATGGAGTATCCAGTGGGTCTACCCGGATTCGGACAAGTTCCATATGGAATGGTATATGGACCTGGATTCGGAGCAGGATACGGGTACCCGCCTCATGCTCTGCCTCCTCAAACTCTGCCTCCTCAAGCTCCTTACATGGGGAACCCACTTCATGCACCTCAGATGTTCAGCGATGAGAACCCAAATGCTTGCTCCATAATGTGAGAATGGTCAATCAAGGAAGAAGATGATAGAGTTAGAAAATCTGATATCAGACGAAAATAAAAAAATAAAAAAAACTGTAAATAAGAGAATAGACAGGTTTAGATATGAGAAATCTCAGGGGGGTCGGGTTCATCCATCTTTCGACCCGGAGCTCTAGCTATTAGAAAAATCAAAATGGTCATTTTGGGTTTCCTTTGTATGTGTTTCTTGTCATGAAACTACTATTTGTTTTGTTGTTGTGATTTGGTTAGTGATATTAATGCTGTGTTGGCTAAAAACGCTTTTTGATAATCAAGTTCGGTTGTTATCTGAACGTGCCGTATCATGAGTTTATGTTACTTAAACGTTGCCGTGTCTTGAGATCTTTTTTAGAACGTGTAGTTTAAATTCATGAACGGTAAATATAACGTGGTTTAATTTTTTTAATATGCAAGTGGCAGGGTGGGCTTAACAGTTAAGCACTCTACATCTGGTGAGAGTGAGGCACTAAGATGGGGGAAAATGTTTGTAGTGTGCTGTGAGGTTTGGCTTATTAGTGATGTACAACCACTTGGACAAGGACATGTCACTAATGTCACACTCAAATCATTTACCCTACATTAAATAAATGATCTAGAAGATTCTTAATTTCGAAATCTTAATACAAAATTAGGGTCAGTTTGGTATTGCTGTGCTGTGAAAATAATCGCTGTCAGATTTGCTGTGAGAGAAATCAGCTGTGAGAGAAAGCAGTTTGACGTTTGGTAAAATTTTTGTTAAAAGTGTTGTTGGTATTGATTTTACGCAAAATCAGAAAATGATTGTTGTATAATTATTAAACCCAACACCTCTTCGAAACTGATTCCTGCATAATCAGAAAATGAAAGCACCTCATTAGCTGCTTTCCCTTATAACTTTCTCTCACAGCAATTTTTAACAATAAGTGATTTTTTCGCAGTTTATCGAACGGGTTGGGCTTCTCAAAAATTTTTAAAAATCACTTATCACCCCAAATAAGCAATGCCAAACTGGCACTTAGTTAATCATATTCTACTATATAGTTTTTTTGTTCTTGAATATTCTATACATTTCAGGTCAAAGTTGTTGAATATGCTACTCCAAAGCATTTTGCGGTTCCAATTTTCAATTATAATAGCAGTGAATTTGGTCCTATGCGACATCCTCGTGATGACGGAACCAACTAATCATTTTTAGGTGAGGATTACAACTTCGATATGCACCATTTTGCTTTTTAAATCCACGTGTGTACCTAATTATTTTCTTAAAAAGAACACTGCATTAGCAAACGATCTATTATTGTAGTGGTTTTTTTTGTTCGAGTTATGATATCTGTGTAGTGTGTATAAATTTAATATATTATTGCTTCCTCTCTTATATTAAATAAATTTGATGGCTCTACTCAATTCAACTACGTAACCAGAATTGATGAGAATAAATAATTAATACATGCACAATGACAAGGTATTGAAATATTAATTAATGTAGTAAAGATGTCTTAATCTCATTAATGAAGTTTCCAGGATGAGTTAATTAAATAGTGGTAATTAAAAGACATTAATTACTTAGAATTGAATGTGAATGGTAAAAATAAATAGTTGAATTGATAGCCTGCTTTCTGTGTCGTGCACGTTTCTGGGTGCCTACGACGCGATTGCAATCAACACTCCCTCCGTCCAATTTAAAAAAATATTTTCCAATTTCCAAAAGCTGTGTGGAGTCTGTGTCCATACCGTAACACATTTAACACGTATCAAGTCTATGAAACTGTACATGACTAGGAGTAGTACTATTGGGCTGCAGAGCGACCACTGCACACAATAACCGATGACCATGATCAGACCAATGGCCACTTGGAAATTTATTCGGGAGCAGCGACTCACGAGTCACAACTATTTCTTCTTTTGGTTACAGACAAGTCACAACTATTTCAATTATTGGAGTTAAGGTCATTCTCTCATTTGAGACCCGCAATACATCAACGATCGAGATTTAATCACGTCTGAATATTTCTACGAACTTAATATTTATCGTGTATTTTTAACCATTGATGCATATAGAGTTCATAAACAACGGTTAAGATTTGGGAATGTCCTATGAGCCGTGTTAAGGCAGATTTTCTTGTCTTTGATGCAGCTTGGTTAAGGCCCGACCCGACTATTTCTACGAGCTAATTGTACATTTCTGATCCTTAATGCATGTGGGGGTAGCCAAGATTCAGAAATGCTTGTATGGACAATTATTTCTATGAGGAGTGATAAGGTCAATGACAATTTCTTATTTTTGAATCATATATTTGAAGTGTACAATGCATCAACGATGAAAATTTGTCCCTACGTGCATCAACGATTAACGGTGATATTCTTTCACATTACTACACATGACTAATGAGTTGTGGGGTGGGTCATAGACTGATAGCATGGGATGGGGACCCACAAATTATTTGATATGTGAGAGTCATGACCATGATTCCATGGGAAAGGAAACTTTTAAGAGTTTTGAATTTTGAATAGGTGTGTCTATGTGTCTCATTAGGTGTCCTTTGCCTAGTGAGCTGGCAGGCAGGAGTTTCGAGCGCACATACATTTCCTCACTTGCTGCCGTATCAAATAAGGACTAGCTACCTAAAGGCTGACCTATGCCCTCCTATATGTCCTACATAGTACTGCCATGTAGGACCAGCCATAAGCCACAAGCCATGAGCCATGAGCCAAGAGCCAAATGGCCACACACCCTTTCCTAGAACGAAAATACTTCCCTCTTCCTTCTGTAAAGCACAGTACAAAAATTTGTCCCTCTTCCTTCTTTAAATTGTCATAATATCGTGATATTATCCATTATATTGCGATTTGAATTGTGTCAAAAATGAAACAATTTAAACTCAACGCATAGTGGGGTTCGAACCTCTCCCAACTCCAAATTTTTGCAGCCACTTAATCACCACGCTGCTCATGACTTCGTAATTATAAACTATGGAATCTAGTATATATAATATCGCGACTTGAACTTTCAAAAATTAAACAATTTAAACTTAGCGCACGTAGTGGGGTTCGAACCCCTCCCAACTCCAAATTTTTGCAGTCACTTAACCATCACGCCAGTCATCACTTTGTGATAATAAGCTATGGAATATGTATTTATAATACATGCGATTTGTTTCTCAAAATAGAAATTAACATAATTACTTATTGTTTTATATTGTTGATCAGTTACTTAATTACTTAATATAATTTATTTCTTTTCTATTTAATCTATTTAATGTTATTGATTATTTTATTATTCATTATAAGTACTTACATTACTAAATTCCCCTTCAAATTGTTGCTTAATTACTTCAATCTCTATAATTATTTTCTTTGTTTACTACTTAAATCTTTATTTGATAAATTTATTTATGTTCTTAGTTAATTTTCAATCTTCACTATTATTTTTTAAGTATGGTAAAGTGCCTAATTTTCATGAAAAGTCAAGTTGGTTTAATTATTTTTCAATTTTTGATAAATAATAAATATAATAACGTGTACCATGTCCAATGAATAATATGAAATAAGGTTACACATGTATCTTACCATGCAATTTATAAAGTGTAAAATATTGTACTAAAAAATGATAAATAAATTACTATGGGGTGTTTAATTCTCTTCATTAATTACTCAATATTTTCTAAGTCATAGAGTTTGTCAACTCGCAATATAATCAACTTAAACTACTCGAACCCACTATGCAATGCATTTCCTTCCAATTTTTTGTGTCAAAATAATAGATGATTGACTAAATAAACTTCTTCTAAAGTTTCATTAAAAAATTTCATGTATTTATCACAATTTCCATGGTTTTTATCCAATTTTTATCGATATCGATATTTTCCCGATATTTCCATCGATATTTCCGTGTTTTTGAACCACCGATATTTTCAAAACTATCGATATTTAAGACCTTGCTGTAAAGTAAGAATTGATATCTTCTTGCAATAGAAATATGACAAATGAGTAGAAGTATTTTCTGTATTTTTAATAAATTAATTTTACATATATGTCAAACTGTGATTGGAAATAAGAATATTTCCTTTTAATATCGAAACAATGAGGATTTTTCCCGGAAGGTATGTATGTCGCTGGTGGGTGTTGTACCCTTATATCCTGTGGGGACACTACACATCACAACGGACGCACCCTACCCGCATCTGCCCGCAAAACAAAACTTACCCAACAAAGCAGCCTTTCTTTTTGCTCCCAAAATAAAATAAATAACGAAAGCGTGCCTTGCTTTTTCCTTTTTATTTTTTCCTTTTTTTTTCTTCTTTCTTTTCTCCTCCTAAAGTTAACAATTCTCCTACAAAAAAAAAAAAAAAAAAAAAAAAAAAAAACCAAAAAGAAAAAAAAAAAAAAAAAAAAACCTTTTCTTACAGACTTGCACCGCCTTTATCCAAAAAAGAAGGATGTTGAATTCTCAAATAGCCAACATTTAACATTGCTAATTCTCTCCATATCAAACTAATTTATTTGTGTTTTGTCATTGGAGATGTTGTATTCATATTTGACATTGCGGCTACTCTGTACTTTTTTATGTGTCATAAATAAAATTACTATTGCTTTTAATAAATAATAAAAAGGTGGGTGCTTCTATTTGTATTATATTTATGGGCTATATTGTTAACGATATCTCTAATACAGGTGAGACCCACGTAGATTGGTAAGATCCACATTTATTAAAGAAGTAGCCAACAATGTGATACAAATAATATTATTAAATAAAAATAAAAATATTTCTCCAAATTTAGGTTTCACTATTTCTTCTTAATTAAACTATTTTCAAGTTGAGGGAATTTATGTGGGTCAATAGTCAGGAGAATTATAATTAATTGGGTTCAAAAGGTTGTAGACTCTAGTGAATACAATTAATTTTGGTTTTTCATAAACAAAGGAATTTCTCTTTGTTTAATGCATAACTTTTTTCTTTGGTAATTAAAGTAATACACTAACCAAAAGGATGACATTATTATTATTTTCTGAATATTTTCTACTAAAAAGGAGAGCATTAAATAGCGTACCACTCTTGCAAGTTGCGAGTGTAGAAAGCACACACGAGCTTGCATTAACATGACCCTGTAAATTTTTTTATAAGGATGAGAGGAACATTCATCGTGTCACGTGTGTCCTATGTTATGCATGTACCATCAACCCATCATGCATAATCATCTTCACATTATGATGCAACATACCATCCCATGATGATGATGATGATAACCATGCCCTCAATTTTGTCTGCCTCTGAGAAAGAGATGTGAACTTTCCCTAAAGCTTACGTGGGCAAAAAGAGGACGAAGGAAAAGAACACAAAACGTTTTTTTTCTCTAAATTTTCAACCCAAATGATGCTTCTTCTTTTTTTGTTTTGCATCAAAATTTCAAAATTTCTGTATCAATCTGACATACTTGTCGGTCAGGAAACCAAAAGAATTGAGGGAAATAAATACAAGAGAATATGAATATTCTACCAACTCAACTACCTCACAAGCACTAGTCAACCTCATTGAGAAAATAATTTGTTCTAGTATATATAATTATATATATATATGAGTATTAATTTAATTCACAATTTAAGAAATGGCTATTATTCAAAATACCAATTGCAAATGCATGTGATCAAAGGGTTTTCTTGGAATCTTCTTTCATAGGATGTGATGATTGCATGAGCTCAAGCCCATGTGAGTATTGGTAGGGTGTGTCAAAAGGGTTAAAGGTGGAAGAAAGAAAAGAGAGATTTGTGATAGATAAGTCTTTTTCATGGGGTTTTCTCCCATTGCCTTATTAGAAAAGGCAAGTGCTCTTTCTATTTCTACAAATGTTAGACATATAGCTAAGCTTCTTTTTTAGTAAGGCTTACAGCTACACAGTTATTGAATATGTTTTTCGCCATCTTTATAGAGTAGTGTTTCTACCATATTACAGATATTCAACTTATCATTCTACACTCTCGGAGAAAAAAATAACAGAATCCGTCATATATACTGGTCAAAAGATGATATATATGTTACATTGGAGTATGATACTCACATAAATTTTCCTTTTCAGAAAAAGCGACAATCACTTTGTATAGTTAAGTCTTTGCTAAATCGATCAAAAATTTAATATTTTGTTTTGGTAAGGTTCAAATGGGTACTAAGTCGGTCAGTAATTGGCAAAATTCAGTGAATGTGATACACCAAATCATCATGATATATACATGGTGTAAATGCTAAATAATTTCTCCTATCACATCTATGCAACGCAAGAAGACATATGATCTGAATTGTGTGGTGCAAATAGTTGCTGAAAATATCTAAAAAGCAGGTTCATATCGTTTTCATTGGTTGAATCAATTGTTTTCAGCAATATTGGAAAAGCCATTCATGATTAAAATTCAGTTTACCAATGGAATCATGCATACGTTGCTCATGATGAAGGCTTGAGGCCAAAGAACAAGCTCCTTGGTGTGTCCAAAAACATTGAGCAAGGACATAATGAGGGTGTTCTAGAGTTTAAACTCTCTAAAAGTTAGCCACATGCATGCAAACCTTAATCATTTCATGGGCATCAAAACTTCCTCCTAACCTCTTGATTTTGCTTGAAATAAATAAATAAATTTTTTTTTTTTTAATTTTGATTTGATCTCTAGATTTTAGTTAGCAGGAAAGTTCCAAGTTAATGTGGGCTTGGTTTTTGAGGCAATTAGGTCAAGAACATAAAGTCTTTCTTTATGATGGAACCCATTTCAAAAGAGCAAAGTCTCAAGGGTAAAAATACAGAAAGTGTCAATGGAAAGAAGCTTATCCCTTGCCATATTAATATTTTTATCCTAAAATTAAAATTATTGAGCAAGACCCAATGGGTAGTCATCATTAGATGAGATGCTAATCTCTCTTAAGAGTTCAAAGACAAAAAAAGATGGCTCAATTTTCTTTAATCTTCACACTTGATCACATCATTTGAGGGACAGAAAGTAGGCTTAATGAATATACTAGCTCTCTTTGTAGATAGGCGTTGTACAATTGAATGCTTTAGAAAAGTAAAACCATGACATGAGAAAGGAGTCTTTTCTTTTGTAGCCAAATTTCAAAGTTCCTTGACACTTTTTTCCTTTCCATATAATTGCATGCTTAGAAAAAAAGGACCCTTCATTAGACCATCAAATTGAATTAGGTTCGTTCGTATTTAAATGTATGATCGATATTGATGTCTAGTAAAACGACGTTATCAATGAGTGATAAAAACGGAATAAGAAAAAACAAAAAAGTGTTTCTGTTCAGATAGAAAGCAAACACCCTTCATTATCAATTTACAAACACCTAATGCATTTTGATGGAACCGCTAGTTTTGGTTTTTCTTAATTGCTGAACCTAAATGTGACCATTTGACACAAGATATCATATCTTGTCCACAAGATACGAAGGTAAAATCAAATTGATTTTCATCAACATACCGACAGTCAAGCTTTTTAAAGTTGGTATAAGTCCTCCCCAAGAACCCCACTCACTCACTATGAATAAATAGTCATGGAAACTCAGGACAAAAAATAAAAAATTGAATAAGGGAATTTCATGGCAATGGATAATATTAAATTTTCAGGTGAAGCATAGATGGCTCATATGTAATTAAATTTGTAATTTCTCCTTATTTAACAGAATGATCATCCACCATACAAGAAAGAGACCCCTTGTCACTTGTCAAGTTGTCATATGAAGATCCTCAGGGATTTGCTGGTAAAGGGTAGTTGCCAATAACACCTCAAACTTCTAGCCCAAGTTCAACCCGACTTCGAATAATGTTTTTGGTAGACTTTGATTACTTGAACCAACGGCGTTGACAAGAATAAAATGTCTCTCCATAATGGGATAATGGTCCCAAGGTTAGGTAAGTTATCTTTTCTATTTTATTTTATTTTATTTTAATAATTTAAAATACAAGCCATATTGAGGAGGAAAGTAATCGAACTTAGGACATCGGGTGCAAAGATAAATGATGTTAACCACTTCACCTACAATCAACTTGCCTTGGGCGAGTTATCTATCCTTACAGTTTCTTGGTAGCAGCCCCTAAGCTAGAGAATGCCATTATAAGACTTGTATTAGAAGCATTTGGAAACCCGAGCAAAATTATACTGTTGCATGTTTTCGATTTTTGTGGCCAATTCAATCCAGCTATAAGATCATTTTCTCTATATTCAGCACCCTGACTTGCACAACAGCTAAACGGAAGTGGGAAAAAGTTGGAAAGAACAAACTGGTTTTAATAATTTTCTGTAAGAAAGATGAGAGGAAGCAAACATGAAAATGACACAGTTTATGAGCTGTTTCTATGGCTATGTACAGACAATTTCCAAGTGGTTCTGGTTTTGCACGAATGCAATGCGGTATAATTTGCTGGTGTGAGCAATAAAAGGAGCTCATTGCCTCCTCCTTACTCTGTCATAAGAAATATATAGTTCAGCATTTAGACACAAGGAGTGCAAACAAGAGATTTCTTATTAGTAACTTGGTCGAGATGTATTTTCGTCGTTATCATCAAGAATGAGTTTGACTCCATTGTTCTTAAGAGCATTGACAATAGCCCAAATCTTGGTGCGGTTCTTAAAACCCTTCTTCTCAAGTTCATTATTTACATTAACGTGAATCCCTCGTCCCTGCCCCTGGTCAAGACCATCCACCTTGAGTCTCTTAGCCAACACCTCTCCAACAACTGACGCTGCCTTTGCATTGCAAGACCGACCACACTCAAGCGAGCCCTTGATTGAATGTTCAACTGTAGATGCTGATGTAACAATCCGGCCATTGTTTCTGTCCACCACGTTTGCTGTAATGTACTTCAAGGATATGAACAGCCGCAGTACATACCGCTTCACAACCGTCATTCTTAGGCAGTCCTGATGTTTTATTGATAAGATACATTAATAAAAGCCAATTGGATATGAAACTAATATATGAGGAAGAAATAAAGTACTAACATTTATGTACCAAAAGAAAATACTAACGCTGTGGTATTCAACTCTCCCAGAAGGGTGTGGAGATATAATCCTAAATATCTCCCTTGGGCATGTTCTAACCAATAGTCATTTAAGCTGCTAACAGCACACTGACAATACACTTGCATCAAACTGGTAGCAACTTGAACCCACTTTTCATCAAACATGTACAACCAAAGAGTTATTGCTTCTACACCCTTAACTCAACCGTTACAAAATCTTTCAAAGACTTATGGCTAAACAGTTCATTGTTGTAGGCCTGTTTGCCACAATGCATAGGAGTAAATAAATCCACGTTCCCAGAATTATCAGTTCAGATGCATCTCAATAGAAAATTGGTAGCAATCAGTTTGAGTCCCACTTAATTTTTGACTCTCACTCCCACAAGAAAACAATCGTTACTGAAACCCTCAAACAATTAAGCATGCTAAGTTGCTCCCAACCTCAAGAGCTTTATAAGGATACTGATTGTTAGTGCTCAGTGGTTGTAAGACATCTTTGTAGCAGGGTCGATGATTGTAGACAGGGCAAAGCAACTATATCAATACTCTCAGAGGGATTCTTCCATGACACTACTTGAAATGAAGTGATTATGAAAACTATTTTCCTATGCTTCCAACAGAACAATTTCATGGTTATTGCCTCAAAAATTACAGCCAGTACATTCCAATAAGAACACACTTATATTTCATTTCCATATCCAATGCACACACCCAGTTCAATAAAAGAAAATGGTCAGCCAACTGTAAAACTACGCAAGAACATGCTCAATTCATTCAATGGAAAAATCCTAGCTCAATATGCCTAAATTTATCCATCAAATGGCTTCACTAGAAAGGCGTAACAATAATAATACGAAAAAGATTTCAAGCAGCTAGACATTATCTCTTGCTATCAAACCTCCAAAACTCTAGAAAGAAGGCTCTAAACTACAGATTCTAACTTCAACTCAAACAGTAAATCGCTCACCTCCCTATGAATTTCGATCTGGAACGAAAGATTTAACGACTCAGTTCCAGAGGAGAGAACAGTACCTGATAGACGACGTCGCTGCTACAGAACACTACCTGACCGCCCACAGCACACGAGCAATCGAGGGTACATGAGGGAGAGTGCTATAGCTGATGAGCCCACGTTTGATTCTCGGTCTCTTGGAAGATATTGGGTTCGGAGAGGATTTTTTTGGACGAATGGATTCGAAGAGGTGGGATGCGTGATAAATGGATAGGCGTAAGAGCAGTTCCAGCGGATAGCTCAGCCCAGGCAAAAGGTCCCTTGGTCTCCCAAAATAAGCTCCAGCGGTGACATCTAACCCGCGCAAGAGCTGGGTCCATAAGCCCGTGCAAGGCCCAAGACAAGATAGGCCGAGCTGCTGTCTGAGAGCAATGACGTTAGTGAAGAAATTTTTTTTAAAAAATTGAAACAAATTCTGAAAAATTACCAACAAATTCAAATTTTTTTATTTATATATATACAAGTAGCAAATTTTTATTAATTAATTTCATACATAAAAATAAAATGAATAATACTAGTCTTACTACATTTTTTATACCACAATTTTATACCACATGATGTGGCAGCTGATGTGTACATGCCACATCATATAAAATACTAGTTTCTGTTTTTCTAATTTTATTTATTAAAAGATATTTTATTTATTTAATTGATGTGGCATATGATATGTACATGTCACATCATGTGGTATAGAAATGTGGGATAATAATGTAGTAAGTGTAGCATTACTCAAATAAAATTAATCCCATGTGAATAGTAATTGCTCTTGGGTAGCCATGGCAATGGGTAAAAAGGAAAAAAAAATTGCTAGGGCAGATACTATTTGCGTGAACAATAACTGCCCTTACTTGTCCTTTCCCTTGCCATTTTCTATGACAAATGGGTGAAAGTGCTCTAAAACGGTGGGTATGTCAATATAACAAAAGTACTGTTTCTGGTTTCAAGAATTCAATCCTGTTCTCTTGGACCCTATGGTCCAAGGAAGGTGTGGTTATCTACCCTTAGATCTAGTATAAGAGTTGAGAAAAAAACTAGTTTAAATATCAATATGTCATATTTTATTTTACTTTTACTACAGTAAAATACTATTTTGGTTATTAAAACTAATTTTTTAAAAAGAAGAGTTTAATATCAGAGATGAAAAACATGAAGGAAAAAAAACTCATCTGCATCAAAGATCATTGTCTTTGACACCAGACATCTTTCCTCCTTCATGCCTAAGAAGAATAAGAAAAACATGAAAATACAATTCAATGAAAATACAATATCGTTGTAGAAACCCAAATTATGGGTTAAAAAAAAAAAAAAAAAAAAAAAAAAAAAAAAAACCCAAACAACAAAAACAAAAATTATAAAAAAGTGAAAAGTTTTCCCAAAACTGAGTTCATGAATCATTCAAATCTAACATTTATAAACAGAAAATTGATCACAAAGGCAAAGAACAACAGGAAACTGACTTGGTTGTGGGTCCTTGAAATTCAATCACGTTAAAGTGTGAAGGGATGGCTTGATGGCTCCGAATTTGGATCAATAATTTTTTTTTGTTTATGAAAAAATTGAATGTTTGAGTCTAAATCGAGAGATGAAATAGATAACCAATAAGAATTAGAGTGAATTATAAACGACATGTGTTCTTGATTTTCGTCTATAACATTGGAGTTGAAGGTAGTTGTGGACGAGAATGGAGGAAGAACTGCTAAATGTAAAGGTAATCAGGGCAAAGCATTGGTGATTTCTGACCAACGTGATACATGTTGGATTATCGATTCTGGTGCTACTGATCATATAACCTATGATAAATCATATTTCCATTATATGACTGCTCCTACCAAAACAAGTGTGGTTAGTGATAATAGAAAATCTAACTCAGTCACTGGGGCTGGTTCCATTACCCTTACCCCTACCATCTCTTTACATAAAACTTTACTTGTTTCCGCTTTATCACATAATTTATTATCTGTTGAGCAAGTTACAGAACAATTAGATTGAGGTGTGCTCATGTTCTCTTCCTTTTGTTTGCTTCAAGATGTTCAAACCAAGGAGATCATTAGGCTTGTTACTAAAAGAGTGGGGCTTTACTATGTTGATGACATTGCACCGGGTCGTGTTCATCAGGTTTGGGGCGTCACTAGTGAGAAGCATAAGAAGCTTTGGTTATGGCATCGACGATTGGGACATGTTTCATTTGGTTATTTGCAGTCTTTGATTCCATCTTTATTTAGTGGAGTAAAAATTTCTGATTTTCAGTGTGATACTTGTATTCTTGAAAAAAAGCACCAAACTTTTTATCCACCTAGTTTGAATAAAAGCACAACTCTTTTTGATTTAATCCATTCAGATGTTTGGGGTCCATCTTCGATTATTACTGTCTTTGGTGTTTGCTGGTTTGTGATCTTCATTGATGATTGTACTTGGTTAACATGGCTTTCTATTATGAAGCATAAAAGTGAAGTTGGTTCTTTATTCAAGAATTTTTACAAGATGATTCATATTCAATATTCTCGTTGGATTAAAGTTGTTCGATCGAATACTAGAGGAGAATTTGTTAATCTCACACTCTTAGACTTTTTCATTGAAAAAGGGTATTCTCCATAAAACTACTTATCCACAAACTCTTGAACATAATGGTGTGGCTAAACGCAAAAATTGCCATATTCTGGAGATTGCCGAAGCTCTCCTTATTGGGGGGCGTGTTCCCCAAACTCTTTAGGCCGAAGCTATTCAGTATGCCATCTACCTTCTTAATCGTATGTCTTCACATGTTTTGGGTTTTAAAACACCATTGCAAACATTGGCTACTCATGTCCTTGTCAGTTCACATCTCAATCTCACTCCGCGCATTTTTGGTTGTGTGGCGTATGTCCATCTCCGTAAAAATAACAAGAACAAGTCGGATCCATGTGCCTTCCGTTGTGTATTTGTGGGTTTTTCCCCCAACAAAAGGGTTATCGATGTTACCACTCATCTATTTGTCAGTTTTATGTTACTATGGATGTTACGTTTGTGGAAAACGAGATGTTTTTTCTGTTTGACGTGCCCAATCATGTCATTCAAGGGGAGAATGAAGTAAGAGAAGCATAAAATTGGTTTGAAGTGAAAATAAGGGGGATAGAGCAAGGTTTTGTGACTGAATAAGGTCCAGTCAAGATGCCAACCGAGCGACACTGTCTAGCCCAGCTGAACTAAGCAGCCCAACTGCTAAATTGAAAAAGCCCTCGCTTGAACATCGATATACCCGATCATGCTCCATTGAACATCTCTGAGGTAAGTTATTCGAATCCTAATACTGATCAAAATATTGTTGAATTTGTGAAAAAATTACCTGCAAAAGCAAACATGGGAATACCACTAAACAGGTTCTCACTAGAAGGCAAAGTGAAATATGCAATTGCTAATTATGTCTACACACAGATTGTCTCCTCAAGTTAAGGCATTTGTCAATCAGATGGAAGGAAGTAAAATTCCTAATAGATTGGAAGAAGCTTTGCAAGATCCAAAATGAGAACAATCAATGAATGTGGAGGTGGAGGCTATACAAAAGTATAGAACATGGAAAATTATTCAGCAACTTGAAGGAAAGAAACCAGTTGGATGTTGAAGGGTGCATACAGTTAAGCACAAAGCTGATGGGACAATTGACAGATATAAAGCAAGACTTGTAGCCAAATGGTATATGCAAACGTATGGAGTTGATTACCATGATACATTTGCTTCACTGGTGAAAATGAATACAGTGCGAGTTCTATTGTCCTTAGCAACTAATTTAAATTGTCCTATCAAGCAATTCGATGTGAAGAATGCCTTTCTGCATGGAGATATAAAAGAAGAGGTGTACATGGACCTTCCACCTTATTATGAGCTGTCTAAGAATGGTGGGAATGTGTGTAGGTTTTTAAAGGCTCTATATAGCTTGAAGTAGTTTCCATGAGCATGGGTTGGGAGGTTTACTAAAGCAATGAAAAAGTATGAATATCACCAAGGTAATTCAGATTATACCTTATTTATCAAACGTAGGGATGGTAAGGTTACTTTACTGATAATTTATGTAGATGATATGCTTGTTATAGAAGTACTTAGCTTTAGAGTTTGAGATGAAGGACTTGGGGGTTTTAAAGTATTTTCTAGGAATCGAAATGACTTGTTCTACTACTAATATTTGTCTTTCTCAAAGGAAGTATGTTCTAGACTTGTTAACAGAGACTGGTATGTTAGGGTGCGCAACAGTCGAAACCTCTATTGTGCAGAATCATCATCTAGCAATCTATCTTGATCAAGTGCTAACCAACAAGGAAAAATATAAGAGGTTAGTGAGAAAACTAATTTATCTTTCATACACTCAACCAGACATCACATATGTGGTTAGTGTTGTTAGCTAGTTCATGCCTTCTCCTAGTGAAGATCACTTAGTAGTAGTTATGAGGATTTTTAGTTATTTGAAGAAAGCTCTAGGAAATGGCTTGATATTAAGAAAACTAGAACATTTGGATGTTAGGGGTTATACAGATGCAGATTGGGCAGACAATATTACAGATAGATGTTCTATATCACGTTACTTCACTTTCATTGGGGGTAATTTGGTTACATGACATAGTAAGAAGTAGAATGTAGTGGCTCGATATGAAGCTGAGGCAAAGTACAGGGGTGTGGCACAAGGAGTTTGTGAGCTTCTTTGGCTAAGGATGCTTCTTTTTGAAATTGGTTTTCAACCATAGAAAATAATGGAGCTTTTATTGTGACAATCAAGCTACTACGAAGATAGCAAATAATCCAGTTCAACATGACAGAACTAAGCATGTTGAAGTGGATAAACATTTTATCAAGGAGAGGGTAGGAAATCTAATTGATACACCGTTTGTAAGGTCAAAAGAATAGCTGACAGATGTCTTAACACATGTAGTGTGGGCATGAGAGATATCTAAGCACCAACTTGAGGAGGAATGTTGGCGTGAGCCTTGATTTCCTTGTGTCATTCACGTTATCTAATTAGAGTAGTTACCTAGTTAGAATTCCTTGTAATTAACTAATTACTTTTCTTGTAGGAAAAGTCAACTTATACATGTATATATATTCTCTTTACGGAGAAATATGAAATACAATTCACAAATACTCAACCGTGGGTTTTAGTTTGAGTCTTTAATCCAATGAAACCCAATTCTATATGTTAATTCAATCCCAATCACCAAATACGGGTGTCTAGAGACCAATTTATGATGTTCATGGAATCAATCAAGTTTGTTCTATGGGCCTAGAAATCCAATAATATCAGCCCAGTCCTTTGATCTCCTACTTAAAAACGGCACCGTTTGCACCGATAGAAAAATCAAACACCAAGTCCCAACCGCATACGCAACCCAACCCACATAGTGTGGAGAGTGCCTCTAACTCCATAACACGTGGAAAGCCACCCCAACCCTAACCCTCCTTCCTTCCTTCCTTCCTTCCTTCTCCTCTTTATAAAATCTCAAATCCACACCTCCCATTTTCTGAAAACCTCGAACCCAACCACACCGGGTTTTTGCTTCTCTCACCCGACACAGCACAGCAATATCTGTACACCTTCACCCGGAAACTCAATCCCAGATCTGATACCCACCGCCCTCGCTCTCTTCGCCGATCGTCTTCTCTCTCCTCAGGTCCCTTCCCATCTAAATCCCAAATTTCTCATCGTATAAATCTATACATGTATATATATATGTTATGAGATTGGTCTCACTTTCTGATTTTAATGATTTTGGGGTTTTTCAGGTTGATTTTTGATAACGATGGTGTCTGACGCGAGCAAGAAGAAGGCGGCACAGAAGAAGGCGGCGGCGGCGGCCAAGAGAGGTGGAAAGGCGGCGGCGTCGTCGAAGTCAGCTGCGACCGAGTCGCAGAACGGAGCTGATAAGCTATCGAATGGCGTCGGGGCGATGCATATTTCGGATCGTAACTGCACCGGCGTTCTCTGTTCGCATCCTCTGTCTAGAGATATCCGGGTATTTATACGAATATGATGTCGTTTTCACATTTTTCATCTGATTTTGTCTTGTTAAATTCCTATATGGTTTACATAAAGTTCGCGTCTTTTGTGTTTTGGGTAATGTAATAGCTGTTTTTCTTACTAAAAAAAATATACTGGAACCTTTGGTCTGGATGAATTATCTGATAGAGCATGTTCAGGAATCTTTGTCTCCCTTTTGAAAAATAAAAAAACACTGTGGCGAAGAAGCCTTTAGGTGTTCAACGTTCCATTCAGGTCTATATATTTGCTTAGTTTGTTTTATTTCCTTTCAAAAAATTAATGCAAGCCTATTTGGGAGAAACGGGTTAGTTTGGTTAAGCTGTAAATATGGTTGAATGGGGGAAGACGTTAGAGCACCATCCGTTAGATTCAGTGTTTATTTTCTTTTATATTTTATATTTTCATTTTATTTAGTAAAATTCTTATAGCATTTGTTTCAAGGTTTTAGGCATATGTAGAATTCTTATAAATTAGTTTTAATGTTTTGTGGATGTAGTTGTTTTTGCTCTCCCTCTATCAGGAGGTTCTCTTGTTGATGGTGTGTTTATAATTTTAAAACTTGATCCTAGTTTGTTAAAAGTTCTGGTCTGGTTTTAGTTTCCTATAATGGTTTAAGTTGTAGATTAATCCATCTTCTCTTTTCATTTTCTGAGTATTGGTCTATAGGTGACTTTCCCAATTGAAATGGCTGGTAGTAGTGATGAATTAACATTTTTTTCTTTTGATCATTGCAGATAGAGTCTCTAACAGTTACCTTCCATGGACATGATCTGATAGTTGATTCTGAACTGGAGCTTAATTATGGCAGGTTTGTTGTAGATGCTTCATTCAAATAAGAGACAATCAAAATTGGATTAATTTTTTATATGTATATATGACACTTCTGTATTTTTTCTTATTTTTCAGACGTTACGGTTTGCTTGGTTTGAATGGGTGTGGTAAATCTACCCTCCTAACTGCAATAGGCTGCCGAGAGCTTCCAATTCCAGATCACATGGATATCTACCATCTCAGCAGGGAGATTGAAGCTTCAGACATGTCTTCACTTGAGGCTGTCATTAGTTGTGATGAGGAGAGGATAAGGTTGGAGAAAGAAGTTGAAGAACTGGCAGCTCAGGTAAGCTAGATTGAATTAACAGTTAAATTCAACCTTGAAGAATACTTTGCTTTTTTTATTTTAAAAGAATTCTGAAGTACAAAAACCAGTGTTTGATTATACAAAGTAATTTGCATAGAGTAAAAGTTAAAAGCTAAAAAGTCTGCATAAGGATAGAATATGAGAATCGTGTTTAAATTTGTAGTTTTTTAGCCCTGTGTTACCTTGAATTTTTTAGCCATATTAAAATAGCTACTTTTAAATCTCCACCAAATCATAATTTTTGAATAGTGAAAAGCAAAGAAATTATTTTCAGATGTGAATTATGGTAGCTTTGTTAGGCAGCTTGCTTCTTTAGTATATAATTCTTATGACTTCTTTTACATTTTTCAGGATGATGGTGGTGGAGAGCAGCTTGAACGCATTTATGAGCGCCTTGAAGCATTGGATGCAGCAACTGCAGAGAAGCGTGCTGCTGAAATTCTATATGGTCTTGGGTTTGACAAGCAGATGCAAGCAAAGAAAACTCGGGATTTTTCTGGTGGTTGGAGAATGAGGATTGCACTTGCACGTGCTCTGTTTATAAACCCAACCATCCTGTTGCTTGATGAGCCCACCAATCATCTTGGTAAGCTTAAAGTTTAACTGGCTTGATATTTTAGTTATTTTGTTATAATTTTTTTTTTATTTAATTTTGATTGCACTCTTAATATGCATGGAGCAGTTAAATCTGTAATGGATCTATGCTAGGTGGTTTGATAGTTCAGTTGGTTCCAATTTTTTTTTTTTTTTTTTTTTATTTTTTTTTTTGTTTTTTTTTTTTTTTTTTTTTTTTTTTTTTTCTGCATGCATTGTCTTTTTTTTTTTTTTTTTTTTTTTATGGCTTAAGCAAATTTGTGGTTTTAGATCTTGGAAATTCCCCACCATATATTTGCAAATTATAGTTTGCTCCAGGACCAATTTCTGATCTTTGAAATGGCCTGCCCTGTACTGCCAAATGATAGTCTGCTCTAGGAACCAATTTCTGGCAGTTGGTAGGAAATTTTTCTGAACTGTCCTTTTTGTTATCAACATTCATTTTGTTATATAGTTTGACTTTCACATTGCTACTGATTTTTAAGAATTTAGTTGAATTTGGTCTTACATATGTTTGTGAACTGGTTGTCCTGCTGTAGCTGTTTGACTCATTTCATCTGTTAATGTGCTTGTCTTTTGTTTATGTCAAGACAGCATATTTCAATGACTTTAAACTCATGGTTAGTTGTCTTCCTTTGGTAACAGATTTAGAAGCCTGTGTGTGGTTGGAGGAGACCTTGAAGAACTTTGAGCGCATCCTGGTGGTGATTTCACACTCCCAGGATTTTCTTAATGGTGTGTGCACAAACATCATCCACATGCAGAGCAAGAAACTGAAGATCTACACTGGAAACTATGATCAGTATGTTCAGACCCGTTCTGAACTAGAGGAGAACCAGATGAAACAGTATAAGTGGGAGCAGGAACAAATTTCTAACATGAAGGAATATATTGCTCGGTTTGGGCACGGGTCAGCAAAATTGGCTCGTCAGGCACAGAGCAAAGAGAAAACCCTAGCAAAAATGGAGCGCGGTGGGCTTACGGAAAAGGTGGCCAGAGACAAGGTTCTAGTATTCCGTTTTGTTGATGTGGGAAAGCTGCCACCGCCCGTACTTCAGTTTGTAGAAGTCACATTTGGTTACACTCCTGATAATCTGATCTACAAGAACATTGACTTTGGGGTTGATTTGGACTCGCGTATAGCTCTGGTTGGGCCAAATGGAGCTGGAAAGAGTACTCTCTTGAAGCTGATGACAGGGGAGTTGTTCCCTACTGATGGCATGGTTCGGCGGCACAATCACCTTAGAATTGCTCAGTTCCATCAGCACTTGGCTGAGAAGCTTGATATGGAACTGTCTGCCTTGGCGTATATGATCAAAGAGTACCCAGGAAATGAGGAAGAAAAGATGAGGGCTGCAATTGGTAAGTTTGGCCTATCAGGTAAGGCACAGGTAATGGCAATGAAGAATTTATCGGATGGACAGAGGAGCCGTGTGATCTTTGCTTGGTTGGCATTTAGGCAGCCCCAATTACTTTTGTTGGATGAGCCAACAAATCACTTGGATATCGAGACAATTGACTCACTGGCTGAGGCACTGAATGAGTGGGACGGGGGTCTGGTTCTTGTTAGCCATGATTTCAGGCTCATAAACCAGGTAGCTCAGGAAATTTGGGTATGTGAAAATCAAGCTGTGACCCGGTGGGAGGGCGATATTATGGACTTCAAGCGGCACCTAAAGGTTAAGGCTGGTTTAGGTGAATGAGGCTGCGGCAGACACCCACTTCCATCAAAGTTTGTAGTAGTTCATTTGTTGGCCTTGCTTTACACTTGTATGAGACAATGTAGTGAGGGTACTTTTTACTATTTCTGAGCCATGTCTTCTCAGACTGACTATGACGGAAGACGTGCGGAATGGGCAAAAGGCTTGGTTATTGTTTCAAGCCGGCGGCAGTTTCTATGCCCTTAGCCCAACGCGTAGGTGGGATTTTTTGTTTACATTGCGCATGTTTGGACTTTTATATTTTGCTTGGTTAGTAGCCAAGTCGATTACATTATAGTTATTTTAGGTAGATACATTGCCTATGTCTTGTTCTTTTCCTTGAAAATGTTGTACCTGCATATTATTTATAATATTGGAAATTCTATCTCGGCTGGCCTCACTGTTTCATGTCATGGCATGTGGCTTGGGATCATTTTATTTCGTTGTGGATGTGGCTCTTGCAATGTGTTACATTTACCAGAGAATAATTTCTACGGAACAGAAATGGTTAGAGACCATTTAAGAACAATGGAAAGGAGGGAAATTGTCGAGCAGATTCCTGTTACATGATTTTGAGCGGTTTGGTTGATGGATTTTGTTGGAAATGTGACCAATTTTCTCTCTATTTGCGTGATGCTCTGTCTATGGGGGTTGTTTGGCTGCCTGGAAAATCTAGGAAAGTGGCCAACGATCATTTAACCAATAACATTTATGATTTGTCTGAGTGCCAGGAATATGAAACAGAATTGTTATTTGATGGCATTAAAATATGAAACAGAATTTAAAAAAAGTAATTAATTTGCCCAAACCCTATGCCAGAGAACCTCAGTGATAGTGATGATGAAGACCCAACGCATATCCACCGCCAACAAGCTAAAGCAATCTCAACCTGAAGACGGATACGAACTTTGCAAGAAGAGGAAAAAGTAATAACAGTAGAAGAAAATGAAAAAAAAGGAACCGAGGAAAAGTACCAGCCATTAGAATCACCCTAATTTTGCCTCTAATGGCTTAACCCTTTCCAAAAGTCGAATTTACCCCTAAATAGTAAGTCATGTGCCACTCACGTGATTAAAACTAACAGAAATTGTAACGAAAGAACTCAATTGGAACTAATGAGAGAGTTGGATGACCTAATTGTCTCGAAAAAAAGTTCTGGGACTCAATTGAAACTCGATTAAAGTTCAGGAACTTCTATAGTTAATTAAAACCCTAAAATATATAAGGTACCTCAGTGGAGCCCAATTGGGTGTTGGTTGACTGGGCGAGCACGGCAGTGAGGACTGTGATTCAAGGGGCGTCATCTTTCAATCATGGCGGCTGTGAAGTTAAAACAAAATAAATAAAAACTAAAGTTAGAATCTAGGGGTATGATGGGTACAAGGCTGGAGTTATATTGAAAAATAATAATAAAAACAAAATATTTGGCGGGGTTAGGTGGACATAAGAATCAGAATGGCAATAGCTTGACTAAAACTTTCATATAAGAAATGCTTCTATGGATCACAATAGCATTTTGCTTTTCATAAGGAATCACATGTTTACCTTGATTTCCAGTTTTTGTTTTCTAAGACAAATATTAGAAAGGTCCTTTATAAAAAGGCAGAGATCAAAGCGGTTGACCAAAACAGTGTTATGATAAAATAATCCAACCACAAATATACTTGTAATAAAAAGGCCCATCAAGGCAACAGTTAGGTTCGACAGCAATTAACTGGACCAATTAAGTGTAGTTATTCATTTATATTTATATTTACTATTAAGCCTAATTAATATTCAAATCACAATAGTAATTAACCCCGAGTAATATCTAGATACTTTAGCTCAATTAATACCCAAGTGTCTTAGTCCCAACTTATACCAAATTAAATAACAACTCTAACCCCACTTCTTTTTCTTTTTTGTGAACCATAGTTGTTCTTCTTGTTGCGCTTCGGTCTCTCTCTCTTTTCCACCTCTTTCTTTCCCTTTCTCTTCCTCTTTATCTCTTCTACAACTTTATCTCTTCTTCCTATTTTCACTTCTTTCTATTTCTATCTTCTTCACCTATTGCCCTTTTTCTCTTATTCCAAACCAAAAATTGGCCGAACCGAGCTGAAACATCATCATTTAGACACTTTGTATGAAAACCAAACCGAACCGAATTGTGTATAAGTTTCAATTTCGATTCAATTCAAGAAGTAAACCGATCCAAACTGACCGTGCCCACCCCACTTCATACCCGATTTTGGCATTTGCACTGCTGCTTCTCCAAAGATTCTGAAATCATGGCAATCATTTTCTAGTTGCCATGGTCGCTAGCTTCTCTTATGTTATATATGTTGGAATCTGAGCCCTACTCCACCTGGTCTAACTGTCTCTAGGATTTCCTTGAGTTGTGCTCTACTATCCCGATGGGCTGTAGTTGAACCATACTTGGATACCAATTGTTGTATTATGCACCGATATTACCCAAACCTTAACCATCTAGGTTGAATACCTTGGGTGGGTTCAAGCCCAGTGTACCTCTAGGTAGGGTTGGGCATGGTCCGGTTTACCCCTCAAATTAGAACTGAAATCAAAACTTATATAAAGTCTAGTTCAATTCGGTTTTCATACGAAGTGTATGGAGGAACCAAACCAAACTGGACCTATGCGGTTTTGGTTCAGTTCGATCGATTTGGAATAAGAGAAAAGGAGGAAGAGGTGGAGAAGATAGAAATTTAAAGAAGAGAAAAATAGGAATAAGAGAAAGATGTAGAAGAGATAAGGAGGAAGAGAGGGAGAAAGATATAGGTGGAAAAAGACTGAAGCACAACAAGAAGAACGACTATGGTTAAAAAAAAAGAAAAGAAGTGGGGTTAGATTAGAGTTGTTATTTAGTTGGGTATAAATTGGGACTAAGACATTTGGGTATTAATTGGGCTAAAGTATGTAGATATTATTTGGGGTTATTATTGTGATTTGAATATTAGTTAGGCTTAATAATAAATTTGGACATAAATGAATAACTAAACTTAACATAACTAGTCCAGTTTAGTTTAGACCCATTTTTTTTAGGCTTAAATGCTACAGTACCCCCTGGAACATTGGTCAATTCTCACTTTACCCCCTCAAAGTTAAAGTGACCCACTTTGCCCCTTTGGCCAATATTTCGTGTTTCACTTAACCACTTTTCGTCAACGCCATTCCAAATTCCGTTAAACCAATGACGTGGCAGGGGTAGTTTGGTCCATTCAATTGAGTTGGGATTTTTCCCACCAATCTGAGGGTGTGACGTGTACATGTGGACCCCACCTCTAACATCTGATATAGCTCAAACGGCTTGATTACCTACTGATGTGGAATTGGGGACCCATCTAACAAAACAGCCACGACAATAAAAAAAAAGAACTAAAAAATGAAAACAGAAAATCAGATTGGGAGGGAAAATTGAGATTTGGGGATTTTGGAGCTAGGGTTTGAGAATAAGGATCGAGAGAGGGAGAGCGCTCTCAGTTGGTTTCGACAACTTGAAGGCAAGAAGAAGTGACGCGACGCGACTCGACTCGACGACGATGCCCGTTTGGTGAGAAGCAGGAGCATGATAACCTGTGTACGGTAAGTGATTCTTCTGAAAATGGACATGTTTTTTGAAAAGGAATCTTGTCCTTTGACGTGGAAAAGAATCTTGACATGATAATGATGCCCATTGTGTAGAAATTGATAGGGTTTAGGTCTTTTTGTGTTATGTGTTGTCGGTAGAGGTGCTTCTAAAGCAGTATACCTTTCCTGATGTGGTCCCGTTTTTGTTTTCTTCTAGTTGGGTTTGAATATGTTAATCGAACTATGGTTGTTGTCTTGCTTTTAATAAGTGGCTTAGAATACTATTTTGCTTTTGTTAAAAACTAACCCTTTTTGTTTGTGTAGAGGACAAAGAATTGGTCACTTTTGAAGTGCATCATGGTGGCAGAATTGTGAAAAACAAACAGAATAAGTGGTGTTATACTGGTGGGTCTGTAGGATATTTGGATTGGTGTACTGTAGAGTATATAAATATGTTAGAGATGTGGGAGCAAGTGAAACTGCTTGGGCACATGGGGAAAGTATCTCTTAAATGAGTAGTAAATGATGAGTTACTGGATATAGACAGGGATGCTGAGCTGTTATGTTTGTGTGATAAGGTACCACTTTCTTATAAGAGAGTGGTGCTGATTTATGTACAACACATTGAAGAGGAAGGTGTTGCAGTGAATGAGGATTGTGAAGAGGTAGTTGTGGCATTGAATAAGGATAGTGAGAATATTGGGCATGTTAGTGGTGAAAATGGGGCTTCTACTGAAGGCAGTGGGCCACTGAACAATGATAAAGATGGCCGGCCTTTTACTAAGGATCATGGGCCTACTTGCAGAGTTGAAGACTGGGTTTCAAGTGATGATGATGGGCCCCTGAACAATGAGGGTAGTAGGGCTGATATAGGTGACACTGATGTGGAAGACATTGAAGACAATGAAGACAGTGAAGACAATGAAGAAGAAGACAAATAAGATGACTTTGATTTTGTTGACAGTGCTTATGAGTATAGTGAAAATGAATGTGAGTTGTTGATAAAGGACGATAAAGCATTTGAAAATTATGTAGACCAGCCAAAAGTAGTTGAAGACCCAAATGCCCATGTAAATGAAGATCGGGAGTCAACTGATGTAGCTAAAAGTGATGTTGAGAGCTTGGATAGTAGCTCATATGATGAGGATGATGAGAACCAGAAGAAAAGGAAGAAGAAATTGCCTAAATTTCAAGAATTTAGGCCTGAAACAGACATGCGCAACCCTATGTTTAAGCTAGGTTTAAGATTTGCAACCACTGACCTATTTAGGAAAGCAATTAGGAACTATTCAATTGTGAACATGAGGATGATTAAATTCAAATGCAATGATCGTGATAGGGTGAGGGCAGTGTGTGCAGGAAATTGTAACTGGGTTTGTTTTGCTTTAGCAATGAATGGGTTCAAGTGAAGAAATTGGTTGATGAGCATGATTGTGGGACAGTTGATCACAATTTTCATGCTAATTTAACATGGTTAGCTAAGAGATATGTTACTCAACTGTCTAGAAAACATAATTGGGATATGGGAACTTTTAAGCAGTAGGTACAAGAAGATTTGTCTGTGATAGCTTATAAATCCTAAATATAGGGCAAGGCAGAAGGCAACATCCATATTTGAGGGGACTTATGAAAAACAATATGAATTATTATGGGATTATGCTACTGAACTAAGAATGACAAATATGGGTAGCACAGTCATTATCAAATGTGAGTTGGAGGGTGAAAGGCCAAGATTTCAGAGGATTTACATTTGCTTGGCTGCAGTTAAACAAGGGTTTTTGCAGGGATGTAGGCCAGTTATAGGATTTGATGCTTGTCATATAAAGGGTCATCACCCTGGACAATTTTTATCTGTTGTTGGTGTGAATTCTAACAATGGTATGTATCCTATTGCGTATGCAGTGGCTGAGGTGGAGAATTATGAAACATGATCATGGTTTTGTCAACTGTTGGTAGAGGACCTTGGAATCGAAAACAGCAGCGGATATATCTTTATCCTAGACAAGAAAAAAGGCTTGATTGATGCAGTACATGATTATTTTCCAAATGCTGAGCACAGACACTGCCTCAAACGCTTATATGCAAATTTTTTGTTTGCTAGTCACAGAGTATTGATGTTGAAATTGCAAATCGAGAAAATCGCAAGGAGCACAATCGTCCCATGGTGGGATGCTGAGATGAAAAATATGAGACAGCTGAGCCAAGCTGCATTTGATTAGCTGGCGGTCTTAGATCCATCACAATGGTGTATAGCTCACTTTAAAACTCATTCCAAGTATGACATCCTTTTGAATAATATATGTGAGGCTTTTAACGGTGCCCTTGTAGAAGTACAAGAGAAACCTATTTTAACCATGCTAGAGAGAATTAGATACTATATTATGTTGTTGATGGCAACTAGAAGAGCATCTTGTGAGAAATGGAAACATGCCATTGGTCCAAGGATTTTTGGGATTTTGGAGAAAACGAAGAAAGAATCAGCTTGGTGCATTCCAAAGCTTGATGGGGAGAGTTTATATGAGGTCAAAAACCATGATGGAAGTCAGATTGTGGTTGATTTGGTAAGGCATCGTTGTTCATGTAGGAGATGAGATATTACTGAGATCCCATGCAAGCATGCTTGTGCTGCAATTGGCCAATTAAATGGGGACCATATTGCTTATGTTGATACTTATTACAAGAAGGAGGCCTTTATGAGAGCTTATAGTCCAATGGTTCATCCAATGACAAGTGAAGACTTGTGGCCTAAGTGTCATAGGCCTCCTTTGATGCCACTATTTTATCACAAACAACCTGGGAGACCAAGGAAGAAGAGGATGAGGTCGGCATGTGAACAACCAAGCAAATCTAATCCTACAGCCACCAAGTTGCAGAGGTATAATTTGGAAACCAAGTGTTCACTTTGTAGACGAGAAGACCATAATAGGAGTAGCTGCCCTAAGGCAAAAGAAGGCAGCAGCAGTCAGGTTTGTCTCTTCCAAAAAGACATTAGCAATGCATTTTTGTTTTGGATCTTTATTATGTATTTATTTTCAAGTGATTCTCTTCTTATGTTAGTTAGGTCCCATATAAACGAAAGGTGAAGAAATCTGCCCAATATACGACATCAACCAAAAGGGTTACAAGACAATCAACAGCCAAGCAACCTGTAAGTGACTTTATTTTTATTGATATTAAGAGGAAGAGGTATGAGATGTAGTTGATGTAAATTGGAATTCTTTTCAATTTTTAGGTGAGAAGAAGGTTGGAAACTGGCCAGTGTTCTCAAACTCCACATGGTTCTGAAACAGGCCAAACTGCCCCAACCCCAGCATCTCAAATTGCCCCACCTTCAGAAACTGCCCAAGCATCTCAAAGTGGCCAAGCTTCAGAAACTCCCAAAAAAAAAGAGGTTTAAGTTTCCTGCAAAGAGGATTAAATTTCCCAAAAAGAAGGATAGTTCTCAAACTCTGCAAGACTCTCAATCTGTGCAAGGAACTGAATCTGTGCAAGCTTTTCCGGTTTCTCAAACTAGCCAAAGTTCTCAACCTGCCCAAAGTTCTCAACCAAGTGCAATCTCATCACACCCTTTTGCCAGTGGTCCAAGCAAAAAGAGGTTCAAATCTCCTGCCAAGAGGAAGAAATTTATCAATCAGAAGGATTTGTTGGATGGTTATCAGCCTTGGAGATTATGATCATGTGCAAGTGTTTTGTGTTTTGTTAAAATGCCTCTTATGAAGACCTTTTCATTCCACTTTTGTTTTGCTTGTACAAGTGTTAAGGACAACCCTTTCAAATGGGGCTTTTGATTGAACTATTATTTTGCAAGTCCAACTATTAAGAACTTTATTAGTAATGTTATAAACTGTGAGGATTTGATCAGTGTTATAAAACCCATGATTGTCTGTTATGAATTGTTGCAAGTGTTTGTGATACTGTTGATTTGGTAATGCTTTTCATACCATTACATATGAGGTCAAAATCCAATAAGTAACTCCCACATTGTGTTCAACAACCACATTCATTATATAAATACCAATACATTGTTACATCCAGTTGCAAATTCAAACCATGTTCCTCCATCATTACATAGCTACCAAGACATGATATTTTACATACAGTTGCAAAATACAGACTTGTACAATCTGCCTAATTCCTTCATTGCAATGGCCACATTTTGTGCCAAGTTGTTATAGACATTGCCAAAACAACACCACCATTACTAAACCCCATGAAAGAATAAGCCAACCCATTAACTTTCTTTCTCTTGCTTGACAATGCCCAACGTCCTTTTCAAGTTCCTTCAATCTTCTAAGTAGCCAACTCACCAGAGCCTTCTCTCTAGGTGGAAATTCAACATCCACCCAAACAAAAAACCCACATCCTTTTTTCCTCCTCTGCATCAACCATTAATACCAATTAACAAAAAAAAATAACCAAATTCACAAACTTTCAACAACATAACTTACCCCTGATGAGTTTGGACAAACATGGAATCTTCGAAGTGGGTTCGCCTCAGTCCATGAAGTTTGTAAGCGAGCTATCTTCCCACAAAAGTAACGCGGTGCCGCCACATCCAACTCTTCCCCTCTGTCAACTATTTCAGTCTTCATCTTCAATTTTCGTGGAACCCAACCTCTGATTTCTAGGGTTTTAGAGGAAGCCAATTTGGGGTTTTTTTGTTCAATAGACAGCTCAGATCAATTGGAATGTTTGAGCTATATCAGATGTTAGAGGTGGGGTCCACATGTACACGTCACACCCTCAGATTGGTGGGAAAAATCCCAGATCAGTTGAATGGACCAAACTATCTCTGCCACGTCATTGGTTTAAAGGAATTTGGAATGGCGTTGACGGAAAGTGGTTAAGTGAAACACGAAACATTGGTCAAGGGGGCAAAGTGAGTCACTTTAACTTTGAGGGGGTAAAATGAGAATTGACCAATGTTCCAAGGGGCATTGTAGCATTTAAGCCTTTTTTTATTTATTTTTTTAATAGTAATAACCGAATGGGAACTGATTCAACATGGTCCAGTTTGGTTTTTGAGTCAGGTTGAATTTTCTGGTCAACACAGTTTTTTTGGACTCAGTTCGGCTTAGTTCACTAGTTCAAATTAAGAGTGAACCACTTATATTTGAACTGTAGATTATTATTGTATTCTTCAATGTGAGACTTACACATCATGACTTGTATCGAGCCACCTACATTAACAGCTCCTCCCTAATTTGAGCATTTCCTCTTGGATGATTTCTTTGTAACCTTTTAGCTGTCCTTCATATAAAAAATTCTGAGTCCCCAAATCAAACAAAAAGGGTTTTATACACTAAAAAATGGTGCATATATGATTTTAGTAAAATTTATATATATGGCTTTATTTCAGAGAAAAGTAAAGAAGAAATTTCTGGCTTCCCTTGACAGATTATTGAGAAATGAGAGAACAAGTCCAACACCATGAAAAATTTGGCAAAAAATTTCTGCCTCTGCTCGTGGGCAAATTACTATTGAGAAATGAAAACAAATTAATCTAATACACCATGTAAAAGATGACAGAGGTACAGAAAAGAGACATATATATATAATATATATGAAAAACTAAATCTGTTCATGATCAATAGCTCTGCACCATAGCTTTACAAGAACCCCAGTTCCCATCACTAGAGGAGCCTCTTTCTTCCTTCTGCCATTGCCGATCGTCATCTAATATCTTCTCAAGCTCTCGTGGCTGGCAAGGAATGGTGAGTGCGCCTTCATGATCAAAACCATACTCCTCAGCTGCTTGCTCCAATAGCTTCAAGAAAGTTGGGTGTGTTAAGTAACTCAAGGCCACCACAAATCTCTTTGGTTCATCTCCATCCACAGCTATCACAGCAAAGTGACCCTCCTTCACATCTTCCGGCACATGTTTTGAGTCATCGGAATAATTTGATGGTTTTGATCTTCCCAAATATAGACTTCTTTGTAGCTTTTCTACTACAACTTTGAGCTTGACAATGCTATTCTTCTTCTTGCAAGCACTACTAGTTCTAGACTTTGCCATGTTTGTGTTTGTGCTTAATTTTTCTTTGGTCTAGAGACTTAGCTATGTTTGATGGGATTTTTGGTATGTTAGCTCACGTTATTATATATTAGTGTTGGGGATAAGATTTGGAGTGTTTACATTGACATAGCATGAAATAGAAAGGAAAAGGTGCGTTGATGACGGTGTGGAGTTAAATTTTGGGGAGACCAGCCCATGTGAGTGTGAGTGACTTGTAGGTTCCAAGTTCCAACTTACCATGAGTCGTCTTGTCAACCTCTTTCTCTACCAAATTGGTTTATGTCGTTACTCAATTAATTTCTACCCAACTTCATTATGATCGTAAGTAGTTTTTTGCGCAAGTATTTTACTAAATAATTTTGGTCAGTGCATATATATATATATATATATATATTGAAGCATTTGCAGCGTCCATGGCTACGGAGCAAGAAGTCTTTGTATTTGTTTATACCAAAATGAACAGCCAATGAATGACGAACACGTGGGCTAGACCAGGGCCATGGAGTGCCTTCGGCACCCACCCTCGGTACAAAACCTACCGATCGCAACATTAGGGCAACCTCGCCCCCTTTGACGCGTGGCAGTCTCACAACTGACGCCCAGAGTCCCACATCGAAACTCTAAACAAATTGCACACCTCCCAAGGCCTATAAAAGAGGACAACCATCCCAGCTTGAAGGTAATCAATCAGAACTTACGGCATACTGCCTATTGATCTGCAGTTCAAACTTACTAAATCCGTACTTACTTAAGCATCGGAGAGCCTTCGGCCGGTACCACACCGGTGCCCTAGGACTTACCGTGTGTTTGCTATTTTACAGATCGCACACCCTACCGAGGACACCAGATACCGAAGAGACTAAATCACTAAGTTGCGCGGGAAAGTGCCAAACCATTTTTCTGCGTTAACATTATTCTTTTGTATTTCGCAGTAAGCAAGCTCTAATGGGGAGGTAACTGCTAGGCTAGATTGAAATCGAGCAAGGACCTTTGAAACTATTCGGTAAGACATTATTATTAATTTTCCGATGTTGGATTCACACTCTCAGCACATATTATAAAGCGCATAATCATATCCTATCTACAATTAGTTGTAGCTAATAAGGTGCACCGAGCCCTTAATAATTGCAATATAACAAGCTAATACTGGCCGACTCTCAACTCAAATCGCATTCCAAGATCAATTCAAGTTTCACAAGCATAAAATATAATATGTTGCTCACCTTATGGAAAAAGAATAAAAAATAAAAAATACTTACATGTTAACTCGTGTGAGGAAAAAAGTGATAAACACACACTTGATGCATAAGTAGGACGGGTGTGAGTGGAATGAAATCTATGTATAAATTACCAGCTCAGTACTGTAGAATAACCTAGAAAACGTCCTCTCACTCGCGCCCTGCAAAAGATCATACATCTGCCTGCAGATACCATGCATGGTAGACCTGGAGGACGTACGCATGCTTATTAAAAAGCTAAAACACATGGTGTAACACATTGACGCGGATCAGCCTCCATCACACAAATTCTTCGACGTGTTAAATGCATGTCAACACATATACTGCACAAGTTCCAAGCTTGGTTCTGTGGTTCTTGTGTGGAGTATAATAAAATTTAAGTTCATGCATTCATCGTGTTTTCTATCTAAAATAAATATATTTTTTTCCATGTCATTCTTATGCATACTCCTCACATACATATATGGTGATGAAAAGGCATCCTAAGCTGAGTTAACAGTTCAGCCTTTGGCTTTTATGAAGAAGAACTGACTCTCTTATGATCTTTGAGTGTTCACTCTCTAGCATTCTTTTGGTTGTGTTTTTCATTTATCCAACATTCTCAATTTGGTTTTCTCCATAATCTTGATTTCTTCTTCCCTAAAATAGTTAGCACCTACCGACAACTTGCTCTATTAACCTCCGTCCTTTTTTGTCTTTTCCCCACTTGAAGTTCTGCAATGATTTTAAATTAGGGCCCGTTCGGTAATGTTTTACGGGCCCGTTTTCTGTTTTCCCAAAATGAAAATAGGTGAGATTGCGTTCGGTAGGCACAGTGAGAAAACGCGGAAAACAAAATTGTGAAAATGAATTCTATTTCACGTTCAAAAGTTGAAAACAACAAAACAACGTTTTCAGCATTTTCAATGAAAATGCGGAAACACATTTTGCAATCTCCGAACAATATTCTTAGTCTCTCTTCACTGTCTCTTCCATTTATCTCAAGCTCACCCATTTATTTCAAGCTCGTCATTTTTCCACACTAGATCTTCTATTTTTCAGAAAATACATATGGGTCTTCTTTCTTTTTGTGGTGAAATTAGTGGGTCTTCTACTTTTTCCATAACAGTCTTCTTTTTGTATGATAATGAAGAAGATGATTGAGAGATGGAGAGAGGTGGGTTGATGGGGTTACTGCAATGTTAAGAGCATGTCCACCGCTGCACCAAACCTGGGCAAAAGGCCCCCCCCGGCAGCCCATTCCTGCCTCCAGCGTGCAACAATGAGCCCAGGCAAGGCCTGGGTCCCACGAGCCTGGGCAAGCCCACAGGCTAATCCTGCCTAGGCTGTTGCCCTCGGGCTGCTGACGTCATCAGTTGATTTTCAATTTTTTTTTTACTGTTGGACCCACCAGCCCACATTGCCTAATGGTTACAAGCCATGTGGCTTCTCCTGGAGCCTCCGATCAAAAAATCTTGCACAATCCAACGGTTGTCCAATTTTTGGCTAAAAAAAACTCAAAAAAATATCAAAAAATATTGGAAATTTTTTCTATACATACCTACCAATATTATTCACTTTCCACACCAATTTAATTTCAAAATTTTATTCGAAAATATTATCTTGATTTTTAGGTGAGGATTTTACGATAAATTTTATACAAATTTATAAATAAACCCAATCCTAGACATGTATTTATAAAAAAACTCAAGCACTATTTAAACATAGAAACACACCCAAAATCAACAATTGTATATTTTTGGGTGTGTTTATAAATGGGTTTTGAGTGTGTGTAATGATGAGTTTTGGGTGTATTTATAAAGTGTTTTGGGTGTTGGGTTTTTTTATAATTTCAGCCCCCATTTTGGGTGTTTTAGTGACACTCCCTAAATTTTAATACTTGGGAATTGAAAATCTTATCCGAAAAGCTTATCAAAATCAATGGTTTAAGTATAAAAAATAAAAAATAAATTTAAGTGAATAGTAATTGCCTTAGACTTGCCCTAGACTTAGCCCTCACGAGTGGAACCACAAATGGCAAGGCTGACACTATTCATGTGAATAATGGCAGCCCTTGCTTGCCCTTGCCCTAGACATAGCTCTTGTGGATGGAGATGCTCTAAGGGGTGGGTGTGAAGGCAGAGTGGGTGAGTTTTAATTTTGGAGAGAGAGAGGAGCAAAAGAGGGGAGGCGATAGGATTGAGGTGGGTTTTGCAGAGAGTGAAGGACAAGGTTGGCTTGTGGTTGTTTCATTTTAATTTTTTAAAAGATAATTCTAGTTTTATACTATCGAATTTTATTCTATTTTTTAAATGATTAAGAAAATACTTTTGAAAAATAACTCACATATTGATTACATAAAGTTGTATAATAAATTTACATAATTACATAATGTATTTTAATTAAAGTTGTACATTCTTTGTTTTTTATATTTTATGTACTATCAAGTTTGGACTGTTTTTATTTTTTGTTACCAGACATGTTTTCACTATTTTTATTTTTTGAATATGTTTTCCAATTAATCTACCAGACGCGTTCTCAAATTCTGAAAATGCAAATTCGTTTTCTCAATTGCATTCTCTAAAAATATTTTGAGAAAACATTCTCTGAAAACGTTACCAGATGGGGCCTTAATGAGTTGCTCTTTTCAAAATTTAAACATAGAATATATAACTAGCATATTCTTATTACTTAATTTGTTCACAACGCAGTCATCATCAGATGATAAGTTTTGGGGAATTGCAGGCACCTCAAAGGCCATAAGGTCATATAAAAAAGCTGCCCTAAATGCCTGAATTTAAATTTGCACATGAAATTGCGCACTCACTTACCCATCTAGTCTCATGTTTTTCAGTTTCAAGGTCCACCGTTTTGTCAATCACATGGAAGACAAAAAGATTGGCATGGAAAAAAAACAAAGGTGCTATATATTTGTGGGGATCAAAACCTAGCTGGATAGGGAGCATGATTGGATGTGGGTTTTTTCAATTCCTCCTTAAATTTTAGTTAAGGAGGTAGTTTAAGAAGCCCATTGTGGATAATTTTACACCCATATTTTTATTTTTCGTTAGAAAAAGGCCCAAACCCCCCGTAAATTAATTTCAAGATTGATATTTATTATCGGAAAAAGGTCTCGACAACAGGCTCCATTATGTTCTTTAGGCAATAAAACTAATTAGCATTGTTGCCACAGATGGGAGAGAAACTAATTGAGACTTTTAGGACTTTTCGTTGGGGTAAGGTACGAAAAGGGCTCTACCATTTTGATTGGTTTGAATGGTATTTTTCATGACATACGGTCATGAAAATTGGCACGTACGATGCAATTTGAGAGGATATATAATATGTGAACGCGGTTGTGAGAAAACCAATCAATCAAGACAAGGACAAACATACGTACAGGGTTGCAATCTATCTACAAACATATATTTCGGTAATGAATTGAGAGGGATTAGCTGTGCTCAATCTCAATCTACATTACCTGATTTATGACAAGAAGGTGCTCGTTCTGAGTCACATGAGATCCTAATTAACAAACGTCATGTTTATAACATACTTTCACATAAGGAAAAATTACTTTGGCCCTTGTAAAAGTCTTACAAGTCTAAAGATGTTAAGAAAAGTATTACATTTTAGGTTGAAATATTGCAAGAAAAATTATAAACTAAAGGCCTGTTTGATAACCATTTTAATTTTAGTAGATTTCATTTTTTGTGCTAGAGTATAGAGGAAAATGAGAGTGAGAATGGGAGCGAAGATGCGATTAAGAGAGAGGATGAGAGG